TAAACTTTATGATTATAAACCGAGAGCTTCCTATGCATTCATAGGTTGATGAATCACGCTTCATTATAGCTTGGAAATGAATTAATTCGCCAGGTATTTATTGATTTTACCCTATCTGTTATGACGGTAACCACCCAGGTATGTTGGCTGACGATAACTGTACAGCTGTCCGTAGCTTGTTAAGTGCCATACAATTAAAAAAACAGCTAGGTAGTATAATCCTCGTGGAATGTTAAAAATGTTGTTTTCACCTTTGTTTTTTTCATGGGGAAGTAATCCTGTTTTGGATGCTGAGGGTCACCGGTGAAAGAATGTTGTTTTCAAGAATATTATACTGGTTAGAAATAGTTTATCGTCAATTTTGTTTGTAGTTTTCAATGGGTAGATTACATAGGTATCGCAAGTCTCGAAAGAAATAATTGTAGGTAGATAAGTCTAAAGATTGAAATATGTCATATCTACATACTGAAGGATCTTAATATATTTCCCAATAGATAAAAAAAGTAATGATTATATTTGAAGTCGATAATTAACCCAATGGGCAATGGCGACATCTCCTTGGGGTTGGGTATGGGTGGATGGGAGGAGGTAAACGTTAAGTTTATAATGTTTACAACAACATAGATAAGTACTACAAGTAATGAATATAAACATCAACAAATGTTTCGGGAATTTGAACCATAAATAATAATATAACAAAACCAAAGACAAAAACAAATAGCTGTGAACTACATAAATGTAGTGACTTAAAAACATGCGATTAATTAATTGCATATACAAACATATCATGATACGTACAGAGTGTAAATATCACAAAGTAATTATGTTATACATGTAGATAAAATAATGGTCAGATCACATGTGAGTATAGCATATATTAAACACGGTATCTTTATGTGTACTGAGATTTTCTCACCACAAACGATGTGTCTATTTGATTGTGAAATAAGAGTACCTGTTACGTATCAATGTCAAACAAGGATATTTGTTTACTGTGATTATTTTTACTAATAAGTTATATCAAATGTGAATAGCATTGGCAAATGCCATCTCTAATTAAGAAATATGTTCCACCTGGAAGCATTTTGGGTTTTGAAAACAACACTACATCAGTATAACCAGTGTCACAATAGTACAATTCGATGCTTTTGAAATAAATCTCCTTAAAAATTCGCTATTTGTCCGCGCAATAGCCCTCAATATTTTAGAACCTTTATCAAAGGTGGTTAAGCATGAAAATCATGGTAAAATTTTCTTGAATAAATTGGTATTTGTACATAACAAGTTATTTTTAAATTAAAATTTCTTTTAAATCACCTTGTGTAGGTTTTCTTATGTCAAATTATAAAAAAAGGCAAGGGTTAGAAAACTCGCCTTATTATATTCATATTAAACAATGTGTTGATTTTCTTCGTAAATTGTACATAATATATGTAATAGGGAAAAAAAATGATCTATAATCAATGAAACAATATCTTTTATATAACTGCGATATTTTTCGACTTTTTTAGGAAAACTTGATTAACCGTGGTTACCTTTAACTTGTGATGTAATACACCTTTGACACATAAACTCAAAAATGTAGTAATTGACTCGAAATAGAGTTCAGCTGAAAGTAAGCAAAATCAAATAAACTATTCATGGTATAATATACCATAGTGTTCGCCGGCAGATTTTGTAAAATACAAATGGAAAGTTAATTTCGTCTGTTTTGCGAATCAGTTTCAGAAATGATCTGGGTATTATTAATCTCAAATATGTAAAACATGATTTGCACATTCACATTGAATTTGTGTCAAATTTACAGACATAACTGCAAACATTTCACATCCAGCATTGTTTTACCTTGTATTGTCACACATATGACGTAACTATAAAACGTACACAAAAATGTGTAGAAAACACGCATCATGTCTATTAATAGAATATTAGATATTACTAGCCATCCGTTTAAAATGGGGATTCCCCTATCTAATATGTCGCCATACGTCACTCTATCCTACACACAAACTTTGAATGATATAATACATTATCTTTTATCCGACACCCAAACAATGTACGTAACATACTATTACTATGACTGGGGTAAAACCTGGCAAACCTCGGACGTCAATCTACTATTTAAATTCAAAAATTACATCAAATCAGTTTTGTGTAATTTGTTACCAACGAAACGAGAAACGTGTTTTTGTCAGCGAGAACAAATTGATCCGGTACTTGGTAAGAATACTTCCTCTGTATTACGTCTTTATACAAGTATGACATCATTACAACAAATAGCAAAATCCACGTCTGTTATCTCAACCAAAATAAACTTAAATAGATTTGGAACTTTTTAAGACCAGAGTTAAAATATCTTATCTAGTCATACAGTAGTCGTTGATGTACATATAAAGTAGGTGTGTGCAATACGAAAAAAAAATGTAATTAAATTATAGTCTTTATCACACTTTTATTCTTATAATGATATCTAAACATCACCCCATTACTGGGTTTATTGTACCAAAAGGAATATTTCCTCCTTTTGTTTTCAACGTATGACACAAATATATAGCTATTTAGATAAAACATCGTTTATCATCCATCAAGTTGATATCAGTCCACGTGTATTTGGCCCTTGTCCTTGGCTTGATATTAGTGGATCGAGGTGATAAATAATGTGATATTAAAACAGTCAAATGATGAATTTATCTATATTCTACAAATTATCTCTTTGATAAACGATTTCTCATGTCTACCTGGTTGCATAAAAAAGTGCATACTACAATTCCATGTAATTTGTAACTGATCATCTCAAAGAAGTTTTAGAGCATCAGAGAAGGTGTCAGTAAAAGTGTTCTTAAAAGAAAACACCAGTCTGAGAATAAGTAAATGCATATGGCGAGTATTGTGATTTCTGTCTGGTGTTGGCCATATAAAATCCGAGAACTTTGAAGGTTTACTTTAGTTTATTTAATCATTGTTTCAGTTCCAGGTACAAGAGACGCTAATGCCGACGGAGAGAAAGATTGGCTTCAAGCCCCAGATTTTATTTTGAAGAATTGTCTAGTTGCAAACTACTTTCCTCTTAGTTTTAATCTCCCGAATCTGAAATCCAAGAGACGGAAATTATTTTAAGTCTCATATTTTTCTCTGTAATCTAAATATTCTAGAGACAGGGGCAGTCTATCTTAAACGTAGTGTCCCTCCACACTTACTGTCAGATTATATATCGTATCGAAATGCTATATAGCTACTGCGGACGATCGGGATCCTCAACCATTTTCCATTTTTTTTTATTATTATGTTGTGTCTCTGCAAGTTTGAATTTGAAGGTAAACCACACGTACAGGAATCGTATAAGGGTTTGCAGCACTGCTTGTCGATAGTTTATAGTAGTAGATATTTTATTACTGATTTCATTGTTGATATGTGTACAATATGGTCATGTTGTTTTGTGTGTTCAGTGAGGCAAGCAGACTACCACCTACATAGTATATAGTGAGCTAGTTGTAGTTTCATCTGCCCTGATACATTATTAATGACATGGTGTGTCTGGGTACTGCAATAAAAGGATCTTATACGTAACAGTGATTATTACAGTCTATTTGATATTTATTGATATTTATAGATTTTCAGTAAAAAAAATAAAATACCTATACCTAATATTCATGGATGTAACTCTTCCATACTATTTTATACAATTCTAGGTTGATTGGGGTACTGCGTAGTTGTTCAATCTGATTGTCACGCTCTGCTGCTGAATCTTTGATATGATATTCTGAAATAATACTGTTCTACCTAAGTGTGTTGCTGAGCGTCTGTGATTGGGGAACACATTGACGTTTTACGCATTAGGTTGTTGGATGATCCGACCATTATATATTTACGAGAAAACGTTCGTGGTGCCAGCGTTCAAATACTAGCGTTACATCATGATGACTTTTTGATGTCAGTTTCAAGTAATCTATAAAAAAGTGTTTTCAGTTGGTATTCATTGTCAACGGAAACGGCAAATGACCCGGTGATCAAAATAGCGTTATCAATTCTCAAGTTGACATTCAAAGCGCAGTTGTTCGTTCTCAGTTCTGTCGTTTCTCGTACCTTTGACTTGTCACTAACCTTAAAATAGACGCTGTGCTTATGTCAGAACATATATTGTTTGAAATGCAATATGGAAAATAAATTCTTAGATAAACTAACAGACAATCTACAAGAAAACATTTTATCCATTAACTAGAAGAAAAGGTCAAGTTCATTCTCGAAAATGTGTTGATACACAAGAAACCCAATCTCAAGCGAGTTAAGTTGTTGTATATCGTCCGATATAACCGTATATAACGGCAAGTTAATGTTTCTTTACAATAAATCGTTATTATTATAAAGATATGTGGGAAAATGTGCAGACATTTGTCTTTCACATGTTTGTGTGTTTTTCATCATTTTATGTTTTCATCGACCATTTATTTGCCATTATAACTGCGACTGTGCTGATAGGACTTTAAGAAAGGAATAATAACATTTCAGAGAAGGAAGACTAGTAATTAAATAATGTTTCTCTTCAAGAATGAATAGTATAAGGAATCGCGTTTTCTTTCCTTCATTTTAAAGTAGTATAAGGAATCTAGAAATTAGTTTAAAGATATAATGTTAGTTTTAAGCCTGGTTGTTTTTACGACTATGAACATGTATTTTTTACATCTATTCAAATCAATATGAATGTCCTCACAAAGATCCAGGTAACGTAATTATCAAATATACCCTCAAATCAACATAAAAGTATATATATTTCTAAATTTTCAGAATATTTTGAAACACGAATCAGATTTTAAATTTAATTTAAGAAATTTAAAGCTAACAAATATTTCAACTATCAAGTATTGACAAGAAACGGTTACGTGGGGTGATGAGTAATCTCATAGTACGTTTCTGCGCAGTTTGATTATGTACATTCTTGTGTGTAAGTGATCTCGTCCAACTCCTTCAGGTCAATTATGAATAACACAAAAGGAGACTTCTGTTAAATATTTATTTTGACAATATACATATTGCAAGTTAACCCTTTAAAGGTTGTGCGCTATATTGTATAAAAAAAAAAAATAGCTTAACGAAATGGAATTCAGATTTGATTTAAAGTCCACTCTTTAAATAAATATTACACTGTGCGTTTCACAACCGATAAAATAACAAAACTAGGTCACAATATTTAAAGCATCGGAAATAACAATTTTGTGACGTTATCAACAGAATATTGAAACAAGTGACGCAATGGAAATTTGATTTCCAATTATAGACGAAACACATGATCAAATGGATAAAAGTGTATGCACGTTTTATTATAGAGCTGACCAGTTATCTACCCCGCAGTGTCACATCAATATGATGTCATACCTGTTACAATTTTTACAGGTAAAAATTACCTGGACCTGTATTGTATACAAAGTACCGACACGACAGGGTAATAAGCTACGATACAGCAGTGTGGCACGATTACATATAAAATACGAGTTAATATTTGACAAAAGAATGTATCAGACTAAATAAAAGATGACCACATGATCACAGGTACTAAGAGAATATCGCTGGTCTTCCAACGAAGTTATTGCACATAAGCCACTTATATTTACTTCATTGAAACGATATAGACTAATAACCAAGGCTGTTTAAGTAAATATTGTGATGTTTAGCGTGCGAACATTACCTTCCTACACGGGACCTCCATTTTGCAGGTCTCTGTATCTTTCTGACATTAGATTAGTAAGACAATCACCGCTCCTGGTGTGGCACCATTTAGTGACGTCAATGTCTTAATAGGCTATCAGATGGCTAGACATGGTAAATGTATACCCGGTGATTTACCCTGAGTTACTTTTGAGCAATATATTGACCACCGTAATCCTAAAACATAATTATTTGTCATTCACTCGCACGGTCTCGTTATGATACATGTAGTACTTCGTACTCGGGATACTCTCACACTCTCTCTCTCTCTCTCTCTCTCTCTCTCTCTCTCTCTCTCTCTCTCTCTCTCTCTCTCTCTCTCTCTCTCGTCCTCTCTGACTCGTACACTTTTTAATACATTAATACGTAACTGACGTTTTCATGAAGTTCAAAATATATAAAGCGACGCATATCTCGGCGATTACAAGTTCTACAGAATGGATCACAACTCATGTCTGTATTGTCTTTGCCCGAGATCAAATATTAAAAGTCACACTAACAGACATCCTTAAGGAATGTCCCAAATAGATTCCAATAAGAAAAAAAGATTGCACAAAAAATATTTGGGAACAAGTTAAATACAACGTCAAATGAAAGATGAGATCAGGTTTTCATACGGATCAATCACAAAGTTTATGCGTATCATGTCGGCTATGAAGATTTATCGATCTTTCTCAATACATCTCCTGGATAAGCAAGAACACTTCTTGATGAAGTTCCGACCAGATGAGCAAGTCACGTTCTGGCAATTGGTGATGACGTCATACATCTGGATCCGGTCAAATAAGTCATGTTCACAGAAGTAAAGCTACCGGTCGAAATACCGGTCCCTATCTGATGGAATACCTTCTGTATATTTTTGAAAAGTTCCAGGAAAGTTCCAGGAAGGTTCCTGTTGAAACTATTCTGTCGTTTCGAATATCCGACTGTGAGAATCCTTGACAGATTCGTCATTCAAATGCTTGCTCCGTGTATACCGCACGGGCACAAGATTCAAGTTCAAGCTTCACATGCAGACCGGCAATCGGTTCCCATGTTCCACAGAGATTTGGGGTCCTCTTTGTTGGCCTCTGCCCTATCAATCCAGTTCTGAATCCGTTTCCTCCAAAACTGAATCCTGTAATAACATAAGGAAGTATTGTTAAAACGAAGCACACAAGATCAATCCCATAACTGGTATATTATTTTTTCCCTCAACTTTCTCAGGAATTGGGCCTACAACCCTTTAAAAAATAGTCCATTTTGACATTAATGTCACATAAAACATAACGACATCTAGAATTTTCTGTGAACGCTTTTAATGTGTAAAACTTACCCATCCTCCTCTGTCCGTTATCCAGCCCGCGAACCTGTCCGAGAAGTACTGAAGAGCCATGTCCTTGAGTCTCAGCGCCACCGCGCCGCCTGCGCCCGCCATTTGTACCGCTGCCTTAGTAACGTAGAAATACATGGCAACGTTATGCCAACCCACAGTGCCCCCTAGCGACGATTCCACTACTTTGGTGAAGCGGTTATACTGGTCCGTTTCCTTTACCAACTGTATGGCTATCGGCATGATGAGGGACGGCATGTTCATCTGTTGGAAAAACAATGATAACGGTCAGGATGAGCGACGTGTTAAATAAAAGAACAAGGGTGATGTTTAAACCGTGTTACTCTACACAATGTCATTTCCGAGATTTTTTTATTATTTTTCTGGCTTAATTAAAGAGTAAAAGTCAGACATAAATAACCCAACTGTTGTCACAGGTGCACACACAATGACAAAATCAGAACTCATTAATCAAGTGGAACGCACCGGGAACAAGAATCACGAAGCGATACAATAAATACAACAAAAAGGAAAGATTATTTCAACCACATTTGAAACTCATCGTATCATCAAATATATGGTAGTTTTACTGATTATAAGCATAGAGTATCAGAGTCAAGTGTGTAACGGAACTGAAGGGATTTCCACATGACCATATAAACCGGTTTCATTAGAACAACCAACTGTAATAGTCCAAGCTTGTCAAATCGACCTGAATTCAATAAAAATGAATATCCTGGATTGAATGGAAAGCATTATGATCCGCAACGCATGTCGTGTCGAAGCGTATATCAATTGGGTTAACTTGCTAAGTAATCCGTTCTTGTTTTGTTTTTGTCATATCATAATTTTGTCTTTCATATTACTAAGATTTCATCCTTGTATGTTGATGTTTTTGTATTTTTCGCTGTTTCATTTACTTTAAAACCGTAGTAATGTAATCGATCCAATGTGTTTGTATAAAGCGTAGCTATCTATCTTTCCTCATACAAGAGTTTGGAACAAATACATAAATTGATGTTGTGTTTCCGGTTATGTGGAAGGAACATTTATGAGATTATTATCAATATTTTCACACTTACTGTTTCAGACAGGCGATCGCCTTCCTTCCGTAACTCCATCACCAAGTCTCTCTCTATTGAGTTCAGTCTGTCTGATGAAACAGAACAAGAAAACGAATACAATATTGTTTCACCCGGAAAAAGAACGATTCCGAATGCATTATCAAGGGCGAGTGTATTTACATATTTCAGACTACCGAAACGTTCACATGGAAAATGATACAAATTATATCTTTCTCTCTAGTCATTAAGGCTTTATAAGGAAGCATTACAAGACATAATTTTAGAGACTATCTGCTATTTAAATCCGCAGTCATATTGGGGGTCATACCTAGGAAATATCTGTCATTTAATTTCATTTTATGTAATGTTCTTATCTTGGGTATGCCATCCCATTTTTTATATTTTTTGTCAAGTGACTTTAATTAAACTAGACTTTTTTTTTTACATAAACATAACTGAATAATGAACAGGAAGTTCTAACAAGGCATTAAATGATTGCGTTACACAATGTAATTAGCGACTAATTACCCGGGGGATGTCTCCCTGCTCGATGAGTGGTAGGGGACTGACACTCGTTGTCTGACTGGCTACTCTCCGCCCTGGTGACATAGTTATCAGCTATGACTGCCAATCGGTTGGCCACACTTTCAATACGTTTGTTCTTTTCATCTTGTGACAGTTGATCAAACGGGATCGGATTCTCCTCAGTCCCCAACAGCAGCCTCCTCCGACTGCTCCCACGACCTGTATCCAAATAGGAGATGTTAGTTTTGACACTTTAAATGACAAATCGTTGGTTTAGTTAAAGAATTGATTTAAATCTGAAGACGAGAACAAATTTTTAAAATAATGTGTTTCAAATTTGCCTGTTTTCAACGTGATGTAGATATTTCATTTTTTCAAAGAAAATACTTTATATTTTCAAAATACATTTTATAGCATTGTTTTTCGTAAAAATGAAATAAAGCTCCCTTTATTTACCTTATTCAAAAAATACAATTTAAAATAAGATACCAACGGCATGGAAGTGCTATTTTACTCATGAAATAATTTATTGCAACATTATCAAACACATTTTTATTTTAATAATGAATGCTTACCCTTCTTTGCTACAGGTTCGAATCCATCAACTCTGTCGTTCGGACAGTCCGCCTCCACATCGTCGACCTCCATTGGACACATGTGCACACTTTCATGTACGTCCGTCACAACGTCCATATATCCATCAGGACTTCTCACATATTTGGTGTGCGTGTCTGTCTCAATGTCCGCCGAGAAATTCCCAGAGCTGGGTAACGAATGGGGAAGGGGATGACACGGGACCAGTCCATTCAGTTGGAGTCTGGACCTGTCCCCCAAAACATTGACACCGCCTCTCGCGGCTGACCGGGTTCGACGTCCCTGTGGAACCTCTTGTTCGGCGTCCTGGGAGATGATGGCTTCGAATACCTTGGTGACGGTGTTGGCCGGCTGCCGGAACTGGCCGACCGGACAAGGACTAGAAGGAGAGGATAGCGATGTGTGGCGGCTCAGACGTCGTCTCTGGTCGGAACCGGAAGTGGAGACGTTTATAGAACTAGGACCAGCTTTGTTTTCTTCTTTTGGTGACTTGGATGCTGTTTGATAGAAAAAAAGGCCTCATTATAAACAGTACTGCTGTTGCTCATTGTTTAACAAATCAACAACATTGAACTATTTGTAATATACATTGTACATCCGGTTTACTTTAATGGACGTGTGAAATGAAAATGCAAATAAGTGCAATTTCCAGATTCGCAGTCGTATTGGCTGAAAGGAAGTCCTTATACAGATATTAACAAGTTACCAATTTCACGATTCATTGTACATAGAGTGCACGGGTGTATGGATATTTTACTTATTTAACTTCATTTTATCGATACAACACAATTTGATACTAACTTTACCAACATTGGTTTATATCAGTGTATCATAGTACAAAATGGGGACACGTGTCGTTAGAATTAAAATGACAATATGAATTTCTTTGTTTTCATTATTGAGCATTATATAATAATCCCTGTGTTTTGGCGTCATTCATCTTGATAAAGTAAATGAAAATCAACTATTCAGGACATCTGTTACTTTCCGGCTGACGGCCTTTTCGTAACTGGCAAATTGTTTACGGATGCATTCATTGAACAAATGTGTACATTAGCCAATATATATTAAACGTTGCTGACTATCAGACTCTGTACACTATAAACTTAAATATCTCATAATTCCTTTATAGCTAAAACTCAAGTGTGTATCCCGACATTCACAATGATCCCCACCACCAGATTATAAACCCGGAAAAACTTGTATTTCTGCAGATATGCTTGAAAGTAAACAAGCTTTGGTTTAAATGGTCATTAAACTAGTAAATTTTCAGACAGTCATTCTGCAGGTGTTTACAAGGACTTTGAATTGCTTAATGGCACCGAGGTGTCATATTCAAATTGATGTTTTGCCAGTTTAAAGTACTGTGCTACTGGAACCGTTTTAAATACAAGTAACTACATAGCTTGACATTAAAAAAAAAACACCAAAAAAGCCATAAAACAAAACTCAGTGCATGGAACAATTGATGAAAATTATTACAAGACTTGCACGTTGGTATCATAGAACGTAAATGTGAGAATTTGATAAGCATGACAAACAAACACTCACCATCTGAAAACTTTCGGCGCATACTCCTCCTCAATCTTGTAATTGCTGTGGGTTTGGACTTGGTAGAAAGGTCTCGAGTATCGGTCACCATGGTGTGGGATTCCGAATGAACACAAGGACTGGACGGAGTCACACAATCCTTGACGTCCATTGACTCTTCGCGACGGACCAGAATATTGCCATGACGAGTTTGGGTCACATGTGACGTGGAATGACCATTTTCGTCCATAACAACCACACATTCGTCCTTAACTTTCCCGCCATCCTTACCGCGATCTCTTTGGGTCTTCTTTTTAGAAGGTGGAGATTGTTTGGCTTTTGATTTCTTCTTCTTCTTCTTCTTCTTTTCTTCGTCAGTTTTCTTTTGTTTAGTAAATGTTTGTAAAATACGTTCCTTTGCTCTCTTAAAAGCGCTTTTCTTTTTCCTGTCAATAGTGTTAATACTCACTTCATCCTCGCCATCGGTATCACTAGATGCTATGCTTCCAGACCGTTGAATGTGGTGTGGGGATTTCTCATTATAATTGGTAGATTTGTTGTTATTGTTATTGTTCATTTGAGCTTCAGAAGATTTCCTCTTTCTGTGACTTGCTCTCCTCAGTGTAGCCGACTCTGGAGGCAGTGTTTTATACTTCCGGTAATCATAATCCTCTTTCTTGAACATTCTGTCCTCTGTCATTTGGAATGGCGAAGGTGCCATGTCTTCAACGTTATCGTATATAGAGAGTCTAGTTGCCTTACGGTAGCTGTTGGTTCGTTTAAACTGTTGCTGTTCCTCAACTTGTAGTGAATTGGTGTTGGCGTCGGTACTTGTGGTGGTGGTGGTGCTCTCCAGTACGCGCTGAACTCCCGTTGTAACGTCACACTCGGACGGGAGAGTCTTCAGCTTTTGTTTGTGCATGAAGAAATCGAAAAGATGTTCAGTGTCGCTCTTTCGAAGCGGTATCGTCTGTCTCCGCTCCGCTCTCTTCATCCCAGAGGCTGGCATGGTGTCTTACACAATAACCGGTATCTGTAAACAAAAGTATAGCAGTTTAGTGTTTGGCAGTGTTAACAATGTAATACGTCTAGTACAGTGCACCGTGTACATACACATACATTAATAATCCCGAGGACCCCAGGAGTATGTCACAATAAATAATTGGGGTCAAGACGCGCGTGATGTATACACATACACAAAGTTCATTGTTGTATATAAGTACAATAGATACAACAGGAACAGTTTTTTTTTATTCAGGCCCTCTAATATACATGTGTGTATTTAATAAGCAGGCCTAAATCCATCAATAAATCGTTTTCCAAAATCAAATAATTTGAAATCGAACGTAGTTTATATAGTTCTTTACCTGGTAGGACTAACACGTCGTTCTGAGGGGAAGGCTCTGAGGTTGGGATAGTAGTTGATTTAGTCATAAAACATGTGCATCGGTTAGGGCGTAATATCAGAAAGGATATGACCGCTGCATATATATATATATATATATATAATTACTGTAGTGTATATTTGTGTACACAATTTATAAATCATAAGTATATCACGTAATATATCCATAGTATGATCGTAAGAAATTATATATACTTGTACAATGTGTATTGTTAAGCTTCAAATACGATATATATAACTAGGGTAGTCAAATCTCACATTTAGCCTATCAACAGTCAAACGTAATATGTGGTCGATATTGCGTACACTGTTTACCTGCCCATACGTTTACAGGTAGCTATGCGTTAAAGTAAACACGAGTTGTATTACCGGTAATCTTCTTGAATATCCTATGTGTTATTTAAAATCATGGTAATTAACTAAAAAAATATTTCAGTTAAAAAACGTATAAAGTTCAATAATATACACGTAGAGCACATCTGAATCGCATAATCAGCATACACTTGTAATTAACTTGCATATCGATTATCATAATGAGTGTAATATAAATGCGTTTAAACCTTCATGTTTTATATACTTTTTGCTACATAAAATATTGTGTAAATCTATTAACTTACATATATAAATGTCCTTTGACTATGCTTTCCTTCTGGAGGCACACTAAAAATCCCAGATTAAGGCTATAGTAACGTACGATATATGTCAGTGTATACGTCCTTCTACACAGGTGTACACTAATGATTAGCCTTTAAGTCCATACAGTCACTCCGTTTTATGAAATATAACCACTCTACTGCTTCGACTCCTGGGTATCCCACAGGGGTGGAACCAGAATAGTTATCAACAATGATTTCCGAACCAGTGACGTATACGTATGAGTAACTCAACCGTGGTCTGTTTTTAGTAACTGGGGTTTTTCAGCTGTGGTTAGGCAAACAAAACAAAAAAACACATCTTACCTTAATAAACAGGTGTTCAGTTACATGATATTATATCGATTGTGGAATATTCCTCACGCTGGTCAGCTGACTTAGTCCATGTACGTTACGTATTTATAGTATATATATATATATCTTCTTCCCTTCGTCATATAGTACTTCCTGGTAGTTACCTGGATGTCGTCACGTAAATCGTACGCTTACCTGTAATAGGGTGTGTTTTGGTTATGGTACAACATAATATACTTGATTTGACGGTCTGTTCAAACCAGAAACGAGCTCGAGGCTTTTGGCAACATATAAATGTCGGCCCGAATCATCAAACCTGTATCGATTAAGTAATATTCTTAAAATAAAACCAATATGCAAACACAAAAAATTATCAGTGGGATGGGATTTTTTTTTTTTTTAAATTCTATACATGACCAGAGACCACGGAATTAGATTAGCTAAGCCCGTGTTATCTAAGTCCGTGCAGAGACGTATAACATAATATATACGTCTCTGACGTGACAAATCTTCTTAAATATACTAGATTTAATGACTAAAACTGAAAAATGAATAACTGAGGGTCTGTTTTTTTTCTTCTTCACAACGTAAAGGAAAAAAGAAAGAAAGAAGAAATGCCTTGCTCCACTCGACGTTGAAGGTCAATATACCGTGTATATATATATATATATATATCATTCGGTGGGAGAGACCGGGGCAAGTAGGTCCATATCAGTAATTAAAGCTGGGGAGTATGACATTTGTTGAATAAAATGCCTTCCAAAAAAAAAAAAAAAAAAAAAAAAATTTCTGTCAGAAGATTAATTAGATTGCCGAACGTGCCCTACATTGGAACAAGATCGGACAGGCAGTCTAGCTGGGGTTAGTTCGGCCCACGTTCAAATCGGCATATAATTATCTGTATCTGTATATGTAAGTCACAAGTCACCAATTCCTGGCATCAATTGTGGCAGGTGGTGTCAAAAAGCACCCAATGTAAGATTTTCCCGCCAATATCGCGACTTTTTGCGTTGCCACTACACATCCCTGCCAAAACGTATATTATATAATACGTCTATAAAGGCCGAACTTGCCCCGGAAACAATTGGCACCCTACGAAATATACCCACGGAAGCTAGGTGGTATAGGGTATCGTGCGTTTTTGCTTTGGTATTGGAGGAGGAGTTAGCAAAACTGGACTGGTCAATCGCCGACCAGCTAACAATATTGAGTTTTCCTCGCGGTTTTTTTCGTGTTAATGTTTGCTCAAGTTTGGCAGATTTTAATTGTGAATGTTATAGGATTACAGTCGCCTTCTAGCTTCGAGCTAGAGGGTATGTACTTTACCCTAGTGGTAGAGCGTCCGACATGAACTACTAAGGCCGGAACAACCGGCGGTTTAAATTTGACCACTTATAAATGTAACAATTTCAGGTATAAATCCTGGCGGACCTGCAAATGTTTATGCAGGCTTTGTCAAGGCTCGCCTGAAAGCAGCACCAGATAACTAGGTCCGGTTATATGTAATAAACGAACAACTGTTGTCCGACCGGTTTGACCGTTTACACGAAAACGGCCCTCTAACGTTCGAAATTTCGCTCCCCGAATTCGAAAGAAGCACACTTTTATCTTTCCTGTTACATGAAGTTAATGGGAACAATGTGACCTAATTTGATAAACCAATCCGAGAGAGTATTCATTGCATATTTATAATATCCGAGTTCATTGCAATAATTAAACCACACGTAATTTTATCAATATTCGGTCTATAACAAATCTATGAAGAAGAGATCTTTGATCTACTACCGGGCCAAATACACCTTTATACACATTCCTAGCCTCCTATACTGAAGAGTTCTACAACAGTAACAAGGCATGGCTGCCAGAAGAGTAACATACCGATTGTAAGTTATTTCTGCATGGTCACTGATTGTTCGACTTTTTATTTAATACGGAACTAATGCAGAGATATTTCCTTATGTGTGTGATATATATGTAATGGACAATAGGCCGGGATGTGAAACTACCAGGCCAACAGATGCAAAAATAACGTGGGGATGTTAATTAGCCTAATGTCAAATCATATGAACTCTTTAGCGTTAAATAATGATCATGTTTTTTTTCGATCGAGATCATTCATCTGTTATAAGAAAGAATGCTGTTGGTGATGTAGAGGAGCTTTCGTTTACAATTTGTAGCTATAATTCTGACGCGTTGCTTTTCATCGCAATATAGGGGAAGTAATATAATATAACTCAAATGTTCGGTTGTTTAAGGTATTTCATACAGGCTCATGTCAGTGTATTTTGTATGAGATTGGCTCATAACTTTCCCTCAAAATGATAAAAAGGTGGAAATTGGTTGGTATACCCAATAAGGTCATGTCAGGAAAAATGTCAATAATGACCTTTGCAGAAATTATTTGTTGAAAATATTGTTGACTTTGTCTGAAAAGTAACATTTGAATGCAGAATTCTAGTGGCGAAAAATTGCAATGAATAATGGAATTAATGAAAAAACTTACCTGAACATGCATTCCTGAAGTATCCATTTATTGACTATTATCGAGAACAGGGACAGTATACGTCCCTGTCGAGAAAAATGTTCATTTTTTAACTGGTGTATTTTGCATTGCTGGGGATTTTGAACCATGACCTTAATGTTTTAAGCACAATAAGGAAATGAACAACTTACAAAAAAAAACACCAATTGATAATATAGTAACCCGGTTTTCATCTGTGAAAGAGCAAAATGCCTTTAATGGATTAAGTCAAATGTATTTTATTCCAAGTCTTACCAGTAAGGTCTTTTACTATTTTTGCAATTTTTCTGTAGAAGATCGATAAAAAATGATTAATACAGCTAGGGAATATGGTGACTGCTTACCAGGATATTATAAACTATCAACTAGATCTACATCTCCTTAAAATTCATGTCTAACACTTTTGTTTGTGCATGCTTGTGCCAAACTAATGGAATGTTCACTTTTCCAAGTTTTCCTGACTGACCCCTCACAAACACACCATAATATTTTGATAACACAACAGGGTTTCAACTGTGTCATCATGAAAACTGAGGTCTATACTATCCTAAATTGGTGACTGTCATACCTGGATGAAGTTGTCTCAATCTGAAGCAACCAGTTAGCTGGAGCTAAGTAACTAAACACTGTTTTATCTTATCCAACATATATTCATAATAAAAGCGAAGCATATGCTATTGTAACAGGAGAAAAAGAAAATGTAACGGCCAGACTGGGGTTCGAACACGGCACCCTCCAAACCCTTCAAACTCTAGACGGACGCTCTAGCAATTGAAATACCTGGTCTCCGACGATCGACCCAGTACTGTTCCACTACATCCTCCCTTTAATTCTTTTGCTAAGTCTTCGCCCCCGAAGACACAACTATTTACAACCCAAGTTCGGATATCCCCTTGCTATATATATTAAGCATACTCCCAATACTTGAACAAGGGTTGGCTAGCTAGCCAATTTTTAAACAGGAGAAATAGAATATGTTACAGCCAGACCAGGGTTCTAACCCAGGACCCACCAAACTCAAGACAGACGCTCTAGTAATTGAGCTACCTGGTCTCTGACGATCGACCCAGTCCTGTTCGGCTACATTCCTCCCTTCTATTTCCAAGTCTTTGCCCCTGAAGACACAACTTTTTACAACCCAAGTTTGGATATCCCCTTGCTAAGCATACTCCCAATGCTTGAAACAAGGTTGGCAAGCTAACCAATTTTGAAACATGTATAGGAGAAATAGAATATGTTACGGCCAGACCAGAGCTCGAACCTGAGACCCTCCAAACTCTAGACGGATGCTCTACCAATTGAGCTAACTGGCTACCAACGATCGGCCCAGTCCTGTTCCGCTACACTATCAAACAGTGATGTCCAACCCTAGTTTTTGGTGCATACTCTTCTTTTTCACACAATTATTATAAAAAAAGTTGAAGTGGAAGCCTAAAATCCTGTTCTTACTCAAGGTAATATTTTGAAATAAGAAGTTTTGCACATCTTTAATAATATTTGTACATATTCTAATATTTTGGGAGCTGAATGAGGAAACAGGTATTTTGTTTGGCCTTTCAATTCAATGGCCATATATGGAATGTATTACTCAAAAAATATATCGATTACATGCTTGTGTATTACCACATAACATATTACGATTTAAAGAAAGTAAATGTCACTACTTCCTGTAAGATGTCTCTTTTATTTACATATTCAAGGCTTTTGGGAAATAGCTGTTAGCCCTTGGCTTGTGATTTGAGAAAATGTTAATTACTTTCAAGAAAAAAATGATAACCAAAATTAAATTATATTAAAGATGTATTTATTGAATTACAAATTGGGTGTGGTTCTTGTTGAACATTCAAAATAAACTTTGTTGTTTGTTTCAGGCCTCTCTGGAAGCGAGCCGTACCTAGGTATCCTCTTTACCTTGAGGGAAGACCACAGAACAGAGTGCTTTTATGTCAGTTCTGGATGAAATTGATTAAAGACAAAACATTTGAACTACCAAATGATAGGGTTCACTTTGAAGTACACCCTCAGTGAGTTTTATCATTTATTTCAATCTTTAAGTAAATCAGTATTTACCACAATTGTTATTGATAAAAACTTATATATTTTCATATATTCATATTATCATTTGCTAAACATGTCTACCATTTATTTCCCTGATGGTAATATTTGTTATTTTATCAATTCGATTCCATTATGATTTCAATACCTGTACCTGCATTTATGTTAGTAGTGTAGCACCAGATGATGTTGGGGGAGAATTTACAAAATGAGGGCCAATACAAAATTTAAGGTGGTCATACTGCAGACGTCTAATGAGCTGATTCTGATTAGACTTTTTCAAAGCCCCAATTTACTATCCGACAGCATCTTTGCTCTCGTCCAGAATATTTGCTCCTTCGTGGGGTAAAAAGAAGTGCAAAATTTTATGATGCTGTGTATTCAATGTTATCCCCAACTTTCAGTCAGTAGTACATATTACTAGTAAAATACTTCGTATCTACTTCGTATCAATCGTATATACTAGAGCCCATGGAGTGGTGCGAGTTTGTTGATGTTATTACATGTACACCTTTTAGCTTCTAGCTAATATGAGAGTTAATGAAGTGATAGTCTTTCTCTTGTGTGTATATATATATATATGCTACTAGGAAGTGATTTCATCTTCTCATATTAGTGTTTTGTTTCATTTTCAGAATGAGCATATTAGATGTTAAGCAATACCTGGAGAAGATTTATAATGTAGATGTATTAAAAGTGAGAACCTACCGCAGAACAGGTAAAAGTTGGAAAATAATGAAATGTATTGAATGTTTGTATAAAACATATTAACTCATTCACCCCTGAAATTTAATAATGAACTATTCCAACCTTTGAACTGGAAGAGTTCAAATGTGTCATCAGGGGTGAATGAGGGGATATACTTTATGTAATAAAATTATGGAATTCAATACAATATATATACTAATGATGTTAGAGCATGTGACATTCACCTAGGCATATTTTAATGTAAGCATATACATGTAAGCTGGTGCAAGTTAAAAATCTGATAACCCAAAAATATACCCTACAGGACTGGTAACATTTCTGATCTTTCAATGGTGGATGCTAAGATATTTCAAGGATATAGATCCTGGAAAGTGTTTAGTTTGATCTACAAGTAACACTGACACATGTGTATACATACATTAACTATCCAACAGCATCTGTGATCTCGTCCAGAATATTTGCTCCTTCGTGGGGTATAAAGAAGTGCAAAATTTTATGATGCTGAGTATTTATGAACAGCAATTGACAGATTGGGAAAATTTAGGTTGAAAATTACAGGTCCAATTTACACTCATATGTACAGACACGTCTTCCAAAAATAACATTGAACAGTTTTGATTTTGAAGTCAATAAAGTTAAATAAACAATATGTGTCTTAGAGTTATGACATTTTCATGCACCTCGCTACAGTGAAGTGCTGTCAATTTTATTTAATAAAATTGCTATACATTGACAGATTTAAAGGTTAAAAACTTCCCACTGTTTCCTCTACGGACAAGAGCTTTAGGTAGCAGTGTACAGAAGCGTACGGTGGCCATGGGTGATATTTTTGTACAATGAATAACCCATGTAATATTACGTGTATCAAAGTTTAAAAACAAATCAGCACTAAAATTGGCATATACATGATGAGTGGACTTTGTGGGCTTCACATTTAAAAAAAGAAAAATTGAATTTGGTTTGAGACTACATTTTTGGCCATTTACAAATCTGTGTCTTCACAACAAAAGCTAGCTTTTCATGTAGTCTATTTTTGTACTCAGCACATGTGTAAATATTGTGAAAAATCCAGTTGAACGACCTATGCTAAAACGTGAGTATATCTGTTACCGAGTAGATGATATTTAATTTAAGACAGGTTTTAAGGATTTTTTTTGTTGCATTTTTTGGCGTTTTTTGATGTGGTTACCTAGGTTTTCACAAGTCCCAAATCTGGAGAAATCACTAGTTGAAAAAAAAAACATTCTTCTAAAAAAAATGTATTCAAAATGTAGTTTGTAAATATATATATATATGTAGGTGTGTTGTGCAGGATAAATCTGCTATCCATGTTTATCTGAGACATGCCCTTTATTTTTAGGATCAAGCCATTTTAGCTGTACTCTGCTACCTTAAGAGCATTGGTATGTGTCCTGTAAATTGCTGCAATGACAGGATACGTCATGTTTAAGAGAATCATCAGGCACATAGTGTAATGATGATATTTAACATCAGGTGCCTTTGTATGTGAACTTGTGGCGAAAGTCTTACACGCCTGAACAAAAATGATTGAAATATATAATATCTGACTGCTCTCTAATTCTGAGATTAAAAATCTGTCGATCAAGTCAAATATAATCCAACTTTCAACCAAATAACCATAAAAGAGGTTCTTAAATTGTCTCGAAACCCAAGGTACCATACTGATATATCAAATGTACATATTAACTCACAATGCCTCACTTTTAGCCTTTAGTTGAGCGCTCGCCCCTGTGAGGACGGCTTTGGGTTCTGTCCCCTGGCCGAGACATACCAGAGTCTGTAAAAATGGTAGTTTCTACTCCTGCTTAACGCTCAGCAATTTAGGAGTGGGATGACTGGTTTGCCGGTTGTCAGTATAATGTGATCGGGTGGGGTGTCCTGCTGGGTGTCTTGGGCAGTATGCTTCAGTGAGGTAGCACTATAAAATCGGCATCAGTTCCGCGCTATCACAAGGAGACAAACACGAGCATATCGCAGCCTCCCAAAACACACACTTGTACCCTACACGCATGCATCTTGCACACTGCGGAGGCCGTTCTTAAATGACCATAGCTGTTGATAGGACGTTAAACAATATTAAACCAAACCAATCATAATACATTGTTTATTAAGGCTTTTAACCGTCTACATATTCTTCTGCCATAATTTCTGCTTTTTGTATCTGTTAAATGTTAGCAGAGATATTTAGGGACATTTAAGTATGTAACAGGCCATAGGCTAAAGTGTCACTGCGTTATGTACACAAGGTTCTGGCAATGAGATGTCTAGTCATATCGGTCTAATGGCAGATAACTCTATATCAAGATAATGTGAACCAGGTGTTGTTATTGCAATTAAGTTGGAGGAGATAAATACAAATGGAGCACTAAGCCTTTCTGTGACTATTTACCTGTAGCAGATCTGACAACAGAACATTTTCAATATGTTATAAAAAGTGAAATAGCTTCCATGATGTCATAGCCGTTTATTTTAGCATGACCCTAGTTCAAAAACTATTGATTACACAGTAGACCTAAAATTTCTCTCAGAACCTTTGTTTAGCTCTACGTTTGGTCTTGATCATTGGAGTGACTGGGACATTTTGTTATGTAAGTACAGGAAGGATTAGTGCTGGTAGTAAGAATTTTTTTTTACGAGTTTTAACCAATATCTTTCATTATATTTCAGAATACACAATTAATAAAGATTCCTTTGACGTAAAAGAAACTGATAAAGGCAAGATCCCTGCTGCAAAAGTTGCCTGTGTTCAGTTGGTAAGATTTAGAATTATTGAAAGAGTACTTCATGTAGCTTTGTGTCTTTTGTGGTTACTTTTGTGTAAAATATGCAAATCCTAGCATTTTAGACAATGTTGAAGTTCAAGATTGTTGGTTATTAAGAGTTGGACCAAATAAAATAGGAGTCTTTTAGTATTCACAAAAATGTGAAAGTCTTGAATGGAGTAGAAAATTATGATTCACAAAAGCATCCCATATAGAAAATTTCTTTTACTATCAAATCAAAGAACCAGGACAACCAATGATGTCGGTTTCAATTGCAATGTAAAGTGTGCATGGGCAGGAAATATGTTAATAAAAATCTGTTTTTAACACATATTTTTATCTACCTTCAATTCAAATTTTGTTTTCAGGGAGGAGCCCACCGGTTAACATTTCCAAACTTGTTTGGGGAGAAACTGTTATCTACTACACCAGAAGAAGATGCAACCAAATTAGAAGAACTTCAAGAGAAATTAAATGTTGCAAAGAACTGGGAACGACCAGGTATCCCACCCTGGTTCAGTTAGCAAGGGTGCGAGTATAAAAACTCATTGACTATATATAATAAAGAACTTTTTGGCACAGAATGATTGTCTAGGAGTATATTTGTTTAGTGAAAGAAATATGTTTATTTTAATGCAAGATGTCTAATGAATAAAAGTTTTTAAAAAAAGTTTTTTTTCTGACATCTGCCACTTTTTGTTCACTCTTTAAACTACTTCATCATCTTTTAGTGTCGCCTGCGAAAAGCTGGCGACACATAGGTATTGCTATGTCGGCGGCGTCGTCTGAACAGAGGTTTTCATGCGATAATTTGAGTTTCCTTGGGCCGATCAAACTCAAACTTCATGCAGTGCTTCCTTACCAAAAGTGCTTGCTTGGGATTGCTTTTCAGGTCCGAAGGTGAAAGGCCAAGGTCACTGTTACTATAAATAGAAACTTCACCAAAACTGTATACTGGACGGCTTCCATCTACCACTTGACCCACCGTGTATACCTCTGAAATGCTGTCTTACTCCAAATGTTATTGACAACACTAGCTGTTTAACATCATAATCCACAAGTTTATTCATTTATTTATGGGAAACCATCCGAAAAATCATACAAATTAAACTTGGAATTGAGACAATGAGTATCAAAAGCAAGTTTCTTAAAACTCAAGAGTATTCTTCCCAGAATAACAGATTATATAACAAAATGATGCCATCCAAAAACATAATCTATGATTATTGCTTACTTTAAACATTATTTCTTAGAATCTTCCAACACTTACCTCCAAGTCGTAAAAAATATGAAATATTTACGGGGTGGTGTTACTGACAACATATAATCGACCAAATGTGCTTGGTTTGTCACATGAACAGAATAGAATAAGAACTTTGTTTGCTAGCAGAACCCGATATAAACATTCTTGTGAAAGACAATATATTCCTATCAGTGATTGTTTATCTCTGATCTGTTCATGTATAGCTACCTTTCTCAAAACCAGAATATTACAATATTCTGCTACATCAGCTAGCTTCTAGGCAATACAATTTTAAAAACCATATTTATTTACAATGTTGATTGATGAATGTTCATAATAAATGTGTCTTGTGAAAAAAAACTAGAACTGTTGCCAATGGGCTAACTAATACCCCCCACATTCTGGCTGCTTGATGCCCCTTGTAGGGGCTAAATAAACGAGTGAAAAAATATATAGAAAGATCAAGGGTCATGAAAAAGTCTTAACCTCAGAAGACAAACACCGCTACTGTGACCTTTGACCCCATGACCACGGAATTTTTTTCACCATGAAGCTTGCATCAATGCTACATATACTCCAAGGTATATGTATACAAAATGCCTTCCATTTCCGTGATAATTAGCCATTTCAGTAACATAATGCATACGCAACCATTGACCTCAGGACCTTGAAAGTTTGTCACAATACTCTAATGTATGTGTATAAAAATATCTACCATTTCCGAGATAAATAGCCATTTCAGTAATGTAATTCATTCACATTGTTTGACCACATGATTTTAGGAGTTTTTCAGTAGAGTAGCTTGCATTAGTGCCTACAATATTTCAATGTATATGTGTAAATAAAATACCAACTGTTCCGAGGTAATTAGCCATTTCAGTAACAAAATGTAACGTCTACAGAAGTCAAGGGCCATAACTCTGGTAAATATTGAGATAACATAATGGCGTTCTGGGAAACACAAGTTCATATAAGGTATAAAATGTGTGCAAAGTTCCAATCAAAATAATAATAACAAGAGGCCCAAGGGCCTTAGCGGTCACCTGAGTTATATCATAGATACTGGTAGCTTTATTTTATTGTTTAGATGTGATGTGGAAATCAGCATGTAAACTAAGTGAAATACAATACTTGTCATGTCATCAATGGATAAGAATTTGAAAATATTGGTAAATGTTTCCTTTGGGGCCCCGCTCTAGCCCCTGGGGATGGGGCAGGAATCCTAATTTTACAAAGTAAAACTCTCATTTACCCAAGATGATTCTGACTAAGTTTGAGCAATTTTCTGCTGAAAATATATAAAATATATACCGAAAAGTGTTATTTCCCTATATAAACTATATTAAACGTTAACCCCTCCCCAAGGGAGAACGGATAGCTCGGGGTCCTGATATTTTCAATTTAAATAAAGCCCCTGATGATCTTTCTTTCCACGTAAAGAAAATCACTGTAGTACCTCTGAGTCTGGAGAAGAAGATTTTTGAAATATTGATTAATTTTCCCTTTGGGGCCCCGCCCTGGCCCCAGGGGTCGGGGTAGGAATCTCAATNGTCTTACTCCAAATGTTATTGACAACACTAGCTGTTTAACATCATAATCCACAAGTTTATTCATTTATTTATGGGAAACCATCCGACAAATCATACAAATTAAACTTGGAATTGAGACAATGAGTATCCATAGCAAGTTCCTTAAAACTCAGAGTATTCTTCCCAGAATAACAGATTATATAACAAAATGATGCCATCCAAAAACATAATCTATGATTATTGCTTATTTTAATCCCAGCTTCCTGCGCAGGCGACACATCCTCTTCCGTAAAATTCTTGTTTCCTCTTAAAATCTTCCAACACTTACCTCCAAGTCGTAAAAAACATGAAATATTTACGGGGTGGTGTTACTGACAACATATAATCGACCAAATGTGCTTGGTTTGTCACATGAACAGAATAGAATAAGAACTTTGTTTGCTAGCAGAACCCGATATAAACATTTTTGTGAAAGACAATATATTTCTATCGGTGATTGTTTATCTCTGCTCTGTTCATGTATAGCATACCTTTCTCAAAAACCATAATATTACAATATTGTGCTACATCAGCTAGCTTCTAGGCAATACAATTTTAAAAACCATATTTATTTACAATGTTGATTGATGAATGTTCATAATAAATGTGTCTTGTGAAAAAAAACTAGAGCTGTTGCCTATGGGCTAACTAATACCCCCCGCATTCTGGCTGCTTGTTGCCCCTGTAGGGGCTAAATAAACAAGTGAAAAAATATATAGAAATATCGAGGGTCATGAAAAAGTCTTGACCTCAGAAGACAAACACCGCTACTGTGACCTTTGACCCCATGACCACAGAATTTTTTCACAATGAAGCTTGCATCAATGCTACATATACTGCAAGGTATATGTATACAAAATGCCTTCCATTTCCGTGATAATTAGCCATTTCAGTAACATAATGCATACGCAACCTTTGACCTCAGGACCTTGAAAGTTTGTCACAATACTCTAATGTATATGTGTATACAAAATATCTACCATTTCCGAGATAAATAGCCATTTCAGTAATGTAATTCATTCGCATTGTTTGACCATATGATTTTAGGAGTTTTTCAGTAGAGTAGCTTGCATTAGTGCCTACAATATTTCATTGTATATGTGTAAACAAAATACCAACTGTTCCGAGGTAATTAGCCATTTCAGTAACATATTTCACTCGTCTACAGAAGTCAAGGGCCATAACTCTGGTAAATATTGAGATAACATAATGTCGTTCTGGGAAACACAAGTTCATATAAGGTATAAAATGTGTGCAAAATTTCGATCAAAATAATAATAAAAATAATAATAATTAGAGGTTTTTATGTAACGCTTTATCACAACCTAGTTTGTAGGTCGTCTCGAAGCGTTTCACAAATTATTATCCGTGGTTATAGGGCCTTTGCAACCAGCCAATATCTTTCTCAACTCCCTGGGGAGCATACAGCCGGAGCTGCCATTTCGGCGCTAACAGCTAGCTTTCTACAATTCTAGCACTGCCCAACCACGCACTCATTTACAGCTGAGTAGACTGGAACAAGCGGAGTAAAGTATCTTGATCAAAGATACAACACAGAGCCGTGCCGTGAATTGAACCTGCAGCAACCCTTCGGTCACGAGCCAGGCGTCCGACCACTAGACTACCGTGCCTCCAGAGTCCATGCATAAACCTTGGAGAAGGATGTCAATATTTTGTCTACAGACAGTATACTGAGCTGTCTGTATCTGATGGGAGCGTAATTGCCAGACGATACATTTGGTACAATAAATTCTTGAGTACAGTCTGGTTAACTGGACTATGATGATCCAAATAGTTATATGATAATCTAGTTATTTTTCATGCAGCTTATTCTGACATTGAACTTATAAGCTTTTAATATATTTAAGAAAAAAATATCAGATTTAAATGAAAAAGTTGATTGATTAGGGAAGTCAACCCGTCATTTATCTGCCAAATTATATTTTTACCGGACTAAATTAAATTAAATTAAGTTAAATGCAATGTATGAATGAAATACATTTTGTAATTAACAGTTATGTTGATTATGTTCTTTGAGTTTATACCGATCCCTGGATTGAAGTGGTAGATTATGCTGATAACAATAACTCAAACTCCAGGATACATCAAATTTTCTTTATTTTAAGCATTGTATGCTGCATCATACAGTATTTTGATTAAATAACTAGATCTATGATGTTGAACACAGACAACACTTACCTTTAAGTTACAATATTAATTTTTGTGTCCCGAGGATTTGAAACGTGTGATTCTCTCGTATAGAATTGGTATATTTTTTATCATCTGACAGCTACACCTCTTTGTCAAAAGAACAAATTTTATTTATATTGTAAATTGTAGGTAATTTCATAAAATTAATGTAGATTAAGAAAACTAACTGAAACAGAAAACACATGCGAATTTCATAAATCTGATTTAATGCTGTGGCAGTTAAAACTCTGAGCAGTATAATAACACACATGTTTTTGTTTAGGGTAGTTTCCTAGAAAATTAAAATTACATACACCAATGTATGTAAAGAAGCTATGAATGGCAAGGCAGTCAAAGAATATTCATTCCTCCCTGGCCCTGGTATATAAAAAAACTAAAACAGTAAAACTGTACTTATATTGACAAATCAGCATTTTTCTTTCATTAAAGCATGTATCTTGATGAATAATGATCAGGTTAACAGAAGAAAAAAAGAAAAAAAAAGAAAAAAAAAAGAAAAAAAGAGAGAAAAAAATACATAGACACTATTTGATAAACTAATGCAAGTTCACGATGTATAGGGAATTTCATTAAATTTGACAGACAAAATATTAATTGTCTTGAACAAATTTGGTGTCAAAAAGGTTACGAAACTGTCAGAATTGTTTCCACTACGTATACCATAATCTTTTGACGACAAATAATGAGTTTTAAACATAACAGGATACAAGTGGCCTGTTTTAGATCATAGCAGTAATTCCAGGGTTAGACAATAAGGGTAGCCCAATAGTCTAGCAGACTATTCAAATCTCCAGTGGTACTACTGGTTCTAGACACTGCTAGCCACATTAAGTAGTCAAAGATGTTGTTTTTGTGGAATAATATTGAATTTGTGGGAGTTGTAGTAAGGGTAAAATTTGGTTTTTACAAATTAACTTGTAGCCTTGAATTCAGGAATTAACTAATCGGATGACCCCAGCTAGACAAATTGATTTGAGGTAGCTATAGATTTCCCTGAAAATAAAAATTAACTGTGGCTTGCAATTTACCGTAAAAATTTCCAATAATATGGCAAAATGAATGATAAAGAATTTAAATAAAGCATAAAAAATCTGTTAACCTTTTTAGTGTTTAAGTTATATGGTACACAGGATAACTGCTAAACGATGTCAGAATTACAAGCATTCAAAATCTTTTGTCATTAAATTTATTAAATTGCAGGATGGACAGATAAGACTTTAACACATTTGAGAAAAATTTGAAAGCATGCACACACTTGTCACTATGAATAATGGAATTGTAGAATCATAATGTAAAAAATGAGCATTTATAAATAGCCATCGCTATTTCTCATCCACCAATTACATGAAATTATGAATTTATCTCAAAATTTGACATTGTTAAAAAAAAACATGTCAATCACTTATTAATCAAACAATGTCATCGTTGAACAAAATGTCAACTCATGTTGATGAATGAACAGTGTCAGTCTGTTTTCTCCAAGGCCTTGAGTCTCTCCAGCAGTGGGGGATGAGAGTAACTCCATGTTGAATACAGCCAATCCACAACAGGGAAGCCCAGATTGTCCTTGTTTAGTTTTATCAGTGAGGATTTCAGATCTGATGCCTTCTTCATTCTCTTAGCAAATGCATCAGCTTCAAATTCAAATTTACGACTGAGAACTGTCATACAGAAGGATAAGACCTGCAATTTAAATAAACAGGGAATTAAAAAAAATGAAATATTTCTTGCATGTAAAAGTCAATATTCTTCTATTATTGAACTTGATATTGATATTCCCAGTACAAATAACCGTTTATACCAGCTGGGAGAAAACCAATTTGTTGAAATCTTGCATTGCATGTCACATTTCACTATTAAAATATCATGTGTACTTAAGCTTCCATTTTTTGGTCTTTAGTACGTGATTTCGCTTTTATAGTCATGTGCTATTACAAATGTACCAGTTTTTAAAAATATCACAAGTAAAAGTAGATTAATAGACTTTAACAATTGTGACTTTCCTTGTAAAGTCACATGTGTGGTCATTTTCTCACCTTAGCCAAACGAAAAACGATGGTAGTTGATGAAGTGGTATCATTAAGTTGGCTTATATATATGTAAAATCAAGTAAGCTTTACCGGTATATTTAGAACTGGTACAATTCCAAATCTGATTTCTTACAAGGTGACATACATTTCTGATTACAACACATTCAAACTGACGGAACTAGTCAACACTTGGACTTCAGCCGTTAAACCTACTTGGACACTGTCATGGTCATTTTTTCAATCAATAGTTATACTTGTTGTAATACATATAATTATATACTACTGGTCTTTAATTTTTTCCAGCAAGAACAAATCTTTTGACGTATTATTTCGCTTTATGTAACATTACCCGACAGATAATGCCACGCCTTTCTTATATTACAAGTGAATCTCCTAAGCCTGGGAATGCTTCATATTAAATGCTGTTAAAATCCCTTCAGTCGTTCTGAGCTAGTTATCATTTAAGGAAACGTAAACAGATGGACAAGGTGCCATTGCATTAGTTCACATAGCCTTCAATCAAATGAAGTAATAATAATTAATAACACTATATATGTAAAATAGAATTGCTTGATGTGAGACACTTACCTCGTGATATGGAGAGAAGATAAACTGGAATATGATGAGCATCCCAATAAGTATGGGACGAGTGTCAAACCCAAAGGCTGTATACAACACCGTCTTCTTGATCAGGAAGGCGAATATCATAAAACACAAAAACGTGTTCACCTGGAAAGAAACAGCAATGTTTCAAAGAGTGCACAGTGTTAATTACCTGAAACATTCATCAATAATGATCAACATTTTTTAATGAGAGAGTATCAACCTTATAAAAATTTAAACAAACTGTTTTTGTAAGATGTTTGATAATGTGTGTATACTTACAAAAATTGCTGATGCTTATAGCATGAACAAATGTTGATTGTTAAAATCGATTTTGTGGACAACTCGTACACATTTTACACCTTAATTTGTGTGCATACGCTTCACTGGTCATTTGTCTGATGAAGGTGACAGAGTACATATCGTACTAGTCATCGAAACGTCAAATAGAAAATTGTATTGGTTGTGTAAAAAGAACTTTTCATAATTCAGTTGATTAACACCTAATGTCACTAAATGGAAAGCTGGAACCGATTGGAAAGCTAGAAAAGTGGAATAAGACAGTCATCAAAATGTCACATAGAAAATTGTATTGGTTGAGTAAAAAGAACTTTTCATAATCCATACTTACCAACCTGAAGAAAATGTTTAGAAATATGTGAACATTGCATCATGATCACAAAGTGTAATCAGGATAACTATTGGAAACTATAATGAGGGGGGGGGTGTGTGTGACCTCATTACAGATGACACAAGGGTGGACATTTGAAGGTTTCTGAATTCAATATGTAGAATCCAATCCCAATCTTATCTAAATCTAAGCTGATTAACATGTGTGCAAGTTCGTATGATCATTGCTATGTAAAAACTGAAAATTCTTGCACGAGACAATTTCCTGACATACTGCCCTTTTGGTCCCTGGTGATGTCCGTGCAGAAGGAGTTACTTCCCTTGGTAAACAAGGTGTTGTAAAAGGTGCACTTAAGTGGTGAATAAGACATGGGTAAATTTCTAGATACGTTCAGTTTTTTACATAGCAGTGATCATTTGAACTTTCATAAATATGCACTTTTCATGCTACATTAATGTATTCAGTGACTTACCTGACTGATTACTAGATTCTTTAGGTTGTGACTCAGTTTCCAATGACCCAACTCGTGTCCAAGAACAGCTAAAATCTCATCGTTGGTACAGCCCTGCTGCTTTTGTTTTTCGTCTTTCTCCTCTGTTTTCGTCTCTTGAGCTTCAGCAGGATCTACAGAATCCTGAAAACAACACGAATGAGTTTATTCTATCTTTTACTGGTTTTGACTAACTCTAGAACGAATATTCATACCCTGCCTACTCTCCGCTCCTGACGACGACCATCTATCAGAAATCGTCCGTCCGTTGTCCAGAGCTACAATTTGTATGTTATTGCAGCTGGACTAACTCCAGTTCAGTTTATTTCCAAAGTTTAGTTAAAATAAGATGGATTTCTGTACTAAAGGATGGCAGTATTTATTACATGTGTTTAAAAGTCTACACATGCAATCAAATATTGTAAACATGGTTATTTCTTCCTGAAATGTGGTATAATTTTGCATGACACCACAGCTAAAAACTTTCATTAATCAAGTATCATATCATGCAAACATAACTTCAATGAGATGAAATCGGCACCCCACAAATAACTTTTTTCCACACTAATGAATCCTACGATTATGGGAAAGTGTCACTGCACAAAAGAAAATTTGTACCCACAAAAAGAATTATATTCATGTAATATTGAAATGCCTGTACAAAATTTCCTTAACATGTGAAAAGTCCATAACTTGAGAGAAATATGTTACATTATCCCATTAAAAAAAATCCAACCAACGCCAGCCAGTACACCATAATAAATCACTTCTATTCATGATTACCTGGGAAGAATCCCTACCTGTTACTTCTATGCAAATTATTAGAAACAACCTTACCTGGTACCCCTAATACACATATAGAAATTAAATGATTTACTGGAAAAGCCGTAACATATTCAAGTTTTTCAAGTTGTTTTTTTTCAAGTTTTGAAAATATCAAAGTAATGATCTCATGATCATTATGGTTTGCAGCCTATTTTCACTGCCAGGATTTTTTTTTCTAAAAACTGAAAAGTAAAGAAACATTAAACGACAACAGAGCATTTAATCACTATTGAAGTAAATGAAGCAAGACCTTGTGAGAGTTATCTTCCTCTTCCTCGCTTTTCTTGTCTTTCTCCTCCTCGCCTGGAGGTTTGTAATCCTCTATAAGGGTGTCAAACAGAACGATCCTCTTGTTCTTGAAGAACCCGTAGAAGTAAGCATTACTGTGGGCTGATCGCTTTGAACCTGGAAAGAAAACGTTTGTAATCAAATACCAGTTTGTTCAAAATTAAGTGGTCACCTGCATTAGGGAAGCCATACATTTGTAACTGATACAAGTTAAACTCTAGAAAAAGATTTTCTCAACACTACCCTGTGTTATGTCACCATTACGTTGCACCATCACACTTGCATTATGACATCATGTCCTTATTTTAAATCAATTTTTCTTCCAATTGGAGAAAGCCAAAAAGGTATCTAACAGAGAAAAACTATTATTCATTTAGCATATATGTCATGGGATGAACCAAATATCCAACTTATAAGAATTACCCCTTTTTATCAATTTTTGAGTAACCATGCTATCCTATAAACAGCAGATTGATTGATTTAACATAAGTGCTCCTAAATCAGTTGATTAAGAGACAAGGGGCTCAAAGACTCTCGCACATCTATGACCAAGTATTAAACAAAGCGTAGCTAAATCAAGTCATTTCGGTACATATATAACAACTTTTGTACGTAGCCGAAATTGACATCGATTTTGTGGACAACTTGTATACATTTTACACCTTAGTGTGCATACAAATCACTGGTTATTTGTCTAATGAAGTTGACAGTGTACATATCGTACTAGTCATCGAAACGTCAAATAGAAAATGTCATTGGTTGTGTAATTCAGTTGATTAACACCTAATGTCACTAAATGAAAAGCTGGAACTGATTGGAAAGCTCATTTATAAAACAACTCGGTCAATCAGATATCCAATCTTGTGTGTTCATGTTCAAATATAATCTACCAGAACCTGCTGAAACTCTGATTCTACTTAACATAAAACTTGTTCTGCATAGAAACCATTATCATCTCCCAATGGATAGCCTCCATTTAATTTATAACAAATCAAAAACAAAAACTCTACTTATGAGATGATTAAATTATGATAAGAATAATGACATACCTATGAAGAGACAAATAACTAAAAGAAGAAATTGAATTTGCCTCGTATTATTTTACAAGAGACAGCACTTCTTTTGTACCTTCCACAACAAAGAGCTTCGTCAAAGGGAAATCAATGCTGGCAGCCAGGGCTTCAATCCTGGTGCGGAGGTCTCCCTCTGGTAGGGGGGTGAACTTGTCAAACAGCGGAGCAATATAGTCGGCGTAGATGGTGATCAATAGCTGTTAACAGAGAAAATATCAAAGGATTCAAGCACACGAACATGCACCTCCATACCTAAGATTACTGTATCAGACTTAACACACCAACGGTCTTTCAATTTTCTGCCATGTGTCCCTGCATGACCTTATTGTATTCACTGTGTTAATTGTTTAACAAAAAACAAAGACACCTTCATGTACCCACAATTTGTGTTAGAATTATCTCCCCTTGCACAAAATTCTATAACATGTTTCATCAATAAAGACAACATGAACGAACCATTGCCCAGATTATACTTTGTTACTTTAGGTACTTCAAAATATTTGCTTGAATATATTTCATGTTCTTGCATGAAATATTAGATCCAAAAGGACTTACCGGTATGCTAAGACTTACCAAAGATACCACGAAGGTAAATATCCATGTATAGATGAAGAAATAGTCACCACCGATCTGAATAATATAGATAAGCCCAGAAACAACTGGTAGGGAAATGCACTGCATCACAATGAACTTCTTTATCTGATCTTTCACAAAGAAACCAGGCGTCTGCAAATAATAAATTACACATCAATAAGACAATGTTCCATTACAGGAATCTAAGCATCAATAACAGGAGGTTACATGTGTGTCTGGAGACCCATACTGATGTGTAATGAGTGTTATTCTAAGAGGTTTTAAAGGGATTATATCAATACTAGGTAAAAATTGCCCCCCCCCCCTCCCCCCTGCTGGTATCGTATCATTGTAGGGAAATATCTCCCCCCCCCAGCACAACAAAACCTTTTAATTCCTGTCCTAGGGATACCATTTGCTAAACGACATTCATACCCCCTCCTTGTAATATTGAGCTAAAAATTAATAACTCGGAATTTTAATAGGAGGTAACACAAAATTGATTTTGGTTTTTGTTGTTGTTTTGCATTTACCTTATTCTCATGAACAAATGGTCAATAAGTGATCACTCATGCTAAGTCACAGCTCTCAAAGAGTATACCCATGCCTTACCTGTTTGTTAAATCCATGTTTTTCCTCCAATACAAACGTGGAGTACACCGTCCATGGAAGGGAGGTAACAGTGGAAAATATGCTGGTTATGAATAGGAAGGACAAAGACTGAAGGATCTGTGGACAAAAATAACAGCAGATTATACTGAGTTATACATGATAAAAGGATATAGGTTGGTTGTTGTACTCACAGTAATGCAGAACTGATTTTCAAATCACATAGTAATATCTTTGTAATATATTACTTAATACACGAACTGATCTCTGTTATTAGAAGTCACATCTGAGAGAGACATCATTTTTCAAATGATTTCTTCCCTGCAAGTTAATATCCTTTTGCACATCTAGGTAGACTTGAAGAATCAATATTATCTAAAGCATTGTTCAAGGACACGAGGAACATGTGTGGCAATGCTGCAAGCTGAATCTCAACCTATCAGCAAATATATATATAATAACCCACAGCTAGAGCTGCTTCTAAAGTAAGGTGTTCTGTAAATATATTTCTTGTGCATTTCTTACAAGTTTTCAAAGACTTTATATAAACTACCTCATAGTCAGGTCCGTATCCAAATCTGCCTGTAACTTCACCGGCATACCACCAAACAAATGGAAACCCACCAAAAACCAAGATCAGCTACAACAAAACATGGGGTCCATTACCATCAAGGCTGACAAATGTAACCAATCATTCATTCAGTAGATGACTTTTTTTTATTAAATAGCCTGATAATAAATTACAGTTTTACTTTACAATTTCTAGATATTACTAATACTAACTGATAAGTCAAAACTTACACCAGGAGTTAATTGAAAAATTATTTTGACCATTTGACATTTGTACAACAATTTTGATTTGTTAACAAATGCAAGTCATATGTAATATAGAGGTACCATTTATAATCCTGAAATATAATGAATGTCTACAATTTGTAAAAGTGCAATGAAGTAAAATTAAATCATGCACTTAAGTCAGTTTCTAACTATAAATATATCATATATATATATACACTGAACCACTCTAGGTTAATTTACTACATGTAGGTACGGACAGGTTTGTTAACATAGGATAATGAAATCAAAACGCTCCTTTATAGCTTCACTGAAAGATGGAACATAGGAACAGATCTTTATGTGTATGTTTATATGTAAATATTTATGTTTTGATCTGCACAACAAAAATAAATTTAATATATATTACGCTTTAAGCTTGAAAACAAAAAGGAGCAAAATCTTACAGTTGTTTCAAATTGAGAATAAAGCCCGTGCCAAAACCCAAAGCTACTTTTGTCCAGCTGATAAAGGCGTGCTTTAGTAAAAGTCTCTTGGTCCAGCACATGCTTTAGAGTATCTGGAACTGTCTCCACTGTCCGAGCTAGAAATCTCTGAAAATATATTTTATATAACAAATTAAATGACATTTACCTGAAAATTACTAAATGCATAAGAAAAATATATCTTCATTTCTGATGAAACTATTAGGAAGACATATGCATGTACACTAATCTTTGACATCAGGCCATATATACCACATAGCTTAAATCATATACCTTTTCTCACTGAATTTCCCAGGTTTTAGATATGCATGTCACATGATAGGGCATGTGTACTTCCAGTTAGCATTGAAAATCTTAGAGATGTCGTCGACAATATGCAAAATGCACTGGTATGTGGTTGCTGACTGCATGTGCAATGATAGGGTACTAGTCAGGAGACATCCATGATCCTTTAACTTTCATGAAGGATGTATGAAATATCAGCTGTCATCCTTTACTGATCATGTTTCTCTTCGACAAAGTTGGTTTCCCACTGATTTACATTTACACCAGAAGTACACATGCATGCCCCCTTAGTGTACCATGTGGGTTTTGTTCCAAAAAATCTGTATCTCGAAATGATAATAATAATAATAATTTGAGGTTCTTGTATACCGCTTTATCACAACCTAGTTCGTAGGTTGTCTCAAAGCGGTTCACAAATTATCATCCATGGTTATAGGGCCTTTGCAACCAGCCAATATCTTTCTCAACTCCCTGGGGAGCATACAGCCGGAGCTGCCATTTCGGCGCTAACGGCTAGCAATCAACAATTCTAGCACTACCCAACCACATACTCATTTAAAGCTGAGTAGACTGGAACAAGTGGAGTAAAGTATCTTGCTCAAAGATATACAACACAGTGCCGTACTGTGACTCAAACCGGCAATGATGTATGTTTGTATATATGTATATAAGATGGTGAATACATAATGGTAAGAACTTTGCACATGCATCAACTGGCCTTTTAAGTGAAATACTGTACTTGATTGGCAATAATTTGACAGATTCTATTTAGCTGCAGGTAGAAAGCTTGCTACCCTGACATGAGCCAAGGTTTGATATATACATGGTTCATAGCAGGTTGCAATTGACCATAATATAAACAGATCTTAATATTCCAGACAGTGACATATGGGTCTATGGGCTGATATCGTGAATGACCTTATATTAACTAGGATTTAACATATCCGTATTAGAATTGAAAAAAAAATAACTATGTATATATATATATATATATACCAGTCAGTACAGCATTTCACCATAGTTTTGCTTTTATTTCCTATTGTATGTTCCCAAGTTGCATAATTGGTACGTGTACTTGCCAGCATTCATGGCAGGTACAACTGATGTATGTACATGTAAGTATATGTAAAATAATAATCTTGTGTGTGATTCGTTGAATGTTATATTCTCAAGATCCAAAAATTAAGTTGTTTTAAATCGGGACCATATATTTGTACCAAAATAGCAACTAAACGGTACATTGTAATATGATCAGTTACATGAACCAGTGAAATTTATGAAAAAATAATGGTAATACATGAATTGTACAGATTTGCAGTGTTAGAAAATTCTGCAGTTTCAAATTACAGAGAAAAAAACAAGTACTAATTTTACCACGTTTGCGATGCAACAACACATTTTATTTGTTAATAATCATGGATGATTCGACAATAGACCATGAGCCTGTGAGTGTATTATTTTTCAACAGACTAAAGCTCTTCCAAAAACCTCATACACAAATGAACAGGTAAACATAAAGCAAGTTGCTGGACTGGTTTCATTTGTCGAATGAGAGTACCAGCATTTAATTTTGTACATATTTGAAGATTTGCTAGCGAGAATATTAAAAGCATGTCTTAATTAAGTGTTTATTGTTTATCTTCTGTTGACCAAATGGTGACTGGAAATAAAGAAAAAATCTTTCAAAAATATATCAAGGTAAAAAAGAGACAATAGGACACCTACCTACGGCATAGGATAAGAAATGATAAAAACACTCAGCATGTTGTAAAATAAAGACATATAGGTATAACGTGACAAATATTAGCGTGTGCAATAGAACAGATTTATTCAAATAATCGGTTATCTAGGTCATCTTGCTCATCAAAGAGCATCTGTCTACATTTCAGAGGGTCCCTGGTTTAAATCCCTGACTGGCCACGCATTTTTCCTTTTCTGCTACATTAAGTGCCTCTGATCATGACCAAGAACTGTGTGAATTCTTTACAAGGGGATACCCGAACCCATCCTCGATATCCAGGGATTACGCTCACTTTTGCTCTCTACACTCCTGGAATATGTCATAGCAAAATTGAATATAAATCAAAAGAATCTTGCGGTCAGGTAACGGTAAAAATTGACAGGCTTTGAAGTCGGGCGTCTCTACTTTGTAATCTTCAAAGGACAGGTATCAGCCTAGCGATTGGTCAGTTTTTTTTTACCCGAGACCAATCAAACACTTATCTTCGTGCCTTCAATTTTGCTATGACTTATTCCAGGGGTGCAGAGAGCGAAAGTGAGCGTAACACCTGGATATCGAGGATGACCCGAACCTAGCTATATTTGTAGCTTGTAAATATTGTTGTCTTCGCGAGAAAAGACTTAGAAAAAGAGGGAGGAATGAAGCAGAACTGCACTGGGTCAATCGCTGGTGACCATGAAAGGTAGCTCAATTTGTAGAGCATCTAGAGTTCGGAAGGTCCCTGGTTCGAATCCTGAACTGGTCATGCAATTTTCCTTTCCTGTTACATCTAGTGCCTGTGACCAATCCTTGTTTCAAGTACTGGATGATCTGAATGCTCAACATAAAAAACCCAAACCTGGGTTGTAAATAATTGTTGTCTTTATAGGCGCAAAAACTTAGAAAAGGAGAAGGGAATGACTTGTAGTGAAACTGGACTGGGTCAATCGCCAGTCACCAGGCAGCTCAATTCGTAGAGCATTTTCCAAAGTTTTGAGGTTCTCAGGTTTGAATCTGAGTTTGGCTTTGAATTTTTTCGTTATCTGTTACACATCTGATATCTAGTAAGACTACAAGATGACATATAGGCCAAGTATCGATACTGTAGCCACATGCAAGAACGAGTACCAAAACACCTCTGTATCAACCCCCTATCAGCCACCCACAGAATGAAAAAAAAACAGTTGTCACAATATAAAGAAGGGTCATAATTAGAAAATTAGCTTGTAGGTTGATGACGGTTCAGGGGCAATCCCACTACAATGCAACACAGCTTAATGCAGTAGGAACGGAGACATCTAAACACAGTATCTCGGCTTATCCTAGGATTGAGTGTCCCTGGTGTCTCATTGGCAGTTTTTTGTGCAGTTCTGAACCGGTTGCACAAGTGATGTACCCGCATGAACCGATCCTGACGAGGCGTTGTAACCTTGGATCGGCCAGTTTGAGGGCAGTCGGCAGTTGTACCAGTTATTGCAGTAAAGACAACATACATATTGTGCTTTTGTGGACATTCAGTTCTTTTGCCACAGCATTTCCAGCCAACAGTAACTGCACTGCCCTGTTCCATGTATCGTTAGTTAGTCTAGGCTTTTTGACGTAATCACAAACAAATTTCTTTTACCTGACGAATTCTTACACGATACTAGCCCGAGTTTCTTTTGGCCCTGACAACACATTTAAACATTTTGACAGATAGATGTCTGGTGTGGGGCCAGAGCACACTCCTATATGAAAACGTGGAATTCTCCGACACCGTTTGATATCAGAGAGTTTTTAGGTGGTGACAACAAAAATCGACTTTGCCACAACACGTGCACGTACCTTACATATATTGATAATTGGATTATTCATTGATTTTAAATCCACTCTTATTATCACCAACAGCTGCTCAATTCCGTCACTAGAGTCCTCGGTTTACAATCATCAAAATTTCCCACCTGAGCGGATGCCATTTTTGTAGGTCTCAAGCTGTGACAAATAAAAAAAAAGAGGCGGTCCGGAAATCTTCTAAACAAGAATAATATCCTCCGTTTTGGTTCGGATCAGTATGGCTTGTTGATTAGTCATCCCCATGACCTACAAAAATGGCATCCGCTTAGGTGGGAAATTTTGAAAGATTGTAAACCGAGGACTCTACTGACGGAATTCCACGTTTTCATATAGGAGTGTACTCTGGCCATGGCCCAACACCAGAGATCTATCTGTCAAAATGTCTAAGTCTGGTGTCAGGGCCAGAGGTAACTCGGGCTAACCCGATACCTGATTATGAAGAATGATAAACAGGTCTGGGACGCATGCAATGCGGCCAAATTTATCGGTGCACATGCTAATCGGGCTATCTCCGGACAAGAGGACGCGTAGTTTGACACTCACTCAGATACAATATTATTCAACACAGGCTAACAATAGTTTCTTAATATAATAAAATTATGGTCATTTAAAAGGGGTTGCGTTTCTTTTTCGTGTCAGTGTATATTCATAGCGTATATTGAAGATTTTCAGTAGACAGTATGATCAATACAATTATACATTCACTATGAAAATGTCTAGTCGAACTGTACATCCCTGCATGGGTTGATAAATACATTTCTACATGCAGTTAAATGGCAACACAAAGGGGAAACGTGTATTGTTGTTACATATACCATACATCTTTGTACATATTATCCATAACAAAAACTTAATTGTACCAAATCCTTAAACTGTTACACTGTCACTAGGCCGGGGGGGGGGGGGCATGTCGAGCTGTTAAATACTGTATGTCGTTGTGATGTACATATATTGATGTGTTTGGTTCATTTCCAGGCTAAATGTACCTGTCTCGACGATAGATACGATTCCCACATGTATACAATCCATTGAAAACCGAGTACGGCCATAAATATGGAACTTCCTGACGGGTCCATGTTGCTAGAAAATGCCGGCTTTGTCATCATCAATGTCAGGGCGGCGCTTGGAAAATTTCACTAAGGAGAGCAAATTAAATAGAGCGCGGAATTTAAAAAAACCTTTTAAGTACCTTTTCAACGACCTGTGGTGAAGTGGCTAGAAAATCCACAAATTTTCCGTGAAAGTCATCACCAAACCATCTTTTTGTTTCTTCATTGATAATTAAGAGGATGAATTTTATTAATTTACATGTACCCTCGCTACGGTTTTATAGATCAAAGAAAGAGTAGGCCTAACGTTAGATGTTACCACACGTCATGAGCTATTTGCAGACAGCTGAAAACAATTTTTCTTGCGATGAAAATTAACAATTCTTTGTTGGTATTTCAACATTGTATGATGACGAATATAATTATTTTCATTGTCTGAATTTAGTGTCCGAAACAGAAGGTATACCGATGCTCCTCACGTGCCATTTTATCAATGTAACGAATGACCTTTGATACACTAGTACTGATCAGAGACGTATAAAGCCACGTCCCTGCACTGATGTACCGTGTATTTTTTTGACATTCTTCCACGCTATCACCTGTGAATATTCTAAATGTTTCCGGGTCTTCAGTCAGTATTAACCTCGTCGATAGATAGGATGTTTTTCTTTTAATATTTACATTTCCACTGCAAGTTCCTCTGTAAAAAGCATTACCGGGAGAAATTGGGTTCACAGTGCTATGAACGCAATTCGATTGGCGTCATTTTGAATAAACCGTTAGAAACATTTTGGTGACGTTAAGCTGTTTCAGGAATTCCTGTTCGCGCTGACGACACAGATACTTTACATCGAAAATTTAGACGAATAATAACTTAATATTTAAAATTTAAATACAGTGTATAAGGATTGAACGACATTTTTACCATGAAGTCATAGCGGGCTTCAAGGGATAATATGGATGTAACCGATGTGCGTTCATACCGGCATGCAATTGAAAAAATAATTCGTTAAATCCTTATATTTTTCATGTGTGGGTCTGATATCTGGAACTTCCCTATCTGGGATTTGGTAAATATATGAGACAATGTTTATTGTGTCAAAGCGAAGATGCATACATGTAAGATCTAAGTCCGTGTCAAAGTCATTGTCTCTAGCTGCTTCTAGGGTTAATTTCTCTCTCTATATATATAGTCTTCTCTGGTCTATTTTAGCATTTCTCTAGACTTGTTTGTTTATCATTTCATACTGAGCTTATCTGTTCCCTTTGATCTTTCTGACGTTCATTGTAGGCCATTATCTTTGGGTTTCCGTTGATCTTTTAGCTAAGTTTTGTTTTATTTCCTTCCTTCACTACAGCCATATTTTCCTCGAATTATGTGACGATGTTTAAAGGCTCTCGATTAAAAGATTCTTATTTTCGCAATTCGCTGTTCCCTCCGAAGTACAGAGAGTGTGTTTTGAACTTCTGGAAAACTTTCGTTTGTCTAGTATCTTTAAATTTTCTGACAACCTGGAGTGGTATTCTTTTGTTTTCGTTCTAAATCTGGACTTCATACTGTAATCAGTATATTAACGACTATTGAATACTTTTGCTGTTCAAGAAATGTCACACTGCAATCATCGTTGTTGTGTGTATTCATGGTATTGTATCATGTGCTGTAACCGCATTACAAACTAGATTTACGGCGTTATTCGTTCGTGAATCAACCATCACCTCGCCAAAGTGTAAGTGAAAGTAACAAACAGAAACCTTTATTTTATATTTTTTGTGCTAATTTTATACCTTTATCTGATTTATCTCAACATAAGAAAACAAACACCGGAAATCTTTGTAATGTGTAGCCCTTACGATGCTAATGTTACATACTTTTTAGTTGCAAAAAAATGAAATGAAAAAAATGATAATAATTTAAAATACGATGTCTGTTTTTCTTATTGTCTGTTTACGTGTAGACGACCATGTCCATGGTCAATGTAAAGCCAATATTTATCGATAACTCAGTAGAAAAATGACGATAATGGTTACCATTAATTAAATACAGCTGTAATGTATAAAAAGACAAAACTAAATAATATGAGGTTATAATTTAATGAGCAGCTATATTTTCTACAAAGCATGACGCATTTTATCATACAGACATCGTTGCAAATAACAAATTGAAACTTGAAACAATTATCGTTGTAACATTACCAACGGGAAAATTGTTTAACCAGAGGGGCGTGGCACATATCTCCTATCTACGATCCGTATATCGTGGTATCGACCCCCACCCTACCCATCCCATAATCACCATACTTATTCATAATAAACGTGCCACGCCCCTTTAGTTCGCACATTATAACAAGAGGCCCAGAGGGCCTGTATCGCTCACCTGGATATCTAAGCAATCATTGCAAAAGATTTTCAAATGAGATCCAAGGAAATACCCCAAGGTCAATCCGTGTAGCATATCTGTACTGGATTTTTCATGCCCAGCAATTTTATGTATGGTTATGGGGTGGGGATCTCAACTGTTTCCAAGCTGTGACTCAGAAACTAGGTCCTTAGAGGTTCGGTCAGATCCCAGGGTCTCTTCTAATATCATGACTGCATTCGTCTCTTGATGCCCAACAGATGTATACATAGTTTTAGTGTGGGGATCTTAACCATTTCGAAGTTATGACCCAGGGACTTTGTCTCCAAGGGTGTGACCAGACCGAATGACCATCTTGGAAGCATATGTGCATTCATCTCTTTAAACTCAGCAATGGTATATATGGTGATACGGTGGGGATCTCAACCATTTCCATTTCCAACATTTTTGGCGCCACCCCTTAGCCCGGGGGTCAGCTCCACCATTTGTACAATTTTTAATCCCTATCTCCCATGAATGCTTCTGACGAAAATATGATTGACATCAAGTGCATAGTTCTACAGAAGAAGTCGTTTATTGCAATACAGCAAAATTGCCCACTTTTGGCCCCGCCCTTAGCCCCCTGGGAAGTCTGCCCCACCATTTGTACAATTTTGAATCCCCGCCTCTCATGAATGCTTCCGACTATATAAATATGATTGAAATCTACAGAAGAAGTCGTTTATAGCAATAAAGGCAAATTGCCCCCTTTTGGCCCCACCCCTCAGTCCCCTGGGGGTCAGCCCCACCATTTTTACACTTTTGAATCCCCGCCACCAACGGATGCTTCCAGTCAAATTTAGTTAACGTTGGTCCTTCGGGCCCGGCGAGCTAACAATACAGATATGCTACCTGAACTTAACTTAAGATAACTGTTACACATTATCACATGTATATTTTGTAATAAAACACAAGATATAACAAGTTGACACACCGGACACGTGTATGTTTCAATAAAGGAATGTCATCAGCGATGCTGGTCCCAACACGTAGTTGGTGAAGCTCAATACATTTGTAAAAAAAAGTGACAAAAGAATAAGGCATGCATCGAAGTGCCCACATATTATAATGGTGTGGGGGAAAAGGAAGAAAATGTATACATAATCAAAAAGAAATTGTACATTGCAGTATTTTTTCAGTTTTTACATTTCCGAATACAATTTAATCACACAAAAATTGCTTATTGGTGTATGAATCATATTGAACTCGTCCCTATATGGATTTTGAATGCTGAACTGAAATACGGATGCTGGTCGTCTGTATAGACTACAGTTCATGATCAGGGGTGTGATACACGTGGAACTATGTAATTACTACTGGAAACCGCTTCTTCTTTTAGAAGTTATTCTCCCACGCATGCATATATCTACAGGTACTAAACATCATACTAAACATCATACTGAATACTGAATATAGTACTAAATATAATACTAAATATAAAACTAAGATAATAGATGATATGTACACGTGAACCTCGTCCATCCGATATAAATTCCGACATATTTATATCATAAATGATCTTTTTTGATATATACATGTGTATATAACTTGATTGAACTCGATTACAGGCAAATTATATGAATGAATAAACCACAAAAGCCCTATTCCTAAAGTCTTCCGCTGCTTGACATCTTTACAGGAGAATGGTTTTAGGTTTTGTGCATAGTTACTTTTTATTCAAGATTTATTTTTGTAAGAATATCTTCGTCATGAGGATTCGATCCCGATAGTGATATTTGTTCATTTTTTTCTGCAATATTACTGGGAATAATTTCAAAATATTCTAATTTCCCGAAAAAGGTCCACCACAAATTTTCTTGTATGGACGAAATAAATGGTTTGTACAGTGGTAAAGTGGCGGGATCCTATATGTAGAAGTTATGCTAGGTATAAACATCGGCGAAACACTTTGTATTGATCAGTGGAATCCAGCTGAACGAGGTTCTTTATATTTTGTCGATCAAATACAATTATTGTGGTTATTAATATAATACCGAAATCCGGAGATATCTCTACAATATTTTATGATACATATGCATAATAAAAATTAAAAAACCCAATGCATGTTAATCAATCACACAACAATAATAGAGGTAAACCTAAACCTTCGTGATAGAAATCTAGATAGGATGAACTCTGTGCTGGGAGGTTCACCGAGGCATCTACGCTGACATGGTTTAGTTTGAAAGCATGTATCGGCTGTAGCCAGGATTATTAATAAGTAACGCTGAAGATAGTTTGATGGGCATACTTTCCCTTTTACTATAATTTTGTTGTTTGAAGACGAATGCTTAGAGAGGCGTCGCCGAAAAGCTAGAACAGGAAAGCGACAAGAGAAAAGACAATTGGTGCACTAAATCAATGTTGGTCTCTTCAACGTCATCAAGGAAGACGGCGTGGAAGAAAACCCCATATACTGCAGGGAACCCCCCACTCGTCGTCTCTTGTAGTGGGATACAGTATTCCGTCTTTTCGTATTGCATCTTCTCCTGTAAGCAGGTATTGATTGTTACGTCATATGTTTGTGAGAGTAACGTCATCATTTTTTGAGAAAACGACGTAATTTTCTCACACAAACCAATGACGTAACAATCAATACCTGCTCACAAGAGAAGATAACTCTGCAGTACGTAAAGACGGAATAGGCATTCCCGAATCTGCAGGGGTGAAATCCGTAGTTTTTGAAACAGTTTTAGATATGAATTTTCATCTTATTTTTTGCCTGAAGTACCACAGGTGAGTCCCAAAATGTACACAAGCCTATAGATATACATATGTTTGTTAGTTAAACATGTATAGAAATACCTTCTCCCTTTTCTATAATGATTACATTACGTGCATCATAATTTTCTGCATGCTTTTAAATGTTAAATGATACATTTTAGCGTAAATATTGATGATATGATTACTATGTAGTACAATACAATGTTAAAGAATAGGGACTTGATGTAGTCCATGGTCCACTCGCCTCACGTCTCCACTAATCATAAACCTGAAAGTAACAAAAAAAAACCCATATTATAAATGTTCTTGTTTTCGTATTTCAGCTTTTAGTAGTATATGCATAATTAAACGATAACTGCCTTGCGTGGAAACACATCTAGTACTTTGATACAGTGTAAACATGGTGAATCTTAATATTATTACTATTTTGGGGTTATACAACAGTTTTCGCTATTTGACAAGATCGTTTGTTATACAAAGAAGTTGTTTTGGCTGGAACACACATTGGCCGTTAACTGGTCAACTTAACGAATTAATATAAAAATAAATTCCTAGCATTTTAGCAACACTTCACACTATAGTAATGTGACATACTTAATCTACTCTAAACATGTTGTCCGCCATTGTTTCCCGGTTTATGTTTTTGGGAAGCAAAACTGAGTGTTGCGAAAACAGCTGTTAACTATGTAATACAAATATTACTATCTATTTATAGCTGAGGTCGATATACACATCCATCAATCTCTCTCCAGAGTTGTCATTCCTTGTATTCACTTACATTAAGTGTTAGGAACGACAACTCTGGCTAGAGATATATACACATCCACCTGTGCGATATATAGGGATGTAATAGTCCACAAGAAATGGCGTTATATACGTCGTCAGGTTGGGAAGTGTGTATCACATAGTAAATATACTGTATAATTATGATACAAAAACAAACAGGGCTTGTTAAGTTGTTAAGTTGCCATTAAGTTATGATCCAGAGAAAATACTAACTAACGTCAACCCTTTGTTCTAATGCTGACAGACGCAACTGATATGCATAAGAGCAATATTTAATTATTTAATAAGAAAAACAAAAAACATATAAACCAGGCAAGTAATATAATCCCATATGTTGTGATTTTGAAGGTACAAACGTTCGTCGCGTAATAAGGAACGTACTGTACAGTCAAAATTGTCCCTAGGGGCATGGAATATAATTTGATGGCAATTATCTTGTATTTATAGTAGTTATTACCCAACACGCGCTATAGTGATTTGACGTTAATCAACTAGCTATGATCTTAACATGATGCGTGAATATTCTATATAGCACCCTCATTACCTAACTCTACTCCAGGTATATAAGATCTATTTGTACCTTTTTCTCATAATGTTGACCTAAATCTACTTCTGGACTTATATGTATACTGAGGTAAGCAATGCGAATATGGCCAATATTCCAGCATATTTGACTCAATGTTACAAAATGTAATATCTGAGGTACAAAGTTATACTAACCCCATAAATGTATGAGCAAAGTTGTATTGCCGAATTCAGTTTTTTGTTCAGTTTTCTCTCTGAAGTACGGTTCTACTAGTAAATGACAGGATGATGTCGTCCCAGAATACCATTATATACTGTGTTGTAAACACTGATGTTACTAACATTTACCGTTAAAGTGGAAATCATCGCGGCGAAGAAATTATCGTGGTGTGGAAATGCTGGCGCTGTTCGTGTTGAAATAATTAGAGCTAAAATATCCACACCAGAATTATCTATATAGATATAGACTACATTGATTTCAGAACCATTGACGAATCAAACATTTACACACAGCGATCAGTGAAGAGTCACACAGCGATCAGTGAAGAGTCACACCGCCAATATTTCTACACTCGGAATTTTCACTTTTACTTACATTGTTTATTTTAATTTCAGAGAGGCGAAGCGGCCATTTTATAAATTTTGACACAAGATCCCTCATGGCGCACGTTGTTTTGTTAATTAAATACTCATACCTGTGTTTATCTCTACATTAAGAATGATATGGAACTAACAGCTGCCTGGATACATAACACAGTTTCTGTATATTTACCGGGTTTCAGGAATAACAGCGCCAAATTCATCCCAGGTCTCCTCTACGAGCCACCGTCATTTTGGCCGGAATTCCCCCTCTCTGAAATGAATAAACGAAAATAATCTTTCCTTCTTAAACCGTTTGATCTACATTTATAAAAAATAGCAAAATAACTTTCTGTTAATGATCTTTACAAATACCTCACTACTTAACATGTAAACATTTGTTTGCTTAATAATTTCGACTTTCTGATCGTGAACTTTCCCTTTCTTGATAACAACATCCCTGCTCCCCAAGCATACGGTGTTTACATGTCGCAGTTGATTCGGTACTCAAGAGCTTGCTCCGAGTATCACGATTTTCGACTGCTGACGGACAACTTTTAACAGTGGGATTTTTAAGATGCTGGCTGATGAAGATTATAGTCAGGTTTTATGGTCACCATCAAGATCTCGCTGAGAAACATGCTCTGTGTGATCTGAAGGTCGATACTCTCTTCATTATGCTCATTAGAGGGCGTTGTGTTATTTATTGTCACTACCCGAGCTCGCGATGGCAGGACATGACATTACTTGGAATTGACTTAGATGAAGCAGAAGACGCCTTCCCTTTCGGAGCATTCGGTCTTATTCTCCATGTACCTTTTCAAGGGTCCCCCTATATCCCTGAAATCTTTCCGTTGTTCATGTTTTGCCCTAGTTATATCGATTTTGAGTTCGAACTACGGTTTTGTTGGCGCTGCGGTATTCTCTTATTGTTAGGAATATGAAAAAGTAACTAATTATGGTTTTCAAGTTTTATTTACATTTACAATCAATTAAGAAATCATAATGTATAATAAGAGAAGTTACCTATGTAACAGCGGTACTGTAATCTGAGAAGAATTGTGTTGTGATTTTTTTCTCTCAAATTCCATCAATCTTATTTCATAAAATGTAGCACTGGTGATACAATGGGATTTAAAAATGTAACACAGGTGATGCACATGTACGTTGTTGTTAAAATGAGACAATGGCGATATACTAAATAATGTAGAGGGATGATAAAGTGCAGGGGTTATTAGAAGGAACCCTGAAGATAAAATGGGATAACACGATGACAAGAAATTGTATAGAGTGGGATAATGAAATATAAATACAGAATCTTCAATGCTATGCTGAATTAACTGAAATATTACCAATACAATTATTCGTGGTCTATTTAACCCAGTTTGAGGACGCTATGAACAATGTTATATCGTTCTCTCTCAAGAAAGTCAAAATGCTTGTTTTTCTATCGATTGTATATAAAAAAGAGCAGTTATGATCATTTTATGACGCTCCTTTCATAAACATGTTCTGAAATAGGAACAGGTTAGAGTATAATGATTAAATTATTTACCATCCTGTTCCTGCTGTATCTTTCTTGTATCCTACAATGAGCACAATACATACAATGCATTATTATCATATGTCATATCATTGTTTATTACAGGCGTCATGTATTTAATTCATACCCTTTCCCTATTTTATTTGATAGTAATATGTCCAGCTACATGTTCGCGTAATAATGGGGTATGTTCATATATATCAAGATTGTCAAGGGAATGTTTGGTAATACTTTGAACGTTGATAACGCTTAGCCAGGCAGCGCAAGAAACGAGTATCATTATGCATGTATCAATATTTTGAAGAATAATGTACTATTATTCCTGAGATGTGAAGTCAACTTTTATGCGTTTCCTGTATTTCTAAGAATATCGGTACATTTGAATGACTAAATAAAAAGAAAACCGTCTGTTTTACAGCTGTTTTCAAATGATGCTATTCTGTCTTTGCTGAATAGGCCAGCTATGAAATATATTTTTTTGCTCTTGCATTGGAAAAACATGTTTTCCCGGTTCTAATCATGTTTCCCAAGAATGGCATATTAGATGGGACATGTGACTGGCCAAGGTGAAATATTAATGTAAAACCTAACCTTTTCCAGGATACATGTGTTATATTAAGAATGGTTAAATGACGCATCTATCATCAATAAATCAAAAAGTGTATTACAAGTAAAAAATAAATACATTATCACAAAAGTCGAATTGCTAAGAACAACAGTTAGAAATTTAACAGTGACAACTCTATACACAATCGTCTATGTTACCTGTAGGACACTGTGAATGAATTCCATTCCATTTCGGTGGATGACATAAGCGCAAGTAGGAAACCATCGCGCATGTTCACGGAACGGATCACTTTTCTTGTCCAGCATCCTAAGTCTAATACGACATTGAAAGCATGATAGACTCACAAAACGGCCTGCAATGAAATATAATACATTTCAAAGATACAGAAATAGAGATTCAGTGAAAACATGGGGCAATCCATATGAATGGAAACGACTATCTTAAAATCGTGTCAGGAGCTTTCTACCTACATGTTCCTGGTGTAAGAATCATACTTAAATAACTTTCTGTAGTGAATGATCATTTAATTACACACATACATATAATGGGTTCTTCTAGAAGAAAGATTCGATACGTTATCATAAATAGTCTGTATTTTTTTTGTACACAAATATAAATATATTAAAACAGAAGCATACATATGTTTTTCCTATAAAAGAATCGACATTATACTTACCTTGCCTGTCAACTACTGGTGTTACGTAGAAGCCAGCATTAGCCAACCTCCGGCTGAAACTGTCATCATTGCAACGCTCATCGCTTCTGAACGTACGCATTCTTTTCTCAGGTGTCTTGTATTTCAGCTCAACGTATCTCTGGTCAGCACTGGTAATGCACATGTTACCATAACCTTCTGGTGTTAGACACTCACAACCCTCTTCCTGTATGTATCTCTCAGAAAATTGCACCGCACGTCTCTCCTTACAGATGGGCAGGTTGCATGGACATGCGCAGATCGGCGCTAATCGAAGACTATCCTTTTCTTTATAGATGTCCCTGTCGATTTTTCGTTGTCCTGAAACCAGGTGATGATCTTTATTGTTGCCAATAACAACAATGCTGCTACATATACTGCTGTCCTTTTCATCCGAATGTCGTCTTACAATTAGCCCGGGTATTTTGCTGTTAACTCCTGACATGATTGCCAGTGAAAAGTATTTTAAATCAAGACCGTTTACTAGGTACGAATAGTAACCTAGCTGATTTTGAGAGGCGCAATATATCGCCCTGTATTATAATTGTAAGTTTGTAGCATAATCAAGAGTCGGGTAATGTCCGCGTGTATGTAGGATGGGCACAATGTTTTACCTTCTCATACAATCGTCAACAAGCCCGTGATATTCACTCGCCCATATACCGTAGAAGGAAGAGCTGGCTAGCAAACACCTATTTTTTGTCCTCAAAAGTCGTAATTTGGGAGCTCTCACTGTACACGAAACTATGTTGCAATTATTGAACTCTGCTTTACGACTCGATATATAAAACATTCTTTAACATATCTGAAAAAAAAATGTTTCCATTAATATCGATGTTTTTATATTGAAGCTAATTCAATGAAAGCTATACAGGCGAATGCATAATTGTTTCTTTCAGAAGCAGAAAAATAATCACCACAAGTACGAAGAAATGAAGTAAGTATTTGCAACTGATGATGGTAGATCCAGAAGGCCAAACACAGTAACTATCTAACTGCAACCGTATAGCCCTTACAACAATTGAAAAAGTCGTTTATAGTATTACGATTCGAAATCAGAAGTTGCCAGTGTTGATGCAATTAACAACACTACCAATTTGATAATGTTAAAAAAATATACAAACATCTCCATCCAAAACGGTCGACTGGTTTTTCGTAACTCCTCTCAAATATGAGAGTTAGCCAACTATTAACAGTCTGGCTTGCACGGTTTCTGAACCATTGGTGGGACACTCATCATTCACACTCGTTTTCGGTGTACAATGAATGTTCAGAGGGAAATATATATATATATATATATATATATAGATCATTGGTCAATTATTTGAAAACTTACTTTCAACGGCAGTAGGCGAATGATGTCACATGAATGGGATGGATCAACTCAAAGGCCATTTCTGGTTTCCTGATCTGTAAACGAACCGGCATATGTGTAATGAGATACCTAATCGTGTCGAATTTATATCGGTTGATTTAGTAATTAATATTTTTCTTATTCTATCTTATCTTAATAGACTTGTAGTGTACGAATATCCGATCCGGCTTAAGTATAACTTTCGACGATATCAAAATAACAATATCTTATAGTAAACACATCGTTTTTCGGTTCCTGATAAAAAAAAAAAATGAAATATCAAGGAAATGAAATTGGGAGGAATTTTGTACATATATTTCGGTTTCAAATTCATCAATTTCAGTATACTGATAGTTTCAAGATCAAAACAAACAAATATTAGACAACCTAAACGCTCTGAAAGTGGTGGAAGCAAATCAGAGCATATGATAACACCAGATCCCGCCATAGAATGTTACAGTCAAACCCGATATACTTATTCAGCAGAACAAACACTCAGTATTTCTTATAGTCACTGATTTGCCCTGAATAAAAATCAGTTTTGGACACTGAAAAACGATAACAGTGCACATTACGTAATAGCATTATCAGTTACATTTTTAAGTGATATGTCACAGCCACATGTCTAGATTCGTGGAAATGTGCGAGTCATATTGTCGATTTACGTAACGATCCAATGAGCTCCCGTGTTAAAAATGGTGCTTAGGTTATATCATTTTACACCAGTATATATATTTCTTATGACAGTATGAAATGTTAGAGGCATTTAAAGCGCATGACGTAACATACTGCTCACATGTGTTGAAATAACAAATAAGGTACGTCTATCTTTCTAAACATACTTCACTCTTACTTGCTCTCTAAGCTATTTTATCGTCAACTACTATTTTTATGGAGCAAACCATCAAAACCAACAACTTATGATCTATTTTATCATTATTTTATATTCGATTTATGTATTAAGGAGTGATAGATATCTTCTGTACTTGTCATATGTTATTTAACCTTCCTTTTTATCAGAACATTCAAGTGAAGGAACTAGCCAAGACTAATCCGACCGACAAATAATCTCGCCATTTTAATTTTTATTTAATTTGTATGTAAGGAATTTGCATGGTTTGCTCTTATTAGAAATACCCGGGTATCCCAGTAATCCACCGACTCCATTTTACACAGATTTTGACAGAGATTGTACACATGAATGTACCTTGCTACCATGGCTGTTGCGAGGACGTTAAACCACATACAAACAAACTAGAATGCACCCGTGTCACATTTTTGTCATTTGTTATTTTGTAAGTAAAGATTACCGGACATATGTTTTATACTTTTTCACCTGGTTAACAAGCAGAATCAGGTGGTTTCTTTTTTTTACCCACTCTCTCCCAAAACTTATCTCTTTTCTTTTCTCTTTACCCTCTTTCTTTTAGAAAGTGTCATCCAAAGCACCGGCTCGGTGGCGGATCAAGACACCTACCTGTGAAGGGGAGGGGGAGGGTGGGGGGTAGGGGTGTGTGTCCATGTGGGGGGAAATTTGAGGAAAATGGTGAAAGTACATGATTTTGAAAGAAAATTCTCAGGGTGGGGGGCTTTCTTGAAGCCAAAAAAACCCCTCTGGATCCGCCACTACGACCTTAACATACGATGTCGTTGGATGCCGGAGTGAATATTACGAACTAGGTCACTGTGATATATGCTTTGATCTGTGATCTCAGTAACTATCTGATATGCAGGTAAATGCTGAGATGACAGAATTTACAGTACGAAAAGCAAGCCACTGTGATTTCTTTTCCCTCTTACTCAGTGGAAACATGCCCTGTTCTGTATCAGGGTACTTTCTTGACAATATCGGTTGATCTTACAAAATCATCACCATTGGGGGACTATGTATTGCCTTGGGATATTATGCCTTGGTATTTCATTATTACTTAAAAAATGGCGAAGAGCGAAAAACCTCAACTCGCCATGATAATTATGTTTAATACATATATATACATGTATAACGTATAATAAAAGCACGTTATTAATAAAAAAAATCTATATCTTTATGTTTTCAGTAAAGACACCAAAATTTATTTCTTCACATTATTTGTTGTTCACACGAAAATCCTTTGTACTACAATATATATACGAATAAACGATAAGATTTTTTTTTAAAGTTTCTATTTGTCTTGCGCTCTGGCCACAGAGAGCATATATTCTAGTTTTTTCATAGGGGGGATTGTACTCTCTTCCAAATAGATATATCACCAGTTTTACTTATAATTTAGCCGGCAGTGTTTCACATGCCTGGTATATATTCCATTATTTCATCAACCTATCGGACGCAACACCGATCTAATTCCCGCCTTCTTTAACTGCGGCAGATTTGTATGTGAAATGTCTGTATAAATGTTTATATTTACACAATGTATATAAAATATATGGTACATTATCGTCTTCATTTGAAAAATCGCTTTTACTAATCTGAGGCTTTGATTGTATGACACGCAATATCTGTTATATGTCTATTGATGTATTGTAACAGTCATTGATACCACCGTTAGTTCAGGTCACCAACAGAATATTCGTGAATGTATTAAATATATTGTAATATTATACACAGAGTAACTTTATATGGCAATACGCGCTACGATACAAACCCTTATATCTTGTATGTCCGAATCTTCTCATTGTATGAGGTGAGATAGTCAAGAGATACCGTCTGCTACACACATGTATACACTACTGTTGAAACTATTTATAGAAAGATTAGTAATCCCTTGTTGGTGGTAAGTTCCAGTAACGTCGGGGTATTTTCTGCGAATTTCGTTAAACTTAAAATAAACTGCCAGCAACACTGTGTTTACATACCCGTGACACAGGGACCCGATAATTTGTTACAGCTATAATTGGACCTAAACTAAGGCCTTCAGAGTAAATTTACATGTTTCATGGGTTTATATCGACTTTCGGTAAAAATGACAGTCCTAATGATTAATTATATATACGGACAGATCTCGATGTCGAAAATTTACCCACCTAACTTTCTTGCATCAATAACAACATTTTTAGTTGATCTACGGAAAAAATGCTTAGTACCGTTGGAAAGATGGATACTTTTTCTTTAAAAATCTCCTATTTGCACGTAAAATGTATTCTCCTTCCGCGGACATGATCTCCATTTCCTAAATATAAACCCACGCCATTTCAGAGTTTCAAAGTTTATCGCAGTCATCGAGCCTCATGCCGAAACATGCAATGTTGGTTAGCTGGTAATTTTAGCGAAAAAAAGGCTGCGCTTCACGCCAATCACACCATGGCACGTGGCTGACGTCAACCTCATTGTTTTTTATGTAAGAAAGTTAAGTCCATCCTTCTCGTATATATGCTCATTGGGGGTGTCACTTTTACCCGAAAGTCGATCTAAACCCCTAAAACATGTAAAATTACTCTGACCACCTTAGTTTAGCTCCAAATGTAGCTGTAACAAATTAGCAGGTCCCTGTGACCCGTAACATAAGTGTGCCCATACTTCATATGATTATAAAGGAACATGTTGTGTGTTATTTTCTTTGGACCCATATTTATTTGTCCCTCCGTTGCGAGCTCAAACTAATCTCTATTCTAGGATGTTCACCTACCGTTTATTACTGTAATGCTTCTATTCCGTCTTTCCATATTGCAGAGTTATCTTCTCTTGGGAGCAGGTATTGATTGTTACGTCATTGGTTTGTGTGAGAAAAATTATGTCGTTTTCTCAAAAATTGATGACATTACTCTCACAAACAAGTGACGTAACAATCAATCCCTGCTCCCAAGAGAAGATAACTCTGCAATACGCAAAGACGGAATAGCGAATTTAAAGTTTTTTTTAGATGAATTAAGAGCTGTTTTTCATTGACCATATACGGAAACTGTTAAATTATGTAACATTCAGTTATAGTTTATTCGATCAGTTTGTTTTCTTACATTCTAAAATCTAATTGTAGGATAAAAGACAAAACAGTCCCATGTGGCAAAATTTATCCTATTACAAATGAATCGAACATTATTCATTAGTTACTGATCCAGAACAGGGACAGTATATAGAGGGGATTGGCAACTCTGCCCCAGTCAAGATTCTATAGCACGTCGCTTTTGTGTTTGTTCACCGAACCGCGAAGTCATCGAGAGCCCCTCTCGATCAGCCCGCGCTTGCGCACTAGCGTTAAAATCATGTCACCAATCTCGCCGAGATGGGAGTGTTTTGATAACGGTTAGCCCTGATTGGGACTGTGTATTAGTAGGTCTTCTTTTTATCCCAGGGATAGGGCTATCGTTGCCACTATGTCTAGCCTTTCGGCTGTGTTGGTGGCTATTACAACAAATCACATTTCGTAAAGCACGTTCCAGTGAAAATAATGCTAATATTGACACTTTTGACACAAAAACAGCACAAGTTATTTGTTATTTATTGCCATAAAAATTAGTACTAGGTATTAAAAAAAAATCAACTTTCTATCGCTGTAAATTTCAAAATGAAGTATTTTTGAAATGAGCTGATCCCCGAATGCAGGCGATACTTTTTTGCTGGGTTTAACTTTTCCGGTTGTTTACGTTTTTTAAAAACACGTGTCCTTCGTTAAGTTAATTGCAATTAAAATGGGTTGGGTCGTTATAAAAATTATTCAGCTTTCTATTGCTGCTAATTTAAAAAAGATCAGTCAACTATCTTTGGAGCGAGGTGGTTCACAAATATGTGAGGGTTTCTTATCCCGCGTTTTTTTTTACGGTTTTTAACAACACGTGTCCTTCGTTACCAGGCGAGTAATTTCATCTGTGACATAGCTATAGTTCCAAGTAATGCAAATCAAATCAGGCCTACTTAACATAGAAATTACTCGGCTGTTTATTGATATTAATTGTTTTAAAATATATAAACGACAGTTTATAAAATTTAATCAAAACAGTGATCAGTCACCAACTACTTTCGCAATAATGATTTACGTTCCAGTGAAAAATAATGCTGATATTTACTCTTTTTGACACAAAAATAACACAAGTTAAAAATATATTATTTGCAATTAAAATAGGTTGGGTCGTTATAAAAAATATTCAGCTTTATATTGCTGCTAATTTAAAAAAAGATCGGTCAAATACTTTTGGAGTGAGGTTGTTCACATACATGTGTTTTTTTATTTATCCCGCATTTTTGTCTATCGACGCCCACCACAATACTCTGAACCACGCGTTACATCGCGTTTAAAAATAGAAAAATATACCCCAAAAACGAGACATCAATTAGTATGATACCACAGATTTTATCAATTATAAGTAATACAATCAGCTTATAACAATGGGATAAACAAAAGACGTAAGAACACTTATCGCGATTGGTTTGTTTTCACGCCAACTTCTGTAATCTAACGAAGCGGTATCGACGCCATCTTGGTTTGCCAAAATTGAGATAGGTGGCGCTCGCTATCAGCTCCTGAATCAGGGGGAGGTAAGTCTAGATTGATGTGTCATAAAATTGGTAAGGCAAAGAGGGAGTTGCTAATCCCCTTCACTATACGTCCCTGTCCAGAACAAATCTTGTGTTTAGTTGAAATTCAGGTAGCAAAAATCCCGCGAAGAATTCGAATTTCTATCAATGTTGTCAATACATATTATTATTTTTTCATTCCATTTTATTCCAATGAAATGTGAAATATTCGTTTTTGGGATTTTATGTCAGAAATATTTATAGAAATTAGAGTTATGAATACATTGTGTGTACCTTGACTTGTCTAGATTTTATTTCAATGTTTAAGTACTATATATTATAGGCGTATACTTTAGTAATTGTAATTACGTACTTAGAGTCCGAATCTACAACCAGCACTGTTAATAAATACTGTTACGAGGAGAAAATATTTAGTTTTATTAACAGTTGTCTATAACGACCTGCCTCTATCATACACTCCCAGCTGTGACGGAACAGGAACTGGGTCACCTTCCCGACACCTTGAGTGTTCTTCCGGTTATTCCGGCTTACCCCACTTTACGACCCTCTGCGCGCGCAAGTCCGCCCGTGCCAGCAATACAATTTAGAGTGGTTAATATAAGTAGCAATAACTGCTTTATACATTGAGGTTAACTTGAACATTCTTATAAAATGAGTCAGTGACTACATATTGCATTGCTGTATTATTAACGGTGTTGAGTTACCCAATAAAGCACCCTGTAAAAGTTCAAGGCCTATTGGATCCGGGTTTATGCTTTATTTAAACGAACACGTCAGCACATATGTTACTACAACAAAAGAGTTATTGGAGAACATAGTCACTATAATACATATATCTGATATGACAGCATTATATAGTGAAGTCAACGAGTATAATGAATTTCGTCCCTTTTGATTTCCACACTTACATGACAACTGATATTTGAGATGATGATTGTCATAGAAACCATAACCCAGCTGTGTAAATGTTCATTATAAATCAATGTTTCTACAATTATTCATTTTAAATATTGCAATTGTGTTACTTGGCAAAGGTATTTTCGCCATTGTACATTATTATTTCTACGCTATTACATCAAATGGCTTGGAAATGCAATAACTGTTTTTATTACATACCTACTGATAAATACGTTTTGTTTGTATATGCGATACGACACAATTGCTCTTACCCATATCAACCCTCGCCGTATCACACCCCAAAAGCCGTATCAGCCCCCGCCGTATCACACCCGAAAACCCGTATCAGCCCGCAAAACCCATATCACACCCTTTTTGGATTTTTTTTCGTTTTTCAATATTTCAAAAATAAAAATAAATCATAAGATAGTAGTTTTTATTAGTAAATATGTAATAAACAGAATAAACACGCCTTTTTCCATATCACACCCAGTTCGGCCCTGGGGCTGATATTGCAGTCTCGGGTTGATAATGGGTGTGATATAGAAAAAGGCGTGTATTATTCTCTATCTATTTCTAATAATATAAATACATTCCATTTGCGTATTCTGATGGTATTAAATGTATATGGCAGTGGCGATTTAGTTGTTCCAATTGTACTGTGAAGGAAACAGGGATATACGTATTATACAAATTTGCTACAAAAATCAGCCTCAAAATCTTTTATGTATCATTTTTGAAACATATCAATCGAAATGAACTTTCAAATCATAGTTTAAAAATTTTGTCATGAATTTCAAATACGGCGACCTGATTCTTCGTCAGTATATAATCAAGATTGTTTACCATATATCAGAAGACTTTTGATAAGATAAGATGAGTAAACACGGTTTAAAATTGGTAATTCACAATTTTTATAAATTTATTTCTCAATAGGTTTACTTACAAGCACATCACTATCTGTCTGCTGTTCCTAAAAAAACCGTCCTCCTATTTAAACACACACACAAACTAGTAAGACATACGTAACACTACTGTGTTATCATAAACATAACACTTCGTGGCGTTAGTGAGGTACTGGGAATTTCATTGGAAATTCTAAGCTGTACTTTCGTTTTGTATATATTTCATATTTTATACCGAATGGATAAAAATGATAAATAATGCATTCAAATCAAATCTAAACCAGCGCTTACCTTGTTTAGCCTGCTGCTGTTGTACAAATACTATAGGGGTCACGATGTTGTTTAGTAGCATATCAATTTACTACTGCGTAGTGAGGTCATTCTGTTGAACTGTAAGTATTCTATTTTTGTTTTGTTTTCATTTTAACACGAATGACGTAATAGGTTAATACTTATTAATCAATAGTCGTTTTCTTCTGAGATGTTTTAACTTATCATATCACAAATGCAACGTATTGTCCCGCACAATCCTGCTATCTTAATCGAGATTAAGTACGAAGTCAGATCAGTGTGTATGGTTCATGGAAATATATAAATATAGTTCCAGATGCGATCGTTTGTTAAGCTTGTCGAGTACGTAATTGCACTTAATTTGGAAACTTAAGGCAAGCTTGTACACTCGCCGGGTGCATACAAAACGGTAAAATCTTTCTAAACAATCACCCGCTTTAAGTGTGTTGTGACAAAGATTATTTTTATGTTTACGTTAACCTGTTAACGCCCATTGCGTATTGCCTTGCAGGGAACTTAGAAAGCATTACGCATGTGGTTAGGTAACGGGATGTTTAGTCAATTTCTTATGAAATAGTTTTTCAACTATACATATTTCGAATATTTTTATGGTCTTCATGGACCATGTATTAAGGCAAATTTAAAAGTTTTTCATGGGAAAGCATTATTAAAATTAAGAAAACATTGCTTTATTGAAGATATTTTTTTTCGGAAATCAAGCAATATTTTCTAGAAATTTCCATAATGTAAGGAAAGTTAATGAAACTTGGACAACAGGTTTTATTTCGTAATGCCAATGTGCTATGAGCTTTTACATAGTTGTATCTGTACGTCAAAAATGTTGCATGGATGATATGAACTAACAACAGTAAGTACATAACACAGTTAAGTATAAAATTACTTAATATTATTTATAAGAATCCGTTATACCACCGTTGAATTATCAGATCTAGAGTTTGTTTGTAATGATGTGTTGAAATAGCAAATGAGGTAGGTTTATTTTTTCCTGTATTCCGTCTTTGCGTATTGCAGAGTTATCTTCTCTTGGGAGCAGGTATTGATTGTTACCTCATTGGTTTGTTAGAGAAAATTACGTCATTTTCTCAAAAATTGAGGACGTTACTCTCACAAACAAATGACGTAACAATCAATACCTGATCAAAAGAGACGATAACTCTGCAATACGCAAAGACGGAATACCTTTCACACGGTCTTATTTTCGCGGGTATTATAACGACAGATGACATTTTTGTAGAACGTTTTACCCTCGGCGAAAGCCAAAGGGTTTTTATTTCTTTCGTTCCTGAAATAATTATATCGAGCAATGGCGCTACCTGATGACCATTTTTTTTAAAACAAATATTTAATGCATTTCTAATTCATTTAAAAAAATCAAAAAGTGCTATATCAAATCAAGATGTCTGCAGTTGTTAAAAAAGGGTGGGTGGGGAGGGAAGTTCATGCGGCGGTGCTCCTCAGATAAGCCAAATCTCTCCCGCTACTCCATCGGGTCAATGGTATTAAACATTTTTCGCTTTGCGATAGAGCTAGCACGGGTCGCGGAGACTGAGACTTATTTATTATATAATATGTGGTTTTATTATGAAAAGTAAATGTACGGTGTGTTATAATGGGTTTAAACACTTGTACAAGACTAAGGTAATCGAACAGATATTAAATATCAGACACAAATGAGACATTTTGACAGTGTCTGATACACAATGATGTGTTTAGTGACTTCGTTTCTCGTTTCACGGAAAAGTCCTTTTCGGTTCACTGCAAGAACTGCACAAAGGACAATATGCTAAAGAAGTCATTATTCTCAATGCCTTTGGTAGAGATTTAACCCATGCATCTGGTTAAAGTACTAGTCTGACTTTCTTTTGAAAGTAAGAGAACATATTTTGATGGCATCAGAGACGTTCTTTGACATGATACATTTTCATTTTACGGATGAAACGTTCCACGCTTACACTGTATCCACTCATTATGTTGTTTGTTTTAGTATTTTTATGGTGTAGGTAGAATGCTATGCTGTATATGTACATATGATCGTGAATATATTTATAGTTGAACTTCTTCCCATTTTAGGTTTACTTTGTGTTTTGCGAGAATCGTGCCTTCTAGACGAAGGGATGGTTAGTGGCGTGCCTCAACTTCACGGTGTGTAAGCAAAGGGACAATATTTAGCTTATCATTACTTCGTTATGTCGTCACTTAATACAAAAAGGTATGGAAATGAAAAGTTGCAGAAATGTAGACGACGAATGAAGAAAGGGAACTCAAGTTTTGTTCGTTACTGCATGTATCTTTGTCTCTTCTAAAGAACTGACACATAAGATAGGGATACATGCCATAATGATTATGCTTATCATATTGCAACTCTAAGGGAGGACCTTTCCGTCAGCTAGGACTCGGACCCAGAATATAATTACATATGAACGTTCTTTTCCCTTCGCTTCTAGTGAGGCGATGGGACGAAAGAATATTTTCGAGGCTTGCTAACGTTAATGATTGTTCATTATAGTTTTGTCGTCTCCTTAGCCATGCACGAACCGTTACAATACTATTTTATTTCCTTATCACACAGTGTGGTTATGTGTAATCTTCTGAATTAAAAGAAAGAAGAAAATATAAATCTATTTAGTTTTATGTTACGCGTTATAGGCTAAAGACGTTTTTTTTACAGGGATTCTCTTTAGAGAAGTTACATGTAATGTGTGTACACGCACCTGTAGCATTATAATACTGCTGTCAACAACTGTGGCAAAGCATTGGACTTTTTCCGGAATAATTATATCTTTGATAAGTTCTCTATGAATATAAATTAGTCAAAGGTAGTTACTCAATTGCCGTAATTCAAATAATTAGGAATTTATAAGTACGAAACACTACGGTAAAATCCTCAGTGTCTGTCTGCAGGGGGAACAGAGCTATTTTAATGACTTTGAATAAAAGACGATTTTCAGATGTTCCCTGAATTTTCTATTCTCAGTCTTCGTCTTTGCACTACGTGCTAGTATTACCTCTAAATGAAAACAAAGCGTATCCGCTGAATTCATATGTTTGTGTATTGCAAATGTCATTCAATATTAATGTCAAGATATAGAAACAAGTTCATAGCCCACAATGTGTCCTTTAGAATAAGCCAAGTATGAACTAATCATAACTACAACGAGATAAATAGAGACTAAAATAGGTACTGACGTCATAAGGAGATAATTCCGCTAGTTGTTTTGGCAGGCACCTTTTGTGTTTAGATTGAACATTCTCAACTATTGAGTCATAAATATAGACATGTCTTATCTAACACGGAATGGTGCTCACACAAGTGTAAGGTTGCTGCTGTTTATAAAACAAACACGGAAGCGAGTTTATTGAAAGGCGTGTTTCATATGGAAAGGCAAGATACCTGATCAGAAGGTCTTATTGCACAATTGTAACTACTACACACATAATACAATACGTATAAACAATAAACAATAGTATGTTCATTTGGCAGGTAACCCCTTTCGTTCCATAGCGGTAATTCAGCATGTATGTAGAGTGTATTATTTACCTATATACATTGTATGATAAATACGCATGTAAACTTTAAGGAAACGAAATGAATTAAAACATTTGGCCTCATAATCTTTTATGCGTTTGATTTTAACCAAAAAAATATAAAATTCCCTTGTTAGAATTGAGTAGAATATATCGTTTTCGTGGTAACAAAGTGACCAACGTGTTATTTGTTTTGTTAGATGCACTATATAGTCATGTTCTTTCTCATGATGACAACGAGTAACAGTGTAAACAAACTCTCTGGTCAAGCTCCTTTGTTTAGTTGCGTTTTAGGGTACATTTCAAAATGATTATTTTCTTAAATTTACAAACCATAAGGTTTTTTCATGTGAACAGTAAATATGAATTACAAACTTTAGGTATTTTACAGCAATTACGAAGCAAGTTATTACAGCTTATACCAATAATTCTTGTATGTCCGGATGTTAGCGAGCGGGGGTCGGGGCCTTAATGTGGGAGGAAACTGGACTACCCGGAGAAAACCTAAGTGTTCGGGCTGGTGTTTTTTTTTCGTCAGTTACATATATATTATACATATATCAGGTACACAAGTTACCAATCGTGAAACAATAAACATTTATCAAATAACACAGTTGTAATTGCATATAGCTATCTTCAAATATGGTGGCTTGACTAATTCTTTGCCTGTGCATAGTTATCTGGTTTACCTTATTGCATATGGTGTTTAAATAAACAAAGTTTACAATATCACACGCTCAATTTCGTTCATATTTAATTCTCAATAAGACTACTTACAAGCACAAAAGTATCTGCCCTCTGTCCATATAAACGCGTCTTCAATTTCCAACACATATAATACTAGTGAGTCACTGGGAAATTCCGATGGAAATATATCAATTGTACTTTCGTTTCTATAAAAAATAATTTTCTGTTTTTTGTATTATATAAGAATTAAGAAGATAGAGATAGAAATGTTAATGAAGGTATTCAAATCCTTTTTGTATAAATTTATAGATAATTGCCTACCTTGTCTATTCTGCTGCAGTTTAACGGTGTCACGATGTTGTTTAGTAGCAAGCTCAAATCTACTACTGCGCAGTTCGGGTGTGTGGGACAACTTGTCATTGAAGTCATTTTAACAGTGATGCTAATATAAAAAAAAAATCTGACCCCGCTCCTTCATCGATACACAGTTAACAGAACATTTACATAAAAACAAAATAGAAATATAATAGGATGTTAATTAATTAATATACCTCTCGGCTAGTGTAAGCCAACGACAGAAGTTAAACCTACCGCATCGTTGACCAAAGAAACTGTGTGTGTGCGAACAACGACAAAGATATCATAATATGCGACCATGTATATACTTTACATTGCGATCCAGGTAAACATTTCATCAATAAAGGATTGGTCAATATGACCATGTCGGGAGTATCGGGCTGTTGACCATTGCTGTATCTAAACCATCTTTTTTAAGGAGTGAGGTGATGTAGTGGGAAGAGCTGCGGCTAAGCGATTGGGTGCCTTTGGTCGTGAGTTCGAGGCACGGACACGAGTCATAAAATAGTCGACCTTCGTCAGTAGTGTTTATGTGTCATTTATAAACATTTGTAACGCATTACATCTCCAGCACACACGCAGGCATACACACATAGGGAGATCTTAGTCAGGTGGCATATGACTAGTAGTAAGCGCCTGATAAGGCAGTTCCTGCGAATTCCTCAACATTATATTGATTGGTGTATATGCTAATTGTATTAATTGTATACCAATGTACTGTAAAGCGCTATATCAAATGTTGTATATTATTATTATTTCATTATTTTTAAATTTCTGATTTGACCAAAAGAATATAAAATTCCGGTGTTAGGATTGAGTAGAATATATCGTTATCATGGTAACAAGGTGACCAAAGTGTCTACGATCTCATGGAACGTACTGCATTTGTTCTGTTAGACGTAATATATAATAATGTTGTTGCTTATAATGACAATGAGTAGCAGTGTAAATAAACTCTCTGGTCAGCCTCCCTCGTTTAGATGTGTTTTAGGATACATTTCAAAATATTCTTTTCTTAAATTTACAAACCACGAGGGTTTTTTCATGTGAACAGTAAATATGAAATACAAACTTTAGGTATTTTGCAACAATTACGAAGTAAGTTATTACAGCTTATATCAATCATTCTTGTATGTCCGAATGTTAGCGACCGGAGGTCGGAGCCTAAATGTGGTAGGAAACTGGACTACCCGGAGAACACCTAAGTGTTCGGGCTGGTGACCTATTACCTTTTCACGTCCGGTCGGGAATCGAACAACGGTCATTTTTTACGTCAGTTACATATATATTATACATATATCAAGTACACAAGATACCAATCGTGAAACAATAAACATATATCAAATAACACAGTTGTAATTGCATATAGCTATCTTCAAATATGGTGGCTTGGCTTATTCTTTGCCTTTGCATAGTCATCTGGTTTATCTTATGTCATATGGCGTTTGCTAAATAAACAAAGTTTACAATATTACACGCTCAATTTCGTTCAGATTTAATTCTCAATAAGACTACTTACAAGCACAAAAGTATCTGCTCTCTGTCCATAAAAACGCGTCTTCAATTCCAACACACTTAACTCATTAACCCCTGAAGACACTTTTGAATTCTTTCAATTCAAAGGTTGGAATAGTTCATTATGAAATTTCAGGGGTGAATGAGATAAACAACACTGCTGACTGTATATACAACATTAGTGAGTCACTGGGAAATTCCGATGGAAATATATCAATTGTACTTTCGTTTTGTATAAAATTGTATTTTCTGCTTTTTGTATTTTATAAGAACTAAGAAGATAGAGAAAGAAATGTTAATGAATGTATTCAAATCCTATTTGTATAAATTTATAAATAAGTGCCTATCTTGTCTATGCCTTCTGCAGTTAAACGGGGTCACGCTGTTGGTTAGTAGCGAGCTCAAATCCACTACTGCGTAAATCGGTTATATGGGACAACTTGTCATTGAAGTCATTTTAACAGTGATGCTAATATAATTTATTTTTCATTTTTTGACCCCACTCCTTCATCGATACACAGTACACAGAACACTTACATAAAAACAAAATAGAAATATAATGGGATGTTACTTATATTTAAAATTAATTCACCTCTCGGCTAGTGTAAGCCAAAGACTGAAGTTGAACCTACCGCATCGTTGACCAAAGAAACTGCGTGTGTGCAAACAACGACAAAGATATTATGATTAAAGGATTGGTCAATATGACCATGTCGGGAGTATCGGGCTGTTGACCATTGCTGTATCTAACCCATCTTTTTTAAGGAGTGAGGTGATGTAGGGGGAAGAGCTGCGGCTAAGCGATTGGGTGCCTTTGGTCGTGAGTTCGAGGCACGGACACGAGGCATAAAAAAAGTCTTTCTTCGTCAGTTGTGTTTATGTGTCATTTATAAACATTTGTAACGCATTACATCTCCAGCACACACGCAGGCATACACACATAGGGAGATCTTAGTCAGGTGGCATATGACTTGTAGTAAGCGCCTGATAAGGCAGTTCCTGCGAATTCCTCAACATTATATTGATTGGTGTATATGCTAATTGTATTAATTGTATACCAATGTACTGAAAGGCGCTTTAGAGTGGTTTATGTTAGCTAGATAGAGCGCTATATCAAATGTTGTATATTATTATTATTTTATTATTTTTATCTATTTGACATTACAACGTCATGCTTTTAAATTAACAGTGAAATTGTCTGATGTTTCAAATAATGGTTGCTCAAATAAAACCTTGTATTTTTTTTATGTCACTCGACCCGAGACGTTTCGCCTATCGACAGGGAGCGTATACACACTGCATCGATCTATAGTCCACTACCCTGTACTCACTCAGTCATAGCATGACAAAGGGACTAGTCGGTCTACGATTACGTTGCGACACGTTTAATACGTACGTTGTTTGTGTAGAAAGTAAAACTTTGATATCACATATTTCCAAACTGATGAATCTTATTAAAGACATATTTGTTTTCATTTTTTTTATGATTATTTCCTCATAGAAAGAAACAAAAAGTTGATTTCTTAAAGTTATAATTTCTAATATCTACCTATCTGTATCGAATATTAAATAATAACTCATGTGTACACGTGTAATTTTGATAATTAATAACTATCTTTATGTTGTGTCGGTGTGTGTATGTTCTATGTTGTATTGTAAGTAACCAAAAGTAAATTACCTCCCTTTAGTTACTTAATCGTTTTCATTTATGTATTTCATTTCAAAATATTTATAAAATATATTTAGCTAAAGTTCTATAATATTCCTGTAACACTCTAGCCACCTATGGAAAGAATTTATATAGGCTTGCCTGTTATTCGATCCAATTGACCATAACACCAAGTCAATAAAATCTGTTGAAATGAAATAATGAAATGAAATAATGAAGGGGTACCGCATCTAAGTGGTTAGATATAAATATAACCTTTCTCATATTCATCTACCAACTTATTTACAAAACTATATACACAATGTAAGCTTTTATTTTCTTGCAATTTGAAATATATTACTTTGTAGCATTGAATCCATTTATTATACGACTGAGTGAATATTATTTTGACTTTTAATGATATGCAGTACATAGATATTCTCTGAACTGGAGTTATTTATGGCTTGGGTATTTCCAGTCGTGTTCTAAATTTAGCACTGGATATTTATATTGCAAGGTGGATATTTTTAGATCCGCGACCACGTCAGTTCCGTGATGCAGATAAACAAATCGAGATTGAATCAGCGTTGTGTTCTTTTATCCTGATGCTACTTGTTTTCTACTCATGGTCACAAATTAATGCTACAACACTCTGATTAAAGTACATATCTGAAGCGGTATTAAAGATATGAATTTTAATCAGATCGATACTACAATTAAGTATCATATTTAAACTTAAATAAGTGCATGTATATTTGCATTGCAGTACAATTCTTGTGTATACTTACAAACTCACGTTAGGCGTCGAATGTATGGGTGCTTGAAATCGTCAGTGTTATACAAACACATCTGTGTTTTTTGACACTTAGGTGCAGACTGGCAAACAAAGCGGTACTTGTATAGTATACACTCGACCAAAAGAAATTTGTTGATGAGTCACTCAAGGTCAATAGAAAGGACGCGATTCCAATGGAACTGATTACATCTGTCCTGAAGACGCTAATTTGATATAAGTATGATGCACCATGTCAAATATCTGTGAACGAGGAAATGGATTTACCTTAATTTGATGTTCCCCGTTAATATGGTCCTTATATTTAATGAATTACTGATAATATTCATTGTGTGATAAAGTATATCCATGGATACTATATGATCAGTATATGTTTTTGTATACACGAACATAGATGTGTTCCTATTATAACGACACATGTTTGAATAAACACTAGCAGGTTGTTTAAAAGCGAAGAGTGTCTTCTATTCATCCCAGGTCCAATTTCTTGTATAATTTGTTGATACAATATTATGTCACATTGTTCAACATATTTACTGTTAACGTACATATTAAGCGGTATTCTGATTTTTAGCGTTTTTGCGTTCTAAATATTGCACTTAATTATGACTGCGCGTTATAACATTTCTGTAAATAATTTCTTATTGAATATCTTTTAAGCGTGTCAATTCAAATTATACACTAATAAAAGTGTAAAAAAAATCTTCAATACGATTAAACTTGAGTCCGCTAAAATAAGAACTTTTACAGTATGTCAACTTAATTTCGTCCACAGATTAGTAGTTTTATCAATCACCATTTGCATCACCTTGCGACCTCCATTTTTTTAAAAAAATTATCATATGTATCCGTCATGCTAATATCAGACTTGAAGGATAGATTAAAGAGTTTAAAGTAAGATGGATCGACGGATAATTATCACCTTGTGGCAATTTTGCTTAAAATGACTTAAGGTGCTTCATTACAATTGACCTCTGCAGCATTAAGGACGGTTTTGTAAACAAGTCTGAACCAGTCAACAGATGTTGATATATGATAAATTTGTTAATAAATAGTTACCACCATACATTTAACCTTAAAGTATTATTTATAATTACTAGTTATCAATTTTAAATATTTATGACAGCAATCTAAAGAAATAATAAGATAACTAAAATATTTGCAATACTAACATTTTTAAACATACTCATCAAAATATGCAAAAATTGTACAACACAGTGAATGATACTATAAGTTTATTAGCAAAGCATTATTATGAATTAAAGCTTACATTGTACTTTTCTGTATCAGTTCAATGATTTTATTGATTGATACAGTCTGTTCAGGCCAACAGCCTTCATTAGTCTAATCGGATCAGAGTAAGATGTTGATGAAAGACTGACCCTAATAGTGATGTTTTTTTAACTGTTATTTTATTCTTGCTTGTGAGAAATTTATACATTTTCTTGTCGTTCAAAATCGATTTAAAATTAAGTACTTTAAGTACGCGTAATTGTTTTTATGGTTTTCTCATGATATATTTATAAACTGTCGGACTGGTACAGACATGGATCACTCAGGAAATCTCATGTACAGCGATAACGATATATATTTGACAAACTTTAAATTATATACATGAACAAAACAATAATTACAGAATCTTTAGTCCATATTGGAGTGTTACGATTTGACGGCTAAGGCCACTTATGTGGTACTAATTCATTTTTGCTGAGACTCGTATAAATGATTTAGTGACCTTACAATCAAGTTACACCTGGTACTCGCAAAAGACCAGTTGTAGCAAGTACCTCCACCGACCTGATTCAAAATAGGCTGATGCAGTCGGATGTAGACACGAGTGTAATTATTCTTGATTTCGATTGCGTTTCCGTGCGACTCGATGTGCATATACTGGAAACCACGAGGAAAAGGTATAGTAACATAAATCGTATTTCCTGAACATGCACCCCATTTTACCTATGCGATTGCGGACTTTTATTATATATATATATATCCGCCATAGATATAATAAAAGGAACTATAATTAGAATTACATCATTTTCTCAGATATTATGTGTGATTAACAGTACTCAACCATCACTCAAGCATTCAGGACTGTAATCAATGATGTGTTTTTTTGTTAGTTGTGGTAAAATAAGGAAGATGTTGTATCGACCCTTTTTTTCAATATTTGATCTTAGACATATGTTATACGGATACCTTTTAAAATGGCATGCATCAGCCTACACTAAATAATGCAATTTTATAAAACACATGCAGTTAATAATATTCTTCTATGTTGTGCTACAGAAAATGTTTTATAAAAAATCTAAAAATCTAACATTTCCTAACCTGACTTAACCTTAACTTGATTAATATACAAATAAGAAAAGAAAAATATATGTATCATTAGTCTAATAGCTATGATGGTTTATATAATAAATATATGAGAAGTCAGAACTGTATGAAAATGATTTTGTATAAAAAAGGAAATCCTCAATAATAACAAATGTTAATAAGGACAGCATTAAACACCGGGAAAAAAGATCAAATACAAGCATGCATTAATATATAAACAAAAAGGGTATGTCGTCATGTTTCATTGAAGATATATTTGAAGAGTTTATAAAAACCTATATCTAAAAGTAAATATTTTGTAACAAGGGAGATTCTGATTTCTGACATGCATAACAAATGTTAATAAGGACAGCATTAATCACCGGGGAAAAAAAGATGAAATACAAGCATGCATTAATATATAAACAAAAAGGGTATGTCGTCATGTTTCATTGAAGATATATTTGAAGAGTTTATAAAAACCTATATCTAAAAGTAAATATTTTGTTACAAGGGACGTTCTGATTTCTGACATGCATATTTTTCTCCCAATCACACTTCTTGAAGTTAAAAATGAAGTATATGAAAAACTAAGGAAAATGAAGAAGCTCTCATTAAATTCATGAACAAATGTTATTTACTTTCTGAGAAAAACGATTACAAATTTCGAATTTCATTCGCAAGAGGTAGTCCTGCTTGCCATTTTCCCCCCACAAATAAAGCTGAAAAAAACATAACTAAGAAACACGTCAAGAGGAGTCTGGATAAAAAAGTCCAAATTTCATAAAAAAAGCCTTTATCCCTCTCTGAGATATAATTATAACAAATGTCAGCTGTAAAATTCGCTTAATCCCATAATTGAACATGCAACACTGAAGACCAAAAGGAAACTACTTATAAAATCTGGCGAAGGAAGATAACTGCATGGAAGCCATCTGAATTTCATGATCAGTCTTATAATAACGCACGGACATTTATAGTCCAAGATCAATCTACGCATAAAAATGGCAAAAGAACCTTTCATGTACTTTTTAGGGAATAGTTGTTACAAACTGGAACTGTAAACATCAAAGAAGGCAGTCTGACAGTCAGCTAGTGTTTACGACAAGTCTACAAAAACATAAAGCAAATATGTATGTGAAATTCGCGAAAGATCTGCCAAGTACTACTAATATAACTTGAACTGTCAAAATCTAAGATAGCATTCTCGCGGGCATCATGTGTTCCCAATTTTTCTATTAATGAGACAGGTAATACTGAAGGACGAAGGTGGGCTATTTAAATCACATATTATTAACGCTAACTCGATGTCAACTGCTTTGTTTTGTAATACATCTTCTGACAAAGGTTTTCCATATTCCGATAATGAAACGGTGACAGCATGTATTACATATACAATCCAGAATATCATTAACATAAACAGTGATAATTTTTTTTAAAAAAACCACCAAAAAATCGTTATAATGAGTTATTATATCTACGATACCCGGCTAATTCAAAATCCTGTGCTCTGGTCCTATCGGCTTTATTTCTATTATCTGCATTTCAATAAATTTTATCCAGTATCACTACATGAATTATGATTTTTTTTTAAAATAGTCCATAAAAAGTTTTAACAAAATGTGCTCATTAAGACTTTAAAGCTAATTCTTACATTACAATGCATGTTTGGGTTCATAAGAGCAACATTGAACCCCACGCCAGGTAAGCAAAGAGACAAGAACAAAAAAATACAAGTATAAAATCAAGCATAAAAATATACATTTTAGCAAATTGTATAGTATATAAAAAATGATTATAAGTTTGATGGTAAAATATGCGATGTATAAGTTCACAGCTGATTAATTTACGCCTTCATCGCCGTTTGCAACAAGGATGAATTCATTGTGAGAGTCGGTATACGTTGACAGCATATCAGACATGGTTATTTCATGTTAAAGGCGAAATTAACACCGAGCGAACATGGATTTTTTTTACTGATAAAGGAAGAATATTTGACCGGGCGAAGGTTTTTCAGTGTACAGTATATGCACGTAAACCATTCATGACTGGAGAAGCTGAGTTCATATCCTCCGACATCCATATCAGTCATTCATCTCCCTGCGAAGGTTTTCCACGTTGGGAAACTCTCCTGAATAAATGAAAAATATAATAAAGTCAAATATTTCCAGTTAAAACCATTTTATGTGCTGGTAGTTAAAACTCTGCTAAAGAGAAATGCTCTTCACATATTCATTTATACACATTTGAATTAACGTCATTGTTGTAGTTATCATTGGAAATGATGTTATGTCGTATGAGACATACTTGTACGGAAGCAATTTGGGATTCTTAAGAATTTTAAACAAGAAAGCAGGAGGTATGCAACATTCACGGAGCCTTTAATAATGAGTATAGGTCATAACATAAACTAATCTTTGCCATTCCTTATATTTTTTCTTATGAAGTGATTTTTTTTAAATTTTTTTTTTGACTTAAAAAACGACTAGTGCCTTTTCATTTGTATCTCCTTTTGCATGACTAATCAGAAATTAACCTTTTGGAAAAACGCGCTAATCTTTTTCTGAAAACTAAAATGAATAATATAATTCATCAAGCGTCTTTTTGAGTTTATATACTAGAAGTTTCTTGCTTTTGATTCAAAATATATATTTGGTGAAGTACCTGTGCAAATAATATATTTACTTATTTATAATGACTAATGACTATATTTCTAAACACATAGTCGTTAATATTTCTTCATTTGTTTTAAATGCAGTGTATCTATTTCATTTATGAGTTTTGGAGGAAGTTAACAAAACATCTAATCAATTAAAATCATAATTACACAATATTGGAGACATAATTCGATAACCCCTGTGACACATTAAAGTACTGTTTGCTTATCCAATAAGCTCAAAACTGTTGCTGTATGAACTTACCAGTTCTTAGGAAAAACTGTTTGGTTGCTTCCATGATTCTACTGGGTTCATACCCACTTTCCATAATTTCAATCACGTCATTGATATCGAACGTGGTTCTTCGCCAAGGGTGAATACCAGTCACTGTTAAAATGGTCAAAAAGCACAGCAATTAAACACAAAAGCGTTAACAAAACAGTTGAACTCAAAGTCGTTAAAACATGAACAATGGAAAGATTAACATGATGGCACTAGGTAAAGCACAGGGAGTTCTGGAACAGTAAGCGGTTTCTAATTCATCGATGACATCTGCCAGGTAAATCAAAGTCGAATCCAAGTAATGTTACGTCCTAAAAGTGACAACTGGATTAGCGATAACGCAATTACAAGACACACTCATAGGATTAATCAAAATCATCGACTTTCATTTGTGTTTAATAGACTATTTTGATTGAGGATCAAAGTATTGGAGGTTCGCTCTAATCAGTCTTACATAAAAGTAAACAAGGTAAACATTCAGTTTTACTTACTGTCATGGCGTTGCTCCATGGTCAAAACTTCCTGTAACACGCAAAAACAGGTAATTGATGGAACACTTTTAATGTGGTACACTAATATACCGAGGTAAACTTTCTTCAAATCGAACATTTCCCCCACCTATATAAATGGCAAAATATAAACTGCTACGAAAATTTCAATAAAATGGAGTAGTTGCTGTTTATTCACGTATATATTTTTGGATGTTGTGCATTTGTAATTATCAATTTAGTTTTATCCAAAAACAATGTAGTAGTAAAGACCGAATGGAGGTTTGTATTAAGTAAAGAAAATTTAAATCGTGTAACAAAACAAAGAGCATATACCTGTTTAACAGCTCTCAGGACATCTTCATTTTCCCGTCGTCTTACGAAAGGACACTGTGGTGACCATCGGGTGTGGACTCTCATCGGTTCGACAGGGTCGGTCAATAAACATTCAATTCTCGGCTCAAATGGACAACAGAAACATGCCAGTCCTGTTCAATAACGACATTTAAATGTTAATTACATGGAAACAACAATACAGACTGAGAAAAATATATAAAGTGATAGGTTTTCAACGATTGTGCTTCAACGACTGTTTGTACATAGGAAACATATGGAGCAGGTTCAATATTCATAGTTTATGTTATGCTAGAAAAAATGACATTTCCAACATTCCGGCAATATCGCCCTGCCGTCCGGAGGAACGCGTATTTTTACGTTTCAAACAACATTTTACATTCTATTTTATCATTCGAGTCGTCTTTGAAGCAATCAAGAAATATGAATGAGGTTGATTATGAAAACGGTTGTTTTAACAAATAATGAGAAAAAAAGTCAGAGTGCCATCCCCTCATAATTCATAATTGTTGAGATCTCGAACATATATATTAACAAAGTCATGAGTTTAACATTATTTTTTACAAGGAATATTTTTCAAATCTTAATACGTAAGACATTTGAAAAAATCTCAATTTCATGATTCTTTAATTTTCGAAACTTCATCTGTATTCACCAGTTCTAATTTTGCACAGAAACTTTTTGACAGTAGAAATTTGAATCCAACGATACTAAAGATATTCACACCAGTGTTAATAATTCTTTCTTGTAATAATTACCTTGACCATTTTTGTAAAATCCTGCCTCAGCCAATTGGCGAAAGTTCATGTCATTGTTGAATGTCTCCATTCGTAGTTCGAGATTTGAATATCTTAGGCTAACTGTCATCTCATTTCGGTAATCCAAACACATCTTTGCATACCCTGCATCCGTTACACGAAGCCTCCCGTTCTCGTTCACACAGTTCCATTTAGAATCAAGGGTCGGTATTGTTTCTCCTACCCCTTGCGTAAGAGTAACCGGCATCCGTTCAGGAGTATCATTATCGCTGGCTTTAACACCTACATTCAATACCCTAGTCAAGCTAGACTTAACATCACTCATAGATGATGGCGTCATTGTCGTTAAGATAATTAAATCAATATGGTAGTCTTGTATACACAATATAAGTCAGTAAAAACGAGAATGGTGAAAAAAGAATATACTTATACATGAGATTGGGTTTCAGAGAAAAGGTTTTCTCATTACCCCCAGTGCTTATTCAATCATCAAGACAGTCATTTGCCAATCCGTGATCTTCATTGGCCCATATTCCGTAAAACGACGAAGAGGCTAATAAACATCTATGTTTTCCTACACTTCTGACGAGGCGAAGGTTGGGAGCGCTTCCGTATAGTTTAGTAAGACAACTTTGTATATAATCGTTTTGAATTTTTTGACTTTCACCTGAATGGTTAATCTTTATGTTTTTGGTGAAAAGTTCAAGTCGTTGACGGTTTTTGCGTTGGGAAGTTATCTTAAGCTTTCTTACCATGGTACCATGACTGAAATGAATATAATGTTAAACATAAATTATGACTAATATACTTTTCATTTTAAATCAAGAGGTTCACTGGGCCTGTAGTGTTTACCTGGTACTTGGTGTCATGAAATATAAAAGGAATAGGAACGTTAAGGGCCGCTCCCGGCGTCATCAGGGATTAATAATTAGTTATTATAATCGAAAACTGGGATAAATGAAATACGCAAATAAGAAATGTTTAATCCATACGATAACTGGTTTAGGAGATAAAACATTTGACTAAATAAAGAAGTGTATGAACCCGTGTTTTTCACAATAAAATGCATGAATATCACCTATTATGCACTGTTTAGGTTTATAATTGAAAATTGGCAATTTTGAAGCAAATTCACAAAATACTGTTCAATTTTTGAAATCCTCTGCATGCACTAACTAAATTTGAAATTTGGCATGCTTAAACCAAATTAAAGTGTGATACCAGAGGTCATTGGTAAAAAGGAACATCATATTTTGTCTATTTCTGCATAACAACGGATTTTTGTTGCTTTGATGGGACAGCTACGTATGCGCAATGAAAACTATTTGAACCAGGAAAGATATCTCCAATTCACCAATACGAGGTTTATAAAAGAAATTTTAAATATATTCAAGTTGAATTTGTTTGCTTCTTTTTTTTGAGGCAGAAAATGACACACAATACCCCAAGTCCTTTATCTAAAAAATGATATCCCTTCGTCCAAGCATGCAACGGCCCTGATATCCTTAACATAATCCTCTTTGCTTTTCAGAAACAGTCGTTTTAAGATTTTAACACATGTGACCCCAGTGACCATCAAAATGAGACAAGGTCTTTTGTTAAATGTTTTTTTTAAAAGTTGATCATCTCGATCCAACCACACCACATACAATCATGACCTTAAACGATTCTTAGTTATTCACGTGTTAAAAGGTTATAATGTTTCACCTTGAAAGTGGGTTACTGTGAAATCACTAACTTTCCTTGGGTATTTAATTTCGTTGATCTTCATCCACGAATTCATAGGTCAATAAGTTATTACAAGTTTGATATAAAGCAATTCTCAGTTTCAATTGGTACCCTAAACCCACGAATTCATGTACAGACGACATTGTGTTTTGTCGGGAAACCACGAAATTTGCACCCCACAAAAATATCTGATTTCATAGTTTGTCTTTCATATGAACAGAATTGATAGCCATTAATACCTGCATATTAATGACCATACACCATCACCCTAGACCTAATGATAATTCAGGTCGATTTATTTTACTTGAAAGAGGATTACTGTAATGTAATACATTTTGATAAACTTTGCATAAAAAACATACATATTTAACGAGTTTGGCAGAAAATCGACAATTTTTCACATGGACGTAGCAAAAGTGAAAGAAAATATAGGATTATTCTAGGTCGCGGGTGAAATATGCAAGCCGTTCAAAGACAACCGTTATTCTTCTTTACGTTACATTTTTAAAATACAAACTCAAAAATGTAACTGCAATAAAAAGTAATAAAAAGGACAAAGTATGGAAACGTATTTTATAAGTTAAAATATCATCAAAATATATTTATTTCCAAGATAATGAACTTAGAGATTACCGATTTAATTTTTCTCTAAGAAAAACAACAATAAGATGATAAAATTTGATGCGTATCATATCATTCAATGAAAATTATCATCTAATACATATATATATGTATAACTTGTGTTAGTTGATTTTTTTTAAGTGCCAACCGACTTTAAATAGAATTTCTCTTATCTTAACTATCTTATAACAAGATAAATAGTTGCGAAGAAAAGAAACTGTAGTCAGTAGTAATACATTTATACAACCTTGTTTTCTTAAGGATTTCTTTGTTGATTATAACGTAGCCTTTTGTTGTTTTGTATAGGGTTCAGCGTCCCCTCACTCAGCTGATACGTGCACTGGGATACAGCAGGCCTTTCCTTGCAGGGAAACTATTATTTGGTACCCTTGTTCGTAGAGCTGGTGTTAAATGAAACAAAACCAAGGAACGATATTAACATGCTTACATCAAACAGGTATTCATTGACGTCACCAGTTGTGTATAAAGCTGAAACGCACCGGAAGACTATCAGTCATCCAGTCTTGGTGACACACATGGGTGAATGGATTTTCTGCATTAGCCAACCATGTTAACTATGACGGGTTTATTGACATTTTCCTTTCTTTTATTTTTATATGTTTTAGAACACTTTAACGGTGAGTTACTTTATTGACACAAGTACCAGTGATGAGTCTTAAATGGACGAAATTACCACTTGATCCGGTAATATGTTTTCTGTTTGGCTTTCTGCATCAACAAAGTAAATTTGTAAGAATTTGTATTTTTATGCAATTGTAACTTGAGTACAACTATTATTTAAGGATTTCAAGACAAAAGGGAATCTTGTCTACACTAATTAGATGCATACATTTGATATTTACACTGGGTGTTTCAGAGGAAAACTATGACCTAACATTAAAAATACTCCGTCTGTTATCTGAAAGACGCTGTATTTTAGTATGGTATGTATAGAAACATTTAATTTAAACACATCATCCACGAGACAAAAGGGACATCACTATAGCGTATCATCTCATTCGACGGCTCTGAATAACTACACTTGTGATACTAGATCAATCTTTATATATGCTTCATAATAGCGTCGTAAAACAATACCATCTGGTTTCAAAAAATATATAGACACTCCATTGTGACATCAGGATATGTATATATCTCAAACAAGAGAAACACATGACACCCTGAGCATTTCAAACAAACAATTTGTTGATATCATGGTGTTATGATCTATTCATAGACTTTACCCAAGACCATTTCATAATTATGTCAATACCAAATCTCGAAAGAATATTTTGTTCACATCACAGTTTCTATAGAATGATTGACAAGAGGGTGATAAAAATAGAGAAGCTGAAATTCGACTTATGAGGTAATGCCTAAATATATAACATCACGCCATGTACGTCCACAATCATGTGATCAGATATACAAATAAACACATCAGATATTGGTTACGTATAGAGATATGTATATACAAAACATTATGACCGCAATGACTGAGACCGGAAATGACAGGACAGGAAAAAGCTCACTGCATAGACAACAAACTATCGGTCACAGGGCACTCCATTTATCTCATTATTGTGGCTTAGAATGACTTGACCCAATTAAGCTACCCAAATACAGGTTACCAAAACGACCTAACAGAAGCTGCCATGGAAATATATGGTAAATTTTGCGGTCATTTTCACTAAGGTATTCTTTTTCAGTTTTTCCCTTGGGTACACAAATCAACCCATTTTAACTGTTTTTCTTGTCAAATGTAAAATATGTCGATATAATTTAAACGTATTTTCGACATATTCATAGATTATGTCGACATCTTTAAAACAAATGTCGTCATTAATAACGCGTAGGTCGAAATTCGATGGCGGAAATATGTCACCATATTGATTAAATCATATGGTTTACTTAAAACTTGATAAAACGTGCTTATTTAAATCTTAATAATATCTTAAGAATACACAGTCACATTCATATGTGTTAATTTTGACAATTTTGTGACCTGCATGAGTCGATTTATGAAGCACATGGTAATGATCTTTTGTCAAGATTGAAATTCTTTAGTGTTTTAAACGCCGCAAGGCGAAATAGAAAATAATACAAACATAAATAACTAATCTAGTTAACCGTAATTATTTTATTGCCGTAGAAATAGCTATTCTAGATACATTGTATGTTGTACAATGTTGAGGGAGTGGGGGCAAACTGGTTGTATGTAGAACGTCATATTAAAACTTAAATTCCTGTTTGGTATAACTTGGTGATATTTTACATTATCTATTTAAGTAAAACATAATGAAGCTAACACAAAATTGAATAAATATACAATCGAAATATTAGCCGGTGTAAACATCGTGACATCAGTGGAATGTATAGTTTGCAACAATGTATCTTATGCATGAATATACACACAAGGGCAAATATCTTGGATGCAACATTGATCCCAATGCGCAAACCCTTTAGTTCTAACAGTCAGAGGTGTGACTTTTGTTGCTGATATATAAAACCTAAATTAAGGCTAATTGGCAACAATTCGATTTTTTGACTAACCTCTTATTAACTCATTCACCCTTGAAGTTTCATAATGAACTATTCCAACCTTTGAATTAGAAGAGTTCAAATGTGTCTGAAGGGGTGAATGAGTTAAACTTAACCAACCGTTGAGCAACCGGGGGCCTGAGTGCTTTTATTTTGAAAGCAAAGTGTTAATAATAAATCTTTCTCTTAGAAAAATAACTACGATTTCCTCACTTAATAAAATCATAACTTATTTGGATGTGTGTCGTGTTGATATGTGTGTCGTATGTTTATTACGACCTAACGTTTAGTTCTTTTGGTTTATGAAGAATTAACTTTATGTGTCCCATGGTCAACATTTGAGTTGTTAGAAGGTTTATCGTTGGTTACCTACGGCCATACCTTTAGTTCTTTGGTTGTGATAGTATTGTCATAAGCTACCAACGGTCATACCTGCCATTAAGAACATACCAATATATGACATATTGGGTTGCTAACTGCTATACCGTCACTTCATTACATAGCGGTTAAACACAATCAAACATTTAGTTGACGTTTGTTGCTTACTTTTACAGCGTTTGTGATAGGTTACACATGTCCACACATATCGTTGATAAGTACATATATTTAATAACATGTACATGATACAGCTGGTAACCATGTACTCATCTTTTCTAACGTATAATTATAAAACTAAGTAAACGGAAATTGTTTACACATCACAACTGTCTTTGAACTCTTCCGACACACAGGCAAACTTGTCTTTACAGAAGCCAAAAAAATGCTCTTTATAAACCGGTTGATATCATGGCGGATTATTAATATATCTAGCACTTTATTGAGGATGCTGTTGATAAAGCCAGATTAATTCACCTCACAGAGTTTCTAAAGAATGATTGGCAAGCGAGTGATAACAATATAACAGCTTAAATTCGGCTTCTGAAGTAATGTTCTAAATATATAACATCCCAGCATGTATTGTCATTCTCATGTGATCAGATATAAAAAGACACATGAAATATCAGGCATGAACGAACATGACAGGACACGAGATACCTCACTCCGTGGACAATACACTATCGGGCACTCCATTCACCCCATTACTGTGGCTGACAATGACTTGACTCAAGCTATCCATTTTACATGATAGGATAATGTCCTAACAGGAAATGTGTGCCTTGGAAATCTCAAGTAAATTACGGTTAAATGTAATAGTGACGCTCGGATATTCTATTTGCATTTTTCCATGGGTACACTTAACGAATTTTATACGACAAACATCTTGAATACAGAATGTGACATATGTGACTGTTTTAACAGAAGAGTTTGCACATCGGAGTCAATGTTACGACAAGATCTTTTTTTAAAATTTAAAACACTGAAGAGTTTTAAACAATAAAGAGTTTCAACCTCGACAAATGATCACAACACTTGCTTCATAAATCCACTCATGCAGTGCACGAAGTTATCAAAATTAACATATGAATGTGACTGTGTGTATTCTTTATATATTATAAAGATTCGAATAGGCCCGTCTTGTCACTTTTAAAGTATGTGTAAATCAATTTAAATTCCTCGAACAATGTCGACAACGGGGTGCATTGACGACAAGATTTAGCGAGGACGTGTTAATGTCGTCTCTCGTGACAGTCACATGACTTACTAGGTAGATACACATTTGTGTAAATAGCCGGTTAGTGTCTATAGACGAGAGAAGAGGTTCAAAGTTCAAGGTTCAAGAGAAACATTACCTCAAAACAACAAGCCACATAAAACAAGATCAAAAGATTATCGTTCTGTAATTTTACAGCGCTTCTCGTTTCGATTTCCCATGCCTTAGTGATAATGTTTTCCGGATCCGTTTTTTTAAAATTATTTTCTGCATTAGAACCAAAACTATGGATTTACATATAAAAAGAAATCCGATTATTCAATGTATTTGATCATAATTGATGTTTTAAATAACCATTATGTTACATTGATATGCTTTCCTACTAAACAAAGGCTCATCTTTGTTATCTTAAATAAACTGTTCTGTGTTAAACGATATATCATTGGATCTTGTATATCAATTAATGAGCTATATGTTTAAGTAAAGGAGCTATTGTGCACGATTGCATAACCTTCTCGAGATCTTATCGGATATTCTCGGCATATAATTTACTTTAGTGCTATGTAACTGAATTGCATTCATAAACATGTAAAAAGGAAGTAGACAGAAACATTAGAAAGTCAATATATAATACAAAATACAAGACAATGCAAACATACCACAGCTTCTAAACAAAATTGAATCAAAACCACAGCATGCCCTCCTAAGGACAAACATATCTCAGTGATTATTCCCAAGGACAACACATATCATAACATCGTCACACGGAGATTAAACATCACAGCGTCGCCATGCAATGAAAAAGTGTACCACAGTGTCAATGCGCAGGGAAAACCCTAACCATAACATTAACATGCAAGACCCATGTATATCACAGCGTTATCTCATGAGGACGATATAAATCACAGCGTCGACACGCAAGGACAAAATTGTTCAATGTCGGTACGAAAGGATGAAGATGAAGATCTCAACAATGATTGAGAAGACAATGTCCCCACAACAGTATCAACGGCAAAACAGGGTGATCCAGAAACTTCAGTGTTTCCTGAATTGTAAGATATAATACATATATACTTACCGATAATTGGAGAGTTCTTGCTTGCCGGGTTTTTTCTTTGGACAATGCAGAATGTCATGAAATTATCTGTAATATAATGAAATAAAATTTGTAGTACATTTTAACTTTTAATACTATCAATCTGGCTCCGGTTGTTCAAAGGTTGGTAAGAGCTTTCTACCAGTGGTAAGGGGGAAATTTCAATATAAATAAACAGAATTCCGAACATTTGATATCATGTCAGTGCTTTAGGTTTGTTAAGAAAAATATTTTTTATGTGTTTTGACGATGCAACTGTTTTGAAACCCCATAGCCAGTTTTAGGCAACAATTTGTTTCTTTCACTAGCCACAACAACAACAACAACAACAAGGTATCAACGCACCATTAACACATACAGCAGTTACCAGATGTTCGATTACATTGATTTATTGCTGTATTTGTAGGACATCATAACATACATCTACACCATTATCATTAGTCGGAGTTTAACTACAAGCCCTGAGTCATTTTCGTATCTAGGTTGATTCATTATGGTCCCCCAAAATGGTACACGAGTACGATACGTTTACTGACCGTGTTAAAAATATACATATAAAATATAATGATACATTGTTTCGGATTACTGTATTCCGTAGTCTGTGTATATATTCCAGCTGGCTCTCAAATGGCGTAGCAATACCTACCTCGTTCTGAAAACGACTGTTTATTGCTATGATGTAAACACAGCTATAATTAGATACACACTGGTTATTCCAAAACTATTTATAGTAACTGTATTTTCCTCTTGATATTTATATATATAGTAAATCACTCGTGATTTTAGATAGGTGTGTACTGAACTGTAAACATGAATGGCCAGGTTAATACGACTACGTTCATACAATTCAAAGGAAGTGTACTGAAGGTTTATATCAAATTTACTAAGTAGCCTTACAAGGTTTTAAGAGCGGCTCATAGTTAGATGAATTATTAATTAGGTCCCAGATATAAACGATTGAAAATGCATTGCTTATGTAGATGATTTTAACCTATTTTTTAATTGACACCGGGCTTCTAGTGGTTCAGACTAGCTAAAGATTATTTTTGTAAACCAGATATATTGTTATTAAATATTTAAATAATAACTGTCATGAGTATAAGCAAACATGGAAACATATGTTCCCAGCTAAAACAAAGACGATGAGTCATTACCTATACCGTTGTATAACAGCGAGTGCTATAAGTTCACGTCAATTTTTATACATTATTATTATTCATTGCAGACCAACAAAATATGTAAAAGGAAATGAAAACAAAATTAGCAAATAAAAACATTTACCTTGACAGTGGCTGTGCAGCGCTGTTTAGATCAAAGCCTATAATTTCAGTACGAGAACATCTGAGAATTATTTGTATAGCACCTTATATGTTTAGAGTTGTTTACTTCCGCTTCGTTACAAACACTAAAGCCCTTACTCTGTTATGGCATATAAGGTTAACTCGGTGTAAGTATGTAAAGCTATTGTGTACAACACGGGATAATGATATAACCACATAGAGAAATGTATGCAAATCGAGATCCCTTATCAAGGTAAGTTACCGCATAGGAAATATACTATATACAGACGGGGATTTTCAGTGCGCATATGCTATTTTTAGAGTGAGCCAAATCAAGGTCATTAAAAGTATAACGTACAGACTTGCTCATGCCCTACCTATTTTCTATTCGTGTTAAAAGATGTGTCCTAACCATGATGGCAGTTGAAGAATTTTTAAAATCCCATTTTTGATAAGTTGTAATTGAACCACAATAATTCTTGGACATAGTCCAATGTATATAATCATATATATTGTAACTACAGTGGTCAGATTAGCCAGGCGGCATTGTTTATCATCTAGGATAATCAATCATTGTTTTTATAATAGATGAATGAAGATTGACGTGGGCTAATCTAAACGACGGAACTCCTCCATTAAACATCATTAACTAGTATTCGTACTGGAAAATAGCTAGTATTGATGGTATGTCACAAATACAGGCTAATGCATTTAATATATGATTAGGCATTCAGCTTGTTTTACATACCTGGATATTATGTGGTTATTCATAGGTTAGGGGTATTGCAGGGGAATCTCTTGACCCATTAAGCATGCTCTATGCAAACCATTGTTTTAATTTTAAGACAAGTTAGACAGTTACCAGACATACTGTTAATGGCGTGTAGATATTATCGAGGTAAAATACAGTTTTATTAACATTTAAGCACAACAGAGCAAGTGATTTCAAATTATTTGTAATATACTACCCCCTTTATGATCTGATGCATTCCGGTAGCAATACTTAAAAAAAAAAGTTGATATTTGTATACTGTTTCTTATTATATGAATTTAGAAAATTATGTGTATACAAACAATCGAACACGTTATCCCTTCTTATCACAGAATGCATACGTTATTATGTTGACATTTCATACAAATGTTGTTGTTTTTCATTATGTGTACGTTTCCTTCTTACTCAGGTGTTCCCTACCTTATTATTAAGCCCTATTTTTATAGACATTTCTGTTCCTTAAAATAAATAAGGAGTCTTGGGACGATTACAGATGACAGGAATAGGGTGACATATCTATCCGTATATCCAATATCAATCAATTCTATATCACAAATTACATTCACACACACAGACGTGTAATAAGTACCTAATTATAAACTGAAGCGGACGTGAATTGAATGTATGCAATCCAACCACTTCATATCATTGCCTATTGTGTATTAAGTTTAAACAGGTCCAACTCTATATAATAAAGTTCTAAGAGTTATAAATAAATGGCAATGGAGCTTCAAAATTCTCTGATAAATATTTATCGTTTCATTCCAGTCTCTTTGTTATGATTAGAAATCATATTTCTGTAAAGTGCCAGGAAGTATCATTTTAGATTTCCCTCAACAGTCAAGTTGTTAAATATTCTAGGTTTCAATCACATATATTTAATAGATATTGACCCGGGGTTATGGTAGTTTGAATATCTGTTTTTGTAAGCACTTTTCTAAAATCCAAACACATAACTATAAATTCAATTCAATTTCCCTGAAAGGGCAGAGCTGGAGAACCAAATTATTCTGTATATTTGTATCCTTTATATTGTTTTTGAATTTGATAAAGTACAATATGGTTATTCTTATCTAAATACCGTTGATTAATTGCCGACATAATACTATACTCACCAGAATCCAGACATACCGTCTGTAATACCGTTGGTTATATCGTGAGCCGTACAGTTGAGTTACATTGTATTTATGTGCTGATATCTCTGTATTAAGACGAGAATGACGAAGCACCGTTTGCACTTACATTCTATTATTGTGTATGTAACTATACCTAGATGAAGTAATTATATTCGTCACCCAAAATGTCCAACTCAAATTGAAGTAAACAACTATCATACCTGTTATGTCATTACTAAAACTTTCCAAGTTATTTTTAACTTTTTCGTGTCGCTTTGTGACAAAACAACATCGTTCATGATCGAATTAAAGGGTTTCTTTTGTCAAAAAACTCAGCATATCTTGATGTTATAACCTTTACTATGGTCTGGTTTCTGGATTAATTAAAACTTAAAATTGATTTAAAAAGGGGAAAAGTATCATAAATACGATTTCCGGTTCTGTGTATTTGCCTTACCTGACACCTGAGCAAGTGCGGAAAATGCTTTATCATTGCATGCTTGCCTCGCCTGATCTGTTTACGTATTTTTCTGAAGGTCAAGTATATATCTTCAGCCATATGACAATAGGTCAGAGGTATGTATTTTGATGTTGTTGTAATATTTATTTACCAGGAATAAAAGAAAAATATCTAAAATAAAATGGACGTCATCATTTACCAAACAGTCCTGGAATATATTTCCATTCTGAAAATTACCTGTTCAATAACACAAAACTAAATTGTTTTACATATCAGAACATCCGGTTTATGCCGATTATTATGTAGAGCAGTTCTGTATCCATTAGTTTAAGACAACAACATTTTGCGAACACTGTTGACTGGCCACTTATTATTTCAGTAAAAAAAAAAGTCTGACACTGTTTAGTAACATCAATATAGAATACATAATTGTTTATATGCGTAAACAATTATATGGAATGCGCTTTTAACTAACATCAGCTAGTAGAGAGATTTGATTACAATTACCTCATCCATTTACTACTTTTAGTACTGAGGTTTGGCTTTATCAATAGTATATCCCCTACCTGTCGATACTTCAGTATAAATATCTTGGAAGGTCGACATCGGACGTACATCAGGACTAACGAGGTGAGTGACGTTGGAATTTTCACTCATCACAGTTAAACATCAAAAGACTATCGGACGGCTGATTATAATTCAACACACCCGTGTAAATATAGGACAGGACATCTTATTACAACTCAATGGATTAGCATTAACAGAAAATTGGACACATGATAAGTTTCTAATTTGTGACTATTTGATAATTACTCCTAAAATTGTCAGTATAAATCGACAACCGTATCTGATTACTACTCAATATGACAACATTAATAGACTACCGGACATTTGATTACTACTCAATATGACAACATTAACAGACTACCGGACATCTGATTACTACTCAGTATGGCAACATTAATAGACTACCGGACATCTGATTACTACTCAATATGGCAACATTAATAGACTACCGGACATCTGATTACTACTCAATATGACAACATTAATAGACTACCGGACATCTGATTACTACTCAGTATGGCAACATTAATAGACTACCGGACATCTGATTACTACTCAGTATGGTACCTGACATTTGATTACTACTCAATATGGCAACATTAATAGACTACCTGACATCTGATTACTACTCAATATGACAACATTGATAGACTGCCTGACATCTGATAGACTACCGGATATCTGATTACCACTCAAGATGCCAGCAATAGTAAACGAACGGATATTTGATTACAATTCAAGATATCGGCATTAAAAAACAACCGGTCATTTAGCACAACTCAATAAATATCGACATTAAAAGACTAAATACATATCGGCATTAAAATACTATAACTACCTTACGACTTAGTACATTTGTATGTCAGCATTAATAGACTAAAGCTACCTGATATCTTATTAGAACTCAGTATGTTGGCATTAATACATTTACACTACCAGACATTTGATCGCAACTCAGTACTCAAAACGATGATTGCTTAATTAACCAACTTTTCTTCATTCAAACAAATTTTAACTCACGTGTTTAAAAAATATGAATATTTCATCAATCATTTTATTCATTGCATTTCATACACACCGCACAACAATAACATAATTAGAAAGTATAGATTGATAATAAGCATATTAACAACGTATTTAAAAAAAAAAAGGTTCTGAATATTAAATGATTAATTACAAACTTTAAAATGATTTATTCAATGGAGTTATCAAACTTTATGTACATATATATACAGACGAACATATCAATACCTATTCACTGTACAAAGTTTGAGTCCATATAACTGCAGAATAGGTTATATTTTCATTATTCTCATCCTTAATTTAATATCAAATATATATATATAAATATACTGGCCATGTTCTGGAACTACTTGTCATTGTTAACGATGTCATGTCTTTTTATAAAACTAGGAACCCGCGTGATAAACTTATTTACCTGTATTCTTTTTACAATGTATTAAAAATTATTATTATATTGATTGAGAATTTTTTAAAGGGTAAATAACTGTCTCATTTACCTTCTTTTCATATTGAAAAAATAATAATGTTAATGAATTTGTGACGCTGATTAATTATATGAGGTGAAAAGAATTTTAAAAGGGGAAGTAACAAATTGAAGGATAACCGTGAGGTTTGAGTTCATAGAAAATTGTTTATTTTGTCATGAACGACCGCATAATATCATGGCGACCTCCTCCTTTCTCAACAAGGACTTGGGACCTGCTACGGTGGAGTTACGCCGGTTAACCCATGGACATTATATTAATTTAACGGGGAGAATCTTACGCTAAATATACTTTAACGGTACCATGGATGAATTTCCGGCATAACGGGCATTTGCGCAGTGATGATGCGCATTCAGCACATGTGGCCAGATGGCCACAAGGGAGAAAGACCGTATCAGCATTTTTGTCTAAGCACACCTTACATAAGCTACTTTCTTTCAGCTTTCTGTTTTCTTCTGCAAGATCTGAAAACAACAAAAAGGGGAAAATATTAAATATTACGATTTTCTACCAAAAGGCAAAATATATTCTAATACCCTTATCAAATCTATTGAAATATGGTGAACTTTTATATTGTTTAGATTTGAAAAATCAAATGACAAGTACTTCTTCTATTAGGACGTTTTGAACTAAAGTAAATGTGCCTTTATATTAAAAACGGTAGTTATATATCCATTGATTATATATTAATTATTTTTTTCCACTTAACATGGATAATCTCCTCTGTCCATGAAATAAATTGGTGAGATTAATTTGAGAGCAATTTGTATTATTTACCTGTACAACGATGTGACGAAATTGTATATTTTTACACTTTATTAATTACATAAAATGTACTTAATAAAGGTATGACTCTTAAATATCACAAACTCCTCCTTTTATGTTTTATCATGAATTTTAACTGATATACTGTAAAATCATAAATTTTCGTGGGACATTAAATTTCGTTTATTTCGTGGATAACAAAAATCCACGAAATTAAATACCCACGAAACATCAATTTAGTATGGTATAGATAGGGGGAAGTCAGAAATCATCGAAATATAATGTCTTTGAAAGAGGCTAGTATATGAAAACCACGACATTTTAACCCCACGAAAATAAATGATTCTACAGTAATAGATATCACATTTAGTCCCAATACTTAGATAGAATATCTTACCGTCCACTTGACGGAGTTCGGGAGAAGACATTGTCTGTGGAGTCAACTCCTTCTGTAAAGATAATGCTTTAAAGTTGTCTAAAACAGGAAGATGAAGCCCTGTTGATGAATAGCTGGAGATCGGCTCTGATGACGCATACACTGTAGTAGGCCCCGATGATGTATACATAGTATTTTGTTCCGATAATGGTTCTTCTGTACACTGGGAATACATTTTTGAGTCTGATATGTGATGATTAACAAAGTCGATTTCTTGTTCACGTTTATCGTGTTCAATTTCACATTCTTTTTCCGATACATTTTCACATTTTGTCTCACTTAGCACGTTTTCTGTTTCCAGGTTTTCCCCGATTTCCTCTTCCTCCTCCATATCTATTATTACCTTCATTATTTCTATGGCAGATAGTTTCGTTTTCCCTGTGACAATTAAAATATTGTATGATAATAATTTGACATACATTTTAACTTAAACCGGAAAAAAATTATAATCTACGTTTTCAATGAAAATTGTAAAAATGTGGATATTTTAAATGCATACATTTTTTTTCATATGTTTATACGACGAAATGTTTATATAGCAGAAATATCAAATTTTATTTTATATCAGCATAACTATTACCACGGACTTAGATAATTCCGTGCTATTATAATTATGGGGATTATTACATGTATTGATGCCATATCAAATCTTGTGATACAAAAACAAAATAGCATTATTCCCTGAACAAAAGAAAGAGAAGCAGATAGTAATGAGAAAATATCTTCGATTTATTATTTATGTTATCTTATTATAATGAGATGTATGTACCTGATTGAAGACACCTCTCTACGGCCTTAGATACCATGTCCTTGCTGTAGCCCATTGACAGTACACTGAGGGCTGCCGGAGTGTTCAGGATCTGATCCATGGTCTCGGTATACTTGGAATGTTGTACGGGTGTGGACTGTGTTCGACTTTCAACACCACTAGCAAAAACTGCATCCGCGGCATTGTAGTCTTCCTTCTAAAATATAGACATGATCATTTTATAAAACGAACGGAAATATCTATATTACCGCTTATCTTAATGCTAAGACATGTTTAGGTCTAATTTTATTGTAAATGTTCGCTGTAATAGTTCAGATATTTTGAATAATTTTGACTTCAGGTATTATTTGGTAACCATTGGAAGTAGGTACACTGATATTAAATGGAAATACACATAGAAGAAAATAACTATCCTTGGTTTAAATCAAACAGCATGGGAATTGCTAATGTGCGTCACTCATGTGATTAAAGAGTTTTTTCCTCATTTTGTGCAGTTATTTTATTATCGTTTATAATTATTTGCATGCAGATAATGAATATTCCAATACATATCACTTGGGTATTAGATAGTTCTTATGAAAACAAAAATTTCTCAACACGCCAAAATGGTGGTTCATATACGAATATAAGTATGGAGGAAATTGAAGGAAACATACACAAACACGTGCAAAGGTAAAAATAATATAATATAGACAACACTCGTTCAGATATGTCAAACGATGACGTAGATTAGATCTGCCGATTTACCGTAGACGAGGTATGTATTGCGATTTTAAAACTAAAAAGTAGAAGATTGTTTAATTTATTCCATGAACTATTTTTATACTTTGAAAAAGTTGTGCTTCCTTGTATTACGAAACTGTTCACGTGATTATTATTCATCTGTTTTCGCAGAAATGTAGTCACGTGGTTTAATTGTAACGATATCGGTTGTCATCACAGAAGCTTAATATAGAAACAGGAAGATACAATTATGTATAACAATATAATTGATATTTCTAGACCAAATATGGAATCACGTCATGTACGCAGGCCTACTTATCATGATATTGCCGATTTTCGCAAACTTAGCATATTGGAAATTGTTCAACTACTAAGTGTCGACAATAATAAAAACGTTGAACAATTAAAGGAAATGTATACATGTAACGTTTAAACGGCGCTTTGGAGGTCGTAATATATTATATTAAGATATCTATAACATCTATACTGAAACACATCTGTACATATTCCCTTGTCACACTGTTCTGTATCGTATACACGCCTACCACGGTCCTGGATTATGTTAGTGTATGTGTATCGCATGTTCAGTGTGTATGCGTGCCTGCGATCGATCGTATGATTGTGCATGCACGAATGTATAAACTTAAGATTCCGATGATGGGGGATGTGCGACTTGTCGGTAGGGGCATCCCCAACCACTCTCGCTCCTCTCCCACCATCGGATCTGAGCATATGAGTTATGGTTCTTATTATTGAGAATCTGATGATGGGGGATGGGCGACTTGTCGGTGGGGGTATTCCCAGCCACTCTCGCTCCTCTCCCATCATAAATAGATTCTATGTTTTAATAAATATGAATTTTAAGTAGTGTCTCGGAAGTCAGTATGGCTGGGCATATTTTGCATATGTGCTTTTTTATTATGTAAAGTGATGTGTTATGTAAAATATGTGTGACACTTAAATAAAATATTTCATTATTATATATATTATTATATTATGTAAAATGTAAACAAAGGCGTAATATTTGTTATATTGTTATTATCATGTTAAAGTAAGAAGTCTTATAGATAAACAAACTAAGGCTCGTGCTGCTTTAGGAATAATCATCAACCAACGTTCGATTTTATTTAAAAAATCCCATTTCCGTTCAAATTATATTATGGAAATAATCCATAACATATATTTAATTTCAACCGAGAAACATAGGCTATTTTTCGCTAATTTAATCTCTGTGTCGTATATATTTTGCTAAAAACACTTTTGATTTGTTTTTAGTTCTAGCAAAGGTTGGCATGATAGGAAAAATTATCTGAATATTTTCTTAAGTTTCCAGTTTTAATAGAATAATCAATTTTAATAAAATAGAATAATTTTCACAACAGGAAAAATAGTAGATGTGTTGAACTTTTCAATTTTCTTAAAATTTCCTTAATACAAATAAGTCATAATTATTAGAAAAAAACTGATATTATTGATTGTATCTACTTAAAAAATTTGAAAAATTAAAACCGAAATTTTACCTTATTTACTGAAAATTACAATTGGTTATTCCTTTTGAGGCATACTATTGTGAATAATGTAATTTTGGACACGATAATGCTTTTCTCAGGACGCGGGATTGTCACCGGATAATCTGCCAAATATAATTTGTTACTCATCACGGACATATTAAGAACAAATCCTATTTGTCACGCTCGGTAATTCTTGTGATAATGACCCTACTTCCTAGATGTTTATATTGGGATTTTACAGGAAGTTTACACTGGTAAATAATGACAGGCGGACACACGAGCATTCAACTTCGTGTCAGATTAGATGAAAATAGTTATGAATACTCCTCTGTGTATGATAAATAGCTTGAACACGAAAATATTCTTTTAAGTTGAATTGATAGTCACATATTATTGTATGATGTCTGAAAATAGACGCATTTTTAAATCCATTTCATTATGGATCCCCATACGATATTTAGATTGAATCCAAATAAACCCGTTTTAAAGGCATTGAACTAATTTAAGAACTGAATAGCATGGTTTTATGTCTCATATTGGCCTACGTAAATATCTACATGATAGCACACATTTGTATAAATAAGCTGACATGTCTACATATATATATATTTATAAATCAGTTCATGATATACACTTATTTCCTGTTTTTTAAGTAGTCACGAGTGTTTCTAGGTATCCTGGGATTTAAAATAATACATTAATATCATTATGTATATTCATGGTTAGGCATTTGACCCTTATAAATAGTACACTTGCCAAGTACGCGACCTGTTTAAACAGAAAATCCCTGCTATATTTAGATACACGTAACGGTGTATTTTTCCAGATAAATCCCCCATTATCTGCGGACTTCGATCAAAGCCGTGCCCAATTGATAACCTTGCACTTGTGAAAAATACTGATCTCACTCCATTCCTATATTGTGACCAAACTAATCAAAAGCCACAATTGTTCATGATCACGTGGTCCATGTTTGATCATGCTATGTATATATAGTAGTACATGTAATTCGTACCAATTATATATACAAGGTTTGGCATTCTTTCAAGTGTAAACGTGACACGTCAAGTACATCAGTTCTATAGAATTTATTGGTTAACTTAAAATATGTTTTATCATAATAGTTAATAGATTTTGAATACACACCTAAATTTAATTATCAATTCACTAATGAGGCATATCCTTCTAACCATAAACGGTTGCAATTTTAAACAGATACGTATATATCACTTATGTAATTATTTATATTCTAGCAAAACCAGTGAAAATTGCGTTACTTATGATAGGAACTGTTTTGATCGAACCCTTCCCCGTAGAATTTACATAAAGCAAAAGAGAGAAAACGACGATATTAAACCTTGAGTAATAAATAAAGTACTGACCATGATAAAAAAAAAATGTAATTTGTACTTTTGCAAAGGTGCATTTGGGCTTTTTGTACATTGGTGGCCTGAAACTTTATCGCATATGATTGAAATTTATTTGATCTTGTACTCACAGATGATTCTTGATTTTGTAGCTGAGCTTGCATGATAAATTTTTCTCCCTTTGTTCGGAGAAGAAAGTCACAACTTGGGAACCAGTGGGCATGTTCTACCATAGGGTTGTCGCTCGGTTCCCACTCCTTAAGACTTCCACCACAGGAATAACACGTCACGATGTCTGCCGTCCCTGGTTTGCAAAATAAATAATCGTTTCATGCATCCGCACGTGTAGAGACTGGGGAAACGATAAATGGTTGGGGGGTTCTAATACATGTCCCTTACAGATTTAAAGAACCCCTTGGTTGCCTCCTCTGAGAGGTAATGAATAACCCAAAATTAAATTGTTACAAACAATTTTCTCTCGTTTTTCTTCGTTTATTTTTATACCTCAGTGTCTCTCTTAATTTGCATACCTACCGATTACATGTACCATAGTTTGTGGGCGATTTCTTTATTTTAGGACATTTATAAAATATATATTTACCTGGGTAGAAGAACCCGGCTACGGCCAAATCATGGGGTTTTTGGTGCAAGTGTGTGGGCCAGGAAATGAACGTCTTCATCCTGTCAGCCAATAAGGAACATTTAGGGTGTGCTGGGAGTTTGTGTCCAATTCTTTCTGCAACATTGTAAAGACTACCACGATGCGCTTCGTCCGTCATCTCGGGGGTTGGTAGATCTGCCAGTAATAGGGATCGAACGTGCTGCGATCCACAGGTTGTTAATGATCGACAAACAGTTTTTTGTCCAAAAGATGACTGGGACTCAAAAAACATAATGATGGTATTTACAATGATGGTAGATCCTGAAAAATATAACGCATATGTATATTATATTAAGATGGTATGGTTGGTAAACGTTCAACACATATGTATGCATATCATACGTATATATAACTCTAATGCACAATATATCAATCAATTTTATTAAAGCATACTTTGTAATGTGTATATACTAACCCCAGTTCCCGTTGATAATGCCCACAGAGTGTGTATGCCTCTTATACTAACTCGTACGGGATTTCCTAAACTGTATTTTAAGTGCTTGTGTATAAATAAACAGGGATTTTTGCTTGTCTATTAATAGCTCATTGTAAGTGGAAATCTAAGGTCGCTCTAATAGCATAACAAGCAGATCCTTTTAGTAATATTTCTGGACAGACGCAAATTTAATTACTGCACACATTCAATATTGTGTATTGATTGAATTGTATTACAATACACATAACCCGCTCTTCTCATAAAATCCACTTATGGTGTATAACAAAAGCTCTATTTATATACATTATAAGAACCTATAAATAAATATAAGCCTGGTTTCACTTTGATAAAATAACACCATTGTAATTTAAGTGTATATATTTGCATGTGATTACATGTATATCAGTTGTACGTAATTGATTAGCATACCTATGCAAGAACATATTTGGTAATCATTGCTGAATCACTTGTTTTACAATTTTCCAGAAACATACTGTGTACAATTGCATTTCTTTGCGGACGACATTAGAAACTTGAAATATAGTATAACCTTTTTTGAAGTAAAGTAACCATTGTTATATCGTACCAATCTAGGAGTATTTATAGTGTATGTATCATGGAGTATGGTACCCATCTAGGCATATGATAGTAGCCGTCAAGAATTCACGCATCTGTTATAAACAATATAAATCTGGACCCTTTATCCCTTTTTTTATGTTGTGATATGTACTTGTTCCTGTTTCTGTCTTGAGAAAATGACGGATTGCCTTAAGGTTATAATATCGGGGTACATTATCATTGATTCAAAAAGAACGTCAGAAACAAACCCTGAAAATATATTCAAAAGACTGAAACGATAAATGGGTATGTCATTTCGCTGTAGGGCGTCAAGGTGTAGCCCACTCCTGCTCGTTGTATCTGTGACACGTACTCAGTTACTTGGGGCAATATATACGAAACGCATATGTGACGATGTCAGTCAAGCCTGAGTGCATTCAACCAACCACGAAATGTTAACAGGTAAGCCTATCTCAGTTAAGGAAGGCCGGAATTACCCCCGTCTGACAACCTACACGTACGTTGCTTGAAAGCAATATAATTTCAGATATACGAAATATTTTTATAGTTCTAAAACATAAAAAAGACTAAACAAAACTCGAAGAAATATCTCTTTCATTTCACATAATTTTGCCAATCACTTATATTTGATATATATTTAAGTGAGTAAATGATGTTCCGGTAGCTTCTCATCTTTATGATGGTCCCGTTGACCTTTTGTACAGCTACATCTTGTAACTTTATCAATAGAATAGTAGTGTTTCTATCGAGAAGACGCCTTTGTTTTATTCTGTGCATGACATGGATGAAAATTGCTCGCCTTTTTTATTTGCAATATTTTTAAATGATTTAGAAGACTATTTATTGGAAAAAAATGTCGATTGTTTACTAAAGATTGATGAACTTTGTCATGATCATATTGGTATGTACGTAAAGCTTTTTGTTATTTTATATGCTGACGATACAGTGTTAATGTCAGAGACAGCAGATGGTCTACAATCAATGCTAAATAAATTTCAGGATTATTGTGAGAATTGGAAACTAACGGTAAACACACAGAAGACAAAAATTGTCATCTTTTCTAAACGAAAGAATACTAACAGATATCGATTTCTATTACAGGATAATGAGCTAGACATTCAAGATTCTTTTCCATACTTAGGTGTTCTATTTTACTATAATGGGAGGTTTGTAGTGGCAAAAAAGCAATTAGCGGAACAGGCCCAAAAAGCACTATATGCCGTATATAAGAAAATAAGAAATGTTTCGTTACCCATTGATTTACAATTCAAATTGTTTGACTCGCTAGTTGCTCCAATTTTGCTATACTCATCAGAAATATGGGGCCATGAGGATGTTAGTATACTTGAAAAAATACACCTCCAATTCTGTAAACGAATTCTTGGTCTACGCAGAAATACTTGTAATTTTATGGTATATGGAGAAACGGGCAGATACCCTATTGAGGTTGATGTCAAATTAAGAATGATTAAATTTTGGTATACACTTACCTCGAGTGAAAATAAGTTGTCTAGTCGAATGTACAAATTGATGTACTCATTACATGAAAATGGACAAATCGAGTTTAAATGGTTGAACTATGTTAAACATATCCTGGATAGCGTAGGTCTAAGCTATGTTTGGATCCATCAAAAAACCTGTCTGCCCGATATTACTTATTTAAAAGCTGCAATTATACATAAATTACACGATCAGTTTATTCAATCCTGGTTTAATAAAATTGACACCTCATCCAGAGGACGATTATACTCTACATTTAAATATCGCTTTGGTTTAGAAGACTATTTGATCAGATTAAACGCAAAAGATAGGAAAATTATCTGCAAATTTAGAACTTCAAATATTAAGCTTCCAGTAGAAACAGGAAGATGGGTGGGAATTCAAAGACAGGACAGAATATGCCCACTTTGTAATACTGGTATTGGGGACGAGTATCATTACTTATATACTTGTAATAACGACACTTTAGTCAAAATAAGGGAAAAACATATTCCGGCCTATTTTTATACAAGTCCAAACCAACATAAAATGAAAGGAATGTTCACAATCTTTAATATGAAATTGTTAAAAAGTGTAAGCTTATTTGTTCAAAAATTAACAAAAGTACTTTAGTGTCTCTATTCTTTAAGTTTTTCTTTTGTTTGCTAGTGACATTTTTATAAGTTGAACACTGAATTATTTGTATGTAACTACACGTATATATATTTTTTATGTACTATGCTATGGTATAGAATGTTTGCCTGTCATGCACTCAAACTATGTTATATATACATGACCTCTTGTTACACATATTATGTGTGTCTGAGTGAAATAAAAATCTTGAAAAATTCTTGAATCTTGCAAAGAAAATGTGTGCGGATTTAGCTGTAAGTCGTACTGATTTCAAAAAAACGCAAATCTACTCCGTGGAAGAAATCAGTATAAAATCTGATAAGCAAATAAAAGAAAACCGTTTACTACATAACAACGCTAGGTATTTTTAACATAAAACGTGACACATCTAGTTATAAGTCTTCAAAATGTAAACTGAAACATAAATTCGAGGAAATGTGCCACTTTTAAAAGTTTCCTGTCGACGTGACACGGGTTGTTATAAATAACTGAATGTGATTATTTGGAAGATGTAAAGATTACTATGACACAGAACAAATGTGTACCTAAATAGAAAACATTTCGTGAGAACTAATTACATTATTTTGAGAAAAAAACCTTAGAGGATTTGATATCACACTAATTGTTTTCTATATAAAAAGGATATTGTTATCTTATTTAAAAAAATGTACACTGGAAAAATCCATTGTTTTGCAGACGAACTAGTTATTGCGTCCTCGGTTAATATTGCTAACCTAGGTTGATAAAACCATGTATCGACCTCATCACCATGCTATAATTGTATAATGGTCAGATGACGGTATGTTTACAGCGTTGAAGAATTGTTTTAGCATTTTTATTAAATATTTTTCAAATAAATTTTACGTCAAATACCATCTCGGGGCAAGTGATTATTTCAGTATCAAAAATAGCATTTCTTCGAATTTATTATAAATATGTTACCGTTATCTTACTGCATAGTATAATCTATGGTAAGAGCATGCGCAGTTAAGACTTGGGAGTTTTTAGATATAACCAACATCGCATAAGTTCTTGATAATATGAAACATTTCCCTTTAACTCTTGGACTCTTTTCATAAATCTGATGAAATCTAATCAGGATACACAATTTTCAAAAAAAAATAAAAAAAATGGAGAAAAACATTTTATATTAAGATTCTATTCTAACTCTAAGTTTCCACAGTTACATAATAGTGTGTCTGTCGTGTGTGTGTATTATAGTCGGACTTACAACCCTCTTCCCGAATCAGAGTGTACCACTTGAACCGACAATGTATATAGTATAAAATATGTTTCAACGACAATTTATTTTTTTGAGCTGGTGTTTATTTCTTGTCTGATTTACACGGAAATCACTACAGCACTTAGACAAAATTCAAAGTATAAAATATAGGTTGTATGGCGGAAAGTGTTTTTTTTTAAAAGGAAATATCACATTCCACTGATATATGTAAGGAAGTATTAATAGAAATTTCGTAACTTAAGTAAACACTAGTGAAAGAACGTGATGTAAGTCTTTAAACGTCTAATTATAATTCCTACTCAATAACACGGCTCTCAACATACATATTGCATGACTATTTTCTGGACTTTGTGCATGTGCAGAACCCGAGACACTGACTCAGCATCACAATTTAAAATCATGATCCCAAGAGCGAGACTTTGACTCAGTTTCACAAGTAAATTCACTATCCTGAATAGGTGAGACCTATTGTATGTCCGGTAATTAATAACCTTTCGGTATTTTATACATACATTTCTGAACACTTGAAAGGAGTTATTTTTTTTAAATTTAAGTATCAGTCATGGGATTTAAATATTAAAATTACTCTGAACACCTTAGTTTAGGATGATTATATAATCATTGGGGGTGTCATTTTTACCAAAAGTCTGTCTAAACCCCTTAAACATGTAAACTTACTCTGAACACCTTAGTTTAGGTCCAAATGTAGCTGTAACACATTCTCAGGTCCCTGTGAGAAACACATGTTAACACACAGCAAGTTTCAGACGCGAATTTCTACGAAGTCAATATGCGATCAAATCGAAAGTGGGGATTCCGAGTCAAATATATACTTCAAAGCTATTTCAGAATAAGAAACGGATCTAAAAATAAGAAACAACAGGAATACTTCCTTAGATTATACCCCCCCCCCCCTCCATTTTTTTTTTTATAAAATGTGTCGACGAACAACTATATGAGTTAAACCTCACCCCACCCCCTCCACTCCTCAATCTGATATCACTCCAAAAACATTACTCGTAACGCGATATGAACATCAAAATTCAGTTTTGCAGACTCCTGCATTTTTTTATGTAAGATATATTTTAAAATGCATGTCAAGTGGGACAAAACTGTATCAAGTATTATACAACATATATTTCTTTCTTCAATTGATTTCATATGTTATACCTGTTTTTACATCTCGGTGTTGATGTTTCTCTGGTAGCATACTACCATGTATTGCTACTCGGATATATCAAACACTTTGTTTTTTGTATGTTGATGTTGTTCTCGTAGTTTAACGCCTGTATCATAATTCATGTTGATGTACCTTTGATTGATGTATCTTTGATGTACCTTTGATTGATGTACCTTTGATTGATGTACCTTTGATGTACCTTTGATTGATATATCTTTGATGTACCTTTGATTGATGTACCTTTGATATCAAAGTTTTACTTTCTACACAATGTATCTATTAGACGTGTCGCAACGTTAGAGAAAAATGAGCAACATCACATTTACCAGATCCACACGCAAAACATCCGCCACCCAGTATAATAAATAGACATTAACAGATCACGCTAACACCCAAAATCACATCGTCGATTGGGACAATGCCAAGATATTTGAAAGGGAGCAACACACAAAAACGAGACAAACAAAATTAGAACTCAGAACATGAACAGAGACGAGGGGGACACCAGATGAGTCATCGGTATGACCGGTTACTGACATATCAGGGGAGGGGCTAGATCTACACCCTACCTGTAACCTATCTGATGCAGTGTGTATACGCTCCCTATCGATAGGCGAAACGTCCCGGGTCGAGTGACATAAAAAATATACAATTTCGCCACATCGTTGTACAGGTAAAAAATACAAATCGCTCACTCAGTCATAGATTGACAAAGGGACCAGTCGGTTTTGAAACGTTGCGATATGTTTAACAGTACATTGCTAGTGAAGAAAATAAAACTTTGATATCGCATATTTCCAAACTGACGAATCTTATTGAAGATATTGATGTACGGTTGTAATTTATTTTTTCATGTATCGTTACATTGTGCTTGGATATATATAATACTCTTTTAATCGGGATTTTCTCATCGACAGCTACATGGAAACTAATTATAAGTGAGACCGTTAATAAATTTTCATTGAAATACATTACCGTGTACGTGTCACCGTAGTATTCCCGTTTTTCCGAGAACATATAATTGTTTATTCGCCCATGGACTAATTCTAACATTTGTTGGGAAGTTAATACTTCCTTGATATTTTCAAATTGAAATTTCATAGAAAACTTTTGCTTTACTTCTGTTTTGGATTTTGTTCCTGCATAATGCTCAGAATAAAGCATCACACCATTTCGAAGCCAGGGGAGGTAACGCCTACAGATTAAATATGACTGATTCCCGCCTATAGCAATTGAGTAAGGATCTAGTTCAGGAATTTAAATAAATATCATTTTACTTTTTATAAATTATTGTAATAGATTTTTGGACTCAATGAGCTATGGCGACCTTAATAATGAACTATCACATATGTTATACTTTTAAGAGTTTCAATTCAAAGGGCAATGCATACTGATTAAGTATTACTAGACTTTATGTCGCATTGATTGAGAAGTTAGTACTATCCAGATTTGGTTTGATTTCACGTTGTTATATTCTAATGTTTAAAGACAAAAGTATGTTTCAATATCCTCTTTAATGCATGTAACTGTGATAATCAACAGTTTGATTTGTTTTACCATACATCAGGGATGTTTTTTTAATTGAAGATGGTATGTGCACAAACTGATAGTGTTTAAAAAACGCGACGGTATAGTGCGGAGTGGTTTCAATGAACCTCCGCTAATATATCACTGGGTAATATACATGCATGTCACAGGACTCTGAAACTATATGTAAGAAAAACAACGCATGTTTCAACTACGTTCGTAAAGATCATGAACTTTTGTGCGAACAGATACTATCCACAAGAACGCTTTAAATACGAGTGGTTATAAACGTCCGTGTATTAAATGAGTCTGATAAGTGACGTCAGATAAGTGTCAAAAGGGGTTTAAGATTTGTTTTGCGAAGGAGCATACAACCTAACATATATACATCGGCGTCGTGGCATCGTTGTATGCAGCTCCACAGTCACAACAAATAATAAAAAGTGCACAGGCAATCATGTTAATCTTCATTAAAATCAAATTAATAATCCAGGAGAGTGCAGATGTTACAGGGGAGTATACTTCAATTAAAATCAATGGTTCACGTAAGTGACTAAGACACTCTATCCGTGGTGTGCAATAGAGAGTGACACGGACAGATGAGTTTGAGTAATACGAGATCGTCACGTTTCATGTGTATGATGAAGATCGATTCAGAAAAGAGAGATATGCAAAATTGCTCAAAATCGAAATAACCAAACACATTTTTATACACCGCCATGAAATTGAGGGGTGGGACCCCCGGGGGGCATATAGTGTTATCCTAGTTCGTCCGTCCGTACTGACTTTGGTTTTCCGATATCTCAGCAATAGATTCATGGATGGGGATCAAACTTAGTAGTTATAGGTATGTTTCTCATTCACACTTTACTAACATGCTATTTATACAGCATCTAGATACACCTCATATTTTCTAATAATATGGAGCGGGGGCATGTATGACGCTCCGACATATCTAGTTAAACAAAGGTAAAATAACGTAACCGATAAAGGACAAAGGGATAATAATTAATAAGGATATCAGACGATTTTAATCAATTTATTTGTGACTTTTTGGTAAGCATTTAACAAACGGTATGATGTAACAAAATAATCACTTTAATTCAACGTTGAAAAGTATACAAAATATAAAATTACTCATGTGAATTCTCAAACAATTCATTACATATAAAAACACCACAAGGAATTATCATCTGAAAATTGAAAAAGGGATTCTCCGATCCTAATGATCGAAAAGGTATTTTCTATATTTTAAATTGGTGTGTATCACTGTACTTTTTGTATGTGTAAATACTGTAAATACTTCATAGACTAAACACATTTGCTTAACAGTATTTCAAAAATGGAACATGAATTAGTTTTATTTTAATATTTGGTATGTGATCGAATGCAATCAATTCCACCATTTTCAGTGAAATTGTGAACAGTCGCAACCCACTACCACGTTAAGCGCGATTTATGCTGTCATCATTACATAAACTATGTCTTTCTTCCGCCTGAAAAAATCCCTACACGCATTATATACTCCAGTTAAATCGTTAAAAGTCTTCCGCTTTCAGTTTTGTTTTTGCGTCTTTTGTTGTTCAATGTTCAACTGACCGCTTCCTGTCAGCCATGGTTACGTAGCAGTGGTACCGACTGATGTATTTTCGTACAATCTACCAGCACTGGTATCAGAAGCCGTATTGGCGTACATTCTTCCAGCTGTGGTATCGGCGTAAGTATGGGGAGGTTCTAGACGAGCTACGTCAATGCTATCGTAAACGGCAGAATCTGACGGTCTGAGGACATGATGGGAGTTCTTTGGTTTACTATCCAATGCCAAACGTCTATTGTGTTGTAAGAAAAGAGACCATCCAAAGTTAATCTTGGCATATAATTAACATATAATTAACATATAATTAATATGTAATTGATATGTAATTGATATTTAACATATACTTAACATACATTTAACATATAATTGATATTTAACATATAACTAACAACATATATTTAACATATAATTAACAACATATTATTGATATTTAACATATATTTAACAAATAATTAACATATAATTGATATTTAACATATAATTGATATTTAACATATAATTAACATATATTTAACATATAATTAACATATAATTGATATTTAACATATAATTGATATTTAACATATAATAAACATATGATTAACAGTTTCACGGCGATTTTCACTAAACTACCAATATTTCTACAGCGAAACTGTCTAGACTACATGTAGAGGGAATAGTTTGAAAGAAACTGATACGACAAATTGAACACAGCAAAATGAAATGAAAAAAAACACATTTTTAACCATGATGCTGATTTTACACGAATTATCATGATCTCATCTCTGATAATGTACAGATAGAGCGGTAAAACATAGTAACAAATTGTCATTGCAGTTGTAATCCGATTCAATTCGATACAATCGGTCTCAACTTATATTTATTTACGTCACAATCAGAAACAAAAATAATATAGCAATGGAAAATATTTTATCAGCCAACAACACTGTTTGTCTTACTTACCTTCGATAGAGGATGACGTTAGCTATTGTTGCCACAGCTGCTATCAACACAACGATGACAATAGGTACTATCACTGTCGCTGTAACAAAGTATACGGATATACTACAATTTTTAATTAATCTTCTACGATGTATAGGTAATTAATCGGTAACCCATATCGCACAGAAAAGTCAACTCTTTTGAAGTTGAATGTTACATGAACATTCCATTAGTTTTCTTACAATAAAACAATGGTAGATCTACACAATATTCAGAAACGGAGCAGTTTTCTGTCCGGAATTCTATATCCCCGATTCTCAACAGAATTGTAGACAAATTGAATAACGTATTAAAGGGCAGAGTTTTGTCGTTGACATTGTCATGATAACTAAGAGCTGTGACCTCAAAGCAGCAAAGAGGTTTTGAATTGTTTATTTTGTATGTCGTAAAGTGTGAAAACAAAGTTATCATGAATACATTTCTTCAAAAATATACTTCTACAGATGTTATATATATTACTGAAGTATGTTTTTTTTGTATATATATTTTTAAGTACTGTTTATATACCTGTTGAAAACACTTCAACTGTTTGTGGAGAACAAATATTCTTGGTACTGCTCTCTGGTATATTGGACGAGCTTATTTGTGTCACTGATACAGAAGATGGCGGTGGCGTCACTCCAGATCCTGTGGATATTGTTATAGCTGTTGATGATGATGTTGTCGCCAATGTTGGCTGTGGAGTCGTCGCGGTTGGTAGTTTGGTCGTTACTTTCTCTGCTGGGAGACAGGAAATATTCCATTTGGTGTTATCTACAAACATAAAAGATGAATAGACGTTAAGTCATTTCTTTCTGTTGTTCACTTGAATTTCCCGCTTTTTTTCATATTCAAGATTTTTTTCATATTGGATACATTTTTATTCCCTTTGATAACGAGACAATAAAGGGGTATTTTTCGTTGTCTATTTGGCATGATGTACAGTGACGAGTGATTTAAAAATGTATTCTATTGGTATTTTCTACTGTACGTCATAACGGCGTGACAGTGAAAACACACCGTAGCTTACTGACAAAAAGACGGCGTCTGTCTGTCTGTCAAGATATCCTGGTATTATAGTAATGACAGCTGTCAATCACGAGAAATTGTCGCTGAATTGAACCACGTTGAATCTTTTTAAAGAAAATAAACCACTTCAGACCTATATCTGCCAGTGTAAACGTTAATGACTTTGCCATTTAAACGACACAAGTAGCGATATCCCATTGTGTTAATTCTCCTATAGGTATACAGACGTTTGATGTACATTGTATGATAGTAAAACAAACGTATCATTGTAATGTACACTGTTAAACCACCGACTTAGATCTAATCTTATTCCGTGGTTAAACGTAATATTCGCATATAGACACGACACTGAATCCATGACGAAATGACTGTGTATAATGATCATTTGTCTGCTTTACCTTATTGTGATTGCAGACAGGATCAAGACACCCCTACCATTATTTTTTTGAATGTCAAAACTTTAATCACCAACGACAAGTTCTGATGAATACATTACATAATGATGATCATATACTATGTTGAACCAAGTGTAATAGAGACAATGTTTATGTTCAATTATAAAGTTTCCCGTTGTCCCGTAGTTTAGAGGTATACAATGCAATTAATTGCTGGTTGTCAGTGCACCGGTGCTGGCCATAGAATTAATTTCTTATGTCAGATATAAGGCTTAGTATATGACCTGTCGGGGTCGGGGGATGCTGAACTGCATTTCATTTATATTTGCACCTGATAATGATGTGATATGATATTACACTGTATCCATGTTATTTGCCAGTCTCAGATCAGGCCTTTGAGCTAGGCACACGTCTATGTTAACCATTGAGGACTAAAACAACAGTTAACACAACGATTGGTGTTTATTATTTGTATCCGAGAGACTTGGAGGGTAACAAACAAAATAGTCCTAATGTCTTACTCAATGGTTGTTCACAATGTAGTGATGATATTAATGCTACTATACGTAAACAAGTATCAGTCTTTATCACTGATACAAAGAGATTCTTTAACCACATTAGTTGTTACTGTACTATGTAAAACAATTAATCTTGCTTTCTATAAAAATAGTTATTATGATATAAATGTTTGAATTTGTAATTTAAAACTAAATTGTCTGTGGGAGTTACTCCCCTTTCGTCACTATTTCTGTGGCTACTCCTATTTGGCTAGAAGAGGACAAATATATAATATAGGCAAAGCCTGTTGTCCAATTTTTTTGAATTTTCCAAAAACATTTGCCGAAATGAAATGAAAATGACAGTGCATTTAGGCATAAAACACGAATCTGTATGATTCACACTGATGAGTCGCAAGACTCAAAGTTAATAAAGAACTTGAACTTGAACTTGAACTTTAAAATTAAAAACAACAGTCCTGATAGCACACATATAGTAGGCTACGCTAGCTGACTTTTAGTGTGTTTTACATGTAAGCGTCATTGTGACTTCCTGTTTATATCACTGACCTGTTTCCAATAGAATACAGTATCCGGATTACCACGGACTGCTGTCTTCTGTCCTGGACAAAATAAATTCCAACGAACTCCTTTTTCCGAAATATATTGTATCCGACATTAAACACTCAAACCCCAGAGGGTCGTTTTCCGGTGATTCCATGCTGAGCACACTGCCACAATTTCTATTTTGTTCAAGTTTATAAGCCCTTCCAACACTAACAAGATAACTGGATGTGATGTATTGTCTTGCGGTACAGGTACAGCTGTTTACATCCGGGGCCCCTGTGTCATATGTATCTATGACTACACGTCGTGTGCTCATACTTCCGCTCTGGCACATCCTGATCACTGTTGATGTTTAAAAAGAATGTAATATTATTACAGCATATTTTACGTGCAGTTTTGCGATACAACATTATAAATGTATACCTTATGATTGTTATATTACAATCAAAATGTCAATCAAGACCCAGGTAAAACATGTTGTAAAATATATATTGAAATTCATGGGATCAAATCCTTTCAGTTTGACAGTTGATAATAATTCTGTATTAAGATCAACATCTCCCACCCTTTGTATGCATGTCAAGATAGATAGTTTGTTATGGAATTAAGTTTTCATTGTTCCGTAAAGTTACTGACGACACACGAGAAGTGAAGTATGTACATATGAAACTATAACAGTGTACCTTACCCTAGGCATATCCTTACACCTTTCTAAGAGAGTGCGAATGCAGCATAAGGGGGTTATATATTATATATACATGAGCGAAAGTAACGATCGGCGAACACGATTTAATGTTACTGATGACAAAAATTGATGGAGCCAAAATAATGAGAAGTTTTGCAGTATACATTATATATCTCTAAAATTCCATATAGAAAAAGGCTTTTGAGCTGTCGTACAGCTTATATATATATATATTGCACCTCAAAATGGTTCCATTCATAATAAAACATTTCAACGATCAAGATAGGATAGGCAAATAGGCATTTTATCGACTGTGTGGTATTAGCAGGCGGTTACGGAGATCACTGAGATGTGTATAATTATATTTATTTACCTTCGATGTTTTCGGATGCTGCAGCTTCTGAACATATCGTGCACTGTACACCTGGAAATAAACAGAAAAAGTGAACAAGAAATTTGATTGTTGCTGAAGTACTTAATCGATCATTTTTTTTTTACATTTTTCTGCAAGACATGCTTAATTTAAAATCGAATAAACCATCTTTTAACATTGACACTATCCACGTAATCATGCATTCGTATATTACTGTATTTTCATTTTAGCAGTTGATTTCTTACTTTTCTAGATCATGCTAATCATTATTCGTTTTATTTAATCTTTCATTATTAGCTCTTTTGTTCGTTTATTTTTCGGTTCGTCCCTTTCTTCGCTAATTCACTATACATGCTCAATTTGTCAAACAATAACGATGCATACTTGTAAGAGCTCCATCGTATGGCTTAGGCTAGGGACACATGATACAGTATTCACTATTGAGTTTTCCTGGTGATCGGTCAAATATTGGTGAAATTCATCAGTTTGATCGTACGCAGAACAAATAATACAATATCTCAGCGTGTAATCAAAAACCTATGAATGTTTGCACAATTGACAAAAATGTATTTTGTTATACACAACGGATGTAAAAAGTCCTATAATTATATTTTCATCTCAGAAAAGCAGTTCAGGTTACCTCCACCCCATATTTGTGCATTTTAAAGTCCCCAGTACCAGATTTTGCTGATTTAACGATTAATACAAAAAGTAATGATGGCTAACATAGGTATCTTTTTCAAATGCATGTGTGCCTTTAAAATTGATCATTATATTTGACATTTAGTAAACTCCTGTTGTATTAGATCAAAATGAGATTTGAACGTGATTTAAACCTGATAAGAACTGATCCTTAAGAGGAAAAACAAAGCAAGAGAGATGAAAAAAACAACCCAGAATACTGATAGTTTTGCCAGCATCACTCGTTAGTCCTTTTTATTTTCCCAAGGTTATCGTATTTATTTTAGTATAATTTTGCCTTAATTGTTTCTAAAATAAATACTTGGCCACATGACATTTTATTTAATATGAAATCGTCTTGGTGATATACTATTTCTGGTGCTGCTTCACGATTTAATGTTTTGCAGATATTAAGAAACGACCAAAAGTGTCAGTATCTACATAAATATAAATATTTTCCTCTTGATAAATTTTACTTGGTGAAGGATTTCTTTAGCTACAATGTATATTTATCACACGGTATTTGCTTTGTGTTCGTGGTTTAATCAAGCTCCCATCTTCAACATGTGACTAGTGAATCGTTCGGTTTCAAGTGCTTGCGACCCAAAATATAGCAATTTACACAGTTATTGATACGGTGAATATAATATATAAACACCCCTTCAATTACAAGGTGAGACAAACCTATCTTTCTTCTGTCCTTACCGAAGTGTGAATGAGCAGGTCGGGATTAGGCTTTAGGTAGCCTAGGCACTGTGCGGATTTTGCCTTTAAACAACAATTCCGATATGGCAAAATACCAAACATAGCTATGTATATGTAGCTCTGGAGGTGTAGTTCAGAGCTGTATATATATAACTAGTGCAGCACAGACGGCTACTTGGATACAAAAGGTCAAAAGTGTGAAGGAATTCCTGCTTGTGTTGTAGGCTGGTTACTCTTCATTGATTTGATCATATCCATGAACAAATTGAAGCTGACGTCACCGACTGGCAGTTTATTACGTAAACCGCTCTGTTCATTGTATCAGTATCGCCCCAAGGTTAAATCGTTGTTTAGAAAAGATAGAGCTAGGCTTTCGTCTGTCTTTTTTTGTGTTTAATATGTGTATACGACAGTAAGGACATTCGCGCACGGCTATCAAGAACAGCGTTTTAGTTAGCATGCCTGTCTTATTTGGCTAGCGTATCTTAATAATGTCTATATACCCATAAACCTTTCTAGTCAAACAATATGTGTCTATTCCGTTATATTTCAGAGAGTTTGTACTCTACATGATATAGGTTTATTTATGTAAACGCAAGCACTTCGGCGACACAACTATCGAGATTATTTATTTTAAATACAGGCAAATACGTAGGACTGTTATTTAATTGATAATTCTACATTCTTTTTTTTTGAGAATGTTGATCTATTACGTATGATTGTTAATTGAATTACAAAACATTTCTCTTACCGAGAAACAGAAACAAAACGCCATGATTGTGCGATGTTGCGCGACGTTATTTACATAGATCTCTAAATATCTTACGTTTGTAGCAAGTAGCCAATTATTCTTAGAATTAGTTTTTAATAAGTCGACAATTTTTAAACATTTGGTACATTTAACAAATATCAATACTTAATTTATGACTTAACAAAAGGGAAAAAATGCAATATCGACTTCGATCGAACATTTTAGTTTCACAAATGTCAAAAATGACGGAAAATGTTATTTTCTTATTTGTTATCTCGTAAATCTTTCTCTCGTTCCTTTCATTCATTTTTTTTGCTATAGGAAACACTTGAAGCACAGGAGGGAACTCATGCCATTGCTATATTCGTTGCAAAGATATTTTTCATACCGATGTGTGGTATACTGTAGATAAATTTCTCCTCGTCTCTTTCTATTTGAAATATGTCGTATGCCGTTTTGATATGCTAACATTCACTAAGATATCGACGAAAACGGGTACAAGTGTGAAGTAGATATATCCAGCAGATCGTCAAGCTTTCAGAATTGCAGTATGTCAACGAATTGATGAGCCGTTAAGGCGATACATGTACGTCGTATATTATTATGAAGTTTCAAAACGTCAAATCATCATTTCGACTCGACAAACGAGAGCATCAGTTTGTAAAAATAAGCTAATTTTGAGGGGCACAGCATACAAATATTACGAACAATATATTTTTTTTCTCCACAATTGTGTTATTAAGGTAATGCATACATATATCTGGCGCGAAAAAAGTGAACCTTTTTCTACGTTACCCCTGACGTTATACTAGCTACTTAACCAGATGCTCTTCTTTGTCTTGCTAGAAACTCGAATGCCTGACACACACATTAAACCCTTTTTTTCTTATGTATATTTAGCGATTTTTTTGTCTAGTGATTATGGTATAACTATACGAGTTCAGGGGAAACTCTAAGATTAAATTTAGTGACGTTTTATTTGTTTTTACATATGTTGTTAGTTTCAAAAAGACGGTAAACACCTCACTAGAGTTCTAGTGAACAAAAAACTGCTGCACCCATGTATCTTGGAATATATATATTTGTATACTGTATATGTAATGATGACGACGATAGTATGAATTAAATGCAAAGCATTGGTCCAATTAGTCCTAAAGATTATTAATAAATATCAAAATGACAAAAAGGATAGGTGTTTCTATGTGTAACATGATGATGCCTCAATTGGCACGCACGCCAAACGCCATAAAGATACACTGCCAGGAAATGGTTGAAGTAATACTTTAAAATTACATTTTTTCTCTCAGTATTTAACGATATGGATACTTGCGAGTAAATTGTACAAATTAGGTTTCATGTCAAACGGAAAAAGAGATATTTGTGCATATTAACACTTGACCCCTTTGATGCCTATGATGGAATCGAAACATGTCTAAATTCGGTGTAAATGTTAAGACATATATTTCAATTTACAAATCGTCTTAGCAAGTCCTTGCCGCCATCTTTGAACTGTACTAACACCGGATGTGACTGGGTTAGTTTTGGACAGGGTTTAAGTGACGACACTCCAGTTAAAAGACTCGCCGTTGAGTTAGGGTTTAACTGTACTGTCAACTTTGGAGCCACGGCTTAGGTCACACACTTCGCCAAATTTTGTGTCGATCAAGTAAAATATTGTGTTGTCCTTTTTACAATAAGAGATAATTTTATAAATATGTTTTGGAGTATCGACAAAAAACTATTTTTGATTTCTCTACCGCGACGGGAAACATTGTTGTGATTTGAGAGTAACGTAAACAAAAATCCGTATAATCAGTATAATTTGGCAATAAAAAATCTTCATTTTTGTGTATTAAGAGAAATTGTAGACCTATTAGAATGTGCCACATTTGAAGTCTAACTGATTACTGATTGTTATCGTTAACGAGTTGGTAACATTTAGTTGTATCCAGTTATCTTCATGGTTCAAATACATGTAACGTTTGACTAAGTTTATGCAAGCTTTTAGTAGTTAACCTGCATATAACCTTAGAGTATACATTGGTTGACCTTCCAATAGACAGTCATTCTTATACATGGACGTTGTGTATTGTTGTTCATGTACTAATATCGTTGGTGTATATTAAACTTAAAAGCCGGATCATTCTCCGCAGTAATTAAAAACCATGAATTGACCCCACAGAAAATTCTAGTTAATATACAGTCAATTGTAAGTTAGACTTAGACCTACAGCCAGTTCACGTAAAATAATAAATATGCACCTTCTCACCTTTGTAGTAACATAAAAGTGTCCAAATGAAGACCGTTTTCCAGTGTAACATCTTGTCCCTGCTTTGTTGATTGATGCAAGACCGATGGAACACATCATATGACAACTTCACAAAGGTGTGATTGTTTACAACTCTATTTAGGGAGCAGGGTGAGAGGAACCCACATATTATAAATATAGTTTCTGATCAGATGTAAAATTACTGGTCAAGCGGATTGTAACACTTACAACCGATACACTAACGTCTATTTATAGATAATCTGTTATTCTCAACCTCACTGTCCGCTCAGCAGTGCGTGTCGCATCACCAAATCTGTGTATACTTCCCCTACTGCCCCTTTGTTACACACTGTCACATCCCCTCTGGCCTTTTGCCAGTCTATACGTAGCCTGTTTAGATTGGATTTGTCAACTTTGATATGTTAGCTTTCAATTATAAACTAACTTTACATCCGTAACGCATTTGTTGAAAAAAAAAACTACTTGTGACGTCTTTTTCACAGAAATTAGTTGATGTTATTTTTTTGTCAAAGAACAAACGAATCTTTATCGAGAATTCCGTTTGCATTTTATATCTTGACATCAAGACATCTCTGAAAGTATGACGTTTCTGGTTTATGCGCAAATTCCAGGTCAATTTACAACTTCAATAGCACATACTTTAGTCGTCAAAAATGATATTGATAAATTACTTAATATGTATGAAAGAAGTTGATGTGGGAAGCAATGGTGTGTTGTATCGGTCTGTTTCCACAGCTACGTTGGTAAAAAGAAATGTCTACTGATGTTTAGTATGACCATTGTGATTCTGAAGACAAATAAATTTGTTAAATATGGCAAGTTGGGATATACATGTATTTTCTGAATCATTTTGAAGAGACAGAAATCGTTATTCTAGTTCAAGTTAAAAATCAATGATGTATTGGAGATGTTAACAAAATAAGATACACAATGCATTGTATAATATTTTACATCACCGTTGAATCACTGATCAAAGGACGTTTATGAGTATCACGAATGCTTTATTAAGTGGGCTATAAGTACATAAACGAAATCAATGATGCAGAAGAGTAACCGCGGTGAAAGGTTGACCGGATCATACAATCAGATTAGCGTCACCATGTTAGGGCCTATTTGTACTAGGTAGTTATACGTTAGGATTATGGGTGTGTCAAGTAACAAAAGACATACTGAGCGGTAATACTGCACGCTTTCATGCTGCAGAAGGTTCTGTATTACACATACAAATGTAGCTTTTCTTTTTTTACACCAATGGAAATCTGATGTCACCTTTCCGTTCTGATGGTCAACAAGTGTGGTTCATCAATTGACTTTCAGCGTATTGATCATAGATACGAGATAATGAGGAGTACAATTAGCAGACAAAATAATTTACAAATGTGTATTTATATAACATTTCTTTTATTTGATTATAATGATACACTGTACCACATTTACGTGTTGATCTGACGTCACAGATATATCTTAACATACCGAAGCTCACTCATAGATCTATTTTTTACTGGGAAATGCTCGCCGTAGTTTAACTTTTGCCTATTTCTACCTTTGTAACGATGGCGAAGTTATCATGACAGCGGATATGTTTCACCGTATATCATTTATAGTAAATACATCTTAAAGCGAAAATATCACCGAGTTTAAAAGGATGTTACCAGTGAACGACTAATACCTAAATAGGCTGCAGTTTCCCGTTGTACAATTTGCCCTTTCTCTACGAAGTCATATACGGATATACGGGTGGTATTGTTATTTAAAGTTACTGTGCCATGATGTGATATACATTCCAAAGTGATACAGCAAAAGGGGATGGAAGGATTGAAATAATTACCTACTCTACCATCCTGTGTTTGGTGTTGAATGATACCTGTCTGACCTAGGTGTAACAGGAAAATATTCAAATTAAAGGTTAACATACGACATTCGTGAACTGTACAAAGGAGTGATACATGATGTCGACAAGGAAATTTGATTCCGGAATTAATTAGTTTTACGCTTGAGAGGCAGTTAAATGTTCAGCAAAAATAAATATTCGAGAAAATTGTTCGATATCCGAATAAACAAGTATTCCAACAAACAGAAAAACACATACTTATTGACAAAGGTTAATACACACAGTACAGATAACAATCATCTTCATTCCAATTAACACATTTATACTTGGTAGTCACTTACAAACAGGTATCATGCTATTTGAGAGTCCGAACATTTACTACAGTATCTGATACAAAATATAATAACAAAACATTAATAAAAAAATCTGAGAATAGGATTTGTGTAAGGATACCTACTTTGATACTGTCCCTTAAACGAATACAAACATAATGACATTTATTTTTAAAACCTTCACAATTTCAAATAAGAATACATACAGGTACATGTATTATCTGATGAAAAGTAAAGATATGTGAATAGAAGTAGCACTAATGATGTACAAATACTTGAACATTCACCACAGATACTCATGATCGATTCACATTTATTAATTAATAGTTTTTCGTTGGACAAGACCGTACTATGTATACGGGATGCATCAGCATAAAATATGGATCAATGATCAATAGTTTAACTTGAAGGACAAAAGATGTGTCCTGTCCTGGAAGATAAGTTGGTTAGAAATATGTCACACCTTTATCAAAACAATAGATAATTCAATTGTAGTTGTTCATACATGCAATAACCCCTCTTCAATTTGGGATACAGCTTTAGTGGGATTAGACCAGGGATTAACCGTTGATTAAGTCACTCAGTTGGTAAAAGCGAACGTATTTTGAAATGAAGACACGGGTTCGAATCCAAGTCTCACACCGTCGTCAAATTGTTACTTTTCAGAACATTATTGTTGGGATCATTCGTTCATTTTTCCCGTTTTCATTTTATACTTTCTAACAGTTTTGCTATGCAGAGATTTCCTTTCAGAAATGATACAAGTTAGTGTTATGCCAGCAAACTATCTTATTCAATGCTGCAATTTTTGACATTGGTGTTGTAATCCTTAAATGCTATAATCTAAAACTAAATGATCTCCACTGGTTTTAGACGCTTTGTTTTTATAAATATGTAAATAAACACACCATATGTCAATTTAAAGATAAACGTGAAGAACTGACGTATCTGGATATTCAATGATATTGGCATAGCTTCATTTGATCGTGTTTGGTGAGTGTCATTAAACAATTTTATCAGATATGTGTTTTCCCCTTCTCTTGGTTGTGCAGTGTCTTTATTCTGTACATGCTCCAGCTACATACAGAAGACTGATATGGTATTTGTTGGAAAGAAAGACTTCCAATGCTTTACAAAATCTAGATTTTAGATGTTCTTTGCTGTTCGGCGCATCAATGACAGTTCTTCTGTGCCATCTATGGATTTGAGACACTGGTGCTTGCCGTCGTATTTGCGTACATTCCCCCAGCATTGGTACCGGCTGCCGTATTGGTGTACATTCTCCCAGCATTGGTATCGGCGTAAGTGTTGGGAGGTTCTAGGCGATCTACGTCAATGCTATCGTAAACGACGGAAACTGACAACTGAAGGTCATGATGTGTGTTCTTTGGTTCCTTATCGAGTGCCAAACGTCTGTTGTGTGATCAAGAAAGAAAACAAAACATAGTTCATTAAAGAATAATACTTACCTTTTCACGCTGAAATATAGCAGTACTGTTACATTTTCAGGCAAAATATTGTCGTTATTAAAGGGTTTAAAAGTGTATAGAGGTGAAGTATTAAAGGAATTGCGTATATTACAGGAATGCAATATAATATCATTGTGTCGGTGCAAACGGTTTCGACAATATCAAGTATCATTATGACAAAACTTTAATGAAAAAAGTGAGAAAATAAACAAACAAGAAACCAAATCCAAAAACCGAAAACAAACCAAAACAAAATCAAAACAGAAATTAAAATCATGTAATGGCGCTGGTATTATATTGATGCATAGTTATGAAAGAATTATTAAATGCAATACAGATACTTTGCAAAGCTTTCCTGAATTATTTAACCGTCGTCGATCTGATCATGTATGCATCGAACGATACATTGCCGAAACCGCATGTGGTTTTTTTTATCTATGAATTTATTCATCTCGATAAAATAAGTTCAGATAAACATTTTCTCGTGGAAAAAAAAGATGAAACGATAATGATAAAAACAAAATAAGACGATATTTCACAGAGAGGTATGTATTAAGCTTACCTTCGATATAGGATCACATTTGCTATTGTTGTCACAGCTGCTATTAACACAACGATGACAATAGGTACAACCACAGTCGCTGCAATATATAATGCATATAAACAAAGTTAATAACAAAAATCATGGCTAAAAAATTACTTAGCACCTAATTTGAAAAGAAATTTGCTAAAGATGTCGATAGAATTGATCTTTTGCCAATTTGAATGTTACATTTTAATTGCATGCAATTTCTTAATCAAAATTAAAAATTAATAATGAAGGACTCGACTTTTTTCTATTATTCATATTTCTGTGTTATTCATTATTTACGCATTTCATTTTTATCCAAAGTTATTGCATCATTGCGATATCATTAAGATTTATATACCTGTTGAAAACACTTCAACTGTTTGTGGAGAACAATTTCGTTCGGGACTACTTCCCGGTGGATTGGACGAGCTTGTTTGTGTCACTGATACAGAAGATATCGTGGGTTTTGTAGTTGTTGGTCTTGTTGTTGATGTTGGTCTTGTTATTATTGACGATGAGGTTGTTGTCGAAGTCTTTGTCATTGCGATTGGTGGAAGACAGGAAATATTCCAACTGATGGCATCTATAGATTAAAGAATCGATGGAACTTGAGTACATTTTAGTCGTGGAATTTGTTTACCAAAATTCGTAAGACAATAAACAGTTACTTTACATATCAGGACATTGTTTTAATCCTCATTGAAAGGTGAGTGTATCAAACAATTGAATCATGTTATTTGGTTGAAATTAAATTTCGTTAAGCTCGACAACATCTGTCCTAAAATAGCCCATGATTTAACATAATAACATAGACTTCACGATGTAAGTAACGACATTATGCCCTGAAGTAAATTTCAGACGCATTACTGTTACTATGACTATACAGACATTTTGATAGCTTCATATAAAAGAAGTACAACTGGAATAATAAAACACACAGATAAGCATAATGAACATATTCATGAAATAAACACTATCGATTCCGTCGTAACCAAGAACATTAGCAGTAAGTAATACAAAATCATTGGATGCCCGGTAAAATAAGATACAGCTTAGTCGACCACACGCAAGCAGCTGTAGCGATATTGTAAATGTATTTTGATTATTGTAAAAAATGTATAGTAACACCCACCTGTGTCTAAAAGAATACAGTATCCATATTTCCAAGGTTCGGTGCGTGTCGTCCTGGACAATATAAACTCAAACGAATTCCATTTTTTACGATAGACTACGTCCGGCCATTTACAATCAAAGCTAACGGAGTCTGTTTGAGATGATTGCACATTGAGTGTACTGCCACAATTTGCTTCTTGATCAACTGTATACGACCTGCCAAAGCTGACAATATCACTTAATCTTTTATTTGGTCTTGCGGTACAGGTACAGCTGAACACATCCGGGTCTCCTGTATCATATGTATCTATGACTACACGTTGTGTATTTATACTGCCGCTCTGACACATCTTGATCACTGTTGATGAAGTAAAAGAAGAAATCAAATTGATGAAATAACTGTGTCTTATATGTTCAATGTTGTGAATGTCAAAGGTTTTGTCACGTTACAATCTATTAAATGTTTTAATGGTGACGCCACAATCACAATTACAAACCAAACGTGGTTAAAACATACAATAGTATGCAAATTGCCACTGCGCAATAAAACACACATTTCATATTCAAAAAGACAAACAAATGTACTAAAATTGCTTCTTTATCATACAATATAATGGTATTTCCGCATGATAATAGACTAAAAAATGATTTTCTTGGGATGTTAATATAAACCGATTTTTTTAAAAATACAATGTACACTGATCTTAATGTTATCAACATTTTAGTGTATCTAAAGTCTAATCAAATCTGTTAAACATATCCCTTTAAACAATACATACATATACCTGTTTATCATATACGACAATACTATTTAATAAAAAAATGCACAAAGGGCAAAGGAGAATATCATTGCATTCAGTTTGTCAAACTTCCGAAAAAACTTTGTAAGAGAGGATTGACATGGTTAAAACTATTTTACGAATAATTTCCTAATCAGAGAAGTATCGGCAAATTTGAAAAATACGTTTGAAGCTGATACAAATTTTAAATACATACTTTGAAACTGATCCATTCTTTATGCAATAGTATCTGCTATGGTGATAAATATAATAGACTTTTAAGTGAAACAAATTCCCCGTCTCGTTGTCCTTAAACGAGAGGGCGGACTCAACATAGGCCGAACAAAATGTTAGACATAAAATTATCAACATAGGGCGAAACAGCCTGAGGGCCAAAAATTGACAAGGCGAAAACAATTTGCTATTTACAACAATCAGCTGTGTGACCGTCAGTTAAGCCTTTCTTTAGTTGTTTATCCCTGACTTCATTGAAGTATTATTTAATATCCCTTTGTCCATACGTGCGTTTATGCATCTACAGAATATATCATGGACCCCACGATAGAATTTAAATATGTATTTACACCAAACTATGGTGAAATCACATTCTATAACTGCTTGATTTGGGTGGTCAGATGTCAAGGTTTAAGTGTCGGAGTCTACTCCTGACTCATTTAGAAGTAAGGCGTGTGTTCAATATTGATAAGAAATCACTTAAAGAGTAAAAATTATAATTATTAATATCGCGATAATATTGAGGTTTGTATCTGGTTACGATTTTGGTGATCATCGGTGAAGGTTAACGGGTCAAAGGTCACAGTTGATAGCACGTTCACCTTGTTTCTAATTAAACATATTTTATTGCTTTAAATGATTTGACCGGCTACACGTTTTAACAGCATTACAACAGCCATTTCTTCAATAGTTATATCCAGTCGGTATTAATTCTTCAGGATTTTTTTATAAGCGAGATTTTCTCGAAAGAGTCATTATCCTGTTGTGTAAATTCCCGACGTCTTCAATAAAATTCTTTGCATTCCGAATAGATATCTTTGCCATTTTTACGAAATTAAACAGCATAAAACATTAAGTGATAGATATTATGGTTTGATCAAAATGTTATTGGCTGTGTGTAGTAGATTCCGTTAGCTTTATTATATCATTGCCAATGTTTTACAATTTCTTGTATTATACATATATATATATATATTTTACTCAAGATTACCTTTATAAAATTTCGTAAAAAATCTGTGAATTTTCCTGTTATGTTTACATTTTATAATGAAAACTATTGTTAAGCTACCGTAAAGCCAACCATACCTTGGACTAGTCCATGTTTTGTTAGTTCGGTTTAAAGGCGTAACATATACTGCGTGTACAATATGTTAATGTACATTTTTTGGGTAATATGATTCTGCTGTGACATACATATTTAGGTATACCTGTTTAAACAAGAGTTGTGTTAGTATACATTATTTACCTTCGATGTTTTCCAATGCTGCAGCTTCTGAACATACCGTACACTGTACCCCTGGAAATAAACAGACAAATTAACACTAAATTCAATTATTTCTTTGTTTCCAAAGGCTACACCGACATTTTGAATCAAAGGAGTCATTATCAATTTTTGTTTCTTCTACATAGGGTTCTAAAGGGCTTTCTTGTCTTCAGGGAACCACCCGGAAATTTGCCTCTAGTTCACAAAAGTTATTTATGTATTTTATATCTTTAGCTGTTCAGTGGGTTATTTTGTCATTTTCTTCAGATTACTGTTAAGCGGTTATATTTCGCTTGGGTTTTAATTTCGCTATATTCGCACTAATATCCGCAAATTCTTAACACAAGTGAATTTATCAAAAAATGTTAACCACTTTTACGGACCTTATCAGAACATGTTGAAAATACTTACAACCCAACGCTGTTATGCCAGCTTAAATGAACTCAAATCAGATTATCACCTGACAACTTTGCAGTCCATGCAACAACAACATTTATATATAAGTGGCCACAGTATATGTACAGTATGTGTACACAGTAGGTGATTAATTGATCACAGATTACTTTTACAAAGGTACATACACATTTGATTTTCTTTCGAGTGAAGTCACTGGCGGATGACGACGCTCGAGATCAGTTTTATAAAAATAAAGAGGACTCAACGTTGTATCATGTTGTTTAAACTAAATTAGTGGAAAATGGATCACATACCACAGAGTATCAACGAAGGATTGGGCCCACATGGGAAGGAAAATGAGGTCCAACTCGTGAGCTAAACTGCTCTTTACGTAAATATGGATGTGTTTAAGCTCAATTTGGTCAAAGGCATCTATAATCAAGAACTCAGCGAAACATAGTAGACAAAAGACACCGGGGAGGAACCTACTAATTGTAACAGGATATATATATAACATTATGTCATGATGCCTAAATTTTGCCTGTTCTCTGCTCATATGTTTCCCCTTTTTATATGCTAGGTAAAGAACACTGGAGCTACTGGGACCTCAGATTCCTTAAAATCTTTGTTATATCAATATTGTATATAGCTGGTGTGTGCTTTCCAACAAGCATCGACTCCAAGGAAAATCAGCTAGTGTATTGTTCTCGCATATATAGGGAACAGGAAAGCTGGACACTATTCCTCGTCAGCAGTCAATGCAGTGCCTAGTAAGGTACCGTTAGCATATCGGAATGAACGAATATACTGTAGCTCTCTTAGTTCACTATCAGGTCGGGTAAAACATTAATGTGTACATACTCACCTCTAAAGTAACACAACAGTATCCCAATACCAACACCTCCCCAATGTATCATCATGTCTCTGCTGATACTGATCGAACACAGTCAATAGAACATAACGGTATAACAGCTTACTGAGACGTGATTGCTTACACTCAGTTTAGAACGAGCGTGAGAAAAGGCTATGTACAAATCGTGTGGTTCCTTTAAAAATGTTGTATTACTGGTTCAACGAATTTTACAACTGACATCCGGGACAGTCATCAACATAGTGTGTGTTTATAGAAAGTCACCGTCTACGCCTCTGTCAGTTCAGTAGTGCGTTTCGTTTTTATAATACCTGTTTTATTTTTTAACACAATCCTTCCTTCTGGCATATGTTTCATACACGAGTGCATGCAATGAAGCTTAAACTTAAGAGAAAGTTAAAACCACACATCCTTATATTGGCATACGGCCAATCTACATGTAGACCGTTCCCTGTATCAACTTCGATGATTTAATAGATTTTATGTATGGATAAGGGATATAAAACATAACTGTTTATACCTTTAAAAAGGATGACGTGAAGCGGAATTGAAATCAAGTATCTAAAACACCTCTTTTGTTTTTACTAATTTAAGAGTTGATTAACAGATATTAAATGAAAAATAAAATTCAGCAAAACAGATGAAAATAACGTAAACGTGCGACGATAGGCTGTCATCTCAATGTCTTTGGATGGTGACGTCATGTCTATGAAGGACATATTTATCATGGGAAATCTTCATCTGACATGGCTAGCTATGTAAGGTTATAACCATGTTATTTGGAGTTGATACATGTACTTATACCAATAGGAGTTGGTATATATGTAATTTCATTTTGATTGTATATTATTTAACATTATAATATACTACTCACAATACATTCGGTAATATTGTAATATGTACTTGTATTATCTTCATCGAATGTATTCCTCTAAAAGAGGTCGAGGGTACAATTACTGTTGCGTTCATTTCTTGTTCACATCACCAATTTCCTTCTTGGTATTAGGAAATTGTATAACAGCCAAATGACTAGCCATATATCTAATTCATAATGGATGTTTGATTTAAAGTGTTAATTTGGTTTTAACTTGATCACACGAATGAATTCCAACATTGAAAACCACTAGAATGACAGCTCATATTGGTTTGTTCTTTCGACGTAATGCGATAGTCTTATGTTAGGTTATACTTTTATTTCTAACCTGTTTACGTCGTTGAATTCGATGCCCTTTGACGGCAATCTAACGATTGGTGCACGATTAGAGTGTCCTGTGATTTCATGTGCATTATAATGTCATTCTCTTATTTGATGTTACATGTATGACATCAATATATTTTTGTGGACTATATATGGTCAATACATGCAATGCGTTGGTATGAATGGAAGCATCACTTTATAATTATTTCGTGCCTTTTAGTAATGTTACATATATAGCAACATATCAGAAAGAACAGGTAACAACATCTGTCCACATCATTTTCATTTCAAGTATATTGACAAGGTGTCGTCTTAACGATCTGATATATGAAATCAAGGACAAAGAACACTCTCATTCATCAGTCTCTCACCTCCATCTTTAACTATATATATATGTGTGTAACCAACAAAGACGGACGGGTTCCTACTATGCTGTGTGAGAAACTGGCAATTTCCTAACTTTTAACGTTCGCTTTTGTGATAGTAACATCACTTCTTACTTTGCCTGTTGTAATTTTCATGTCACACTTAATGCTATAAATACTGACTTGTGATCACGTCTTGGGCCTCAAACAGATATTATTCTTCCGCGTGAAAAAAATGTACCCGTCCTTGCAACGAAAACAACGCCTTTGACAGTTTAGATTATATTTTATCTACATCAGAAATGTAACAATACTACATATAATGACAAAACAGAATATTGTGAAGTACGTTTACATCGCTGTGTAAATATTCCGCGAAATGTCACGTAAAGGTAACAGACAGATCAGACGAGATAGAAAACAAATCTAGCACGGGGTATGACGTGGGATATCTCTGTCTGAGGTGCGAAAAAGCACAGGGCTTCGCGAAATGAAATTCGACGAAAAATATAATGCATGAGCATGTTTTAAAGAAGGCACCTACCATTTCATTACTTCCTTGTGTGATATAAATATCGATGTTCCTTGTCACTACCATAGTTCTCACTCAATCTGAACTTGTAATTGCTAAGATTTGACCTAGATATGTATAGGTTCTCGTTAATAAAGAAAAATACCCTTTTATTTTCATTTTCAAGTATTTTATTTCTCCAGCTCACCACATGTAGAGTTGAGTTTTGGACTGCCTGGGTTTTGGAGCACTTGGTCAGCAACCTAAATAAGTTTGTGTACTCATTTTTGTGATGGCGTTTATAGTATGCACCCGATGCTATTCATTGAATGGTTTATAATGTTTCCTTCGTGTATTCATGCCCCAAAGCGGATGCATATTACTTGCCAGGTTCTGTTTATCGGATACTTTGAATTGTGCTTCCATGCTTCAGGTTTTACATCTACACATGGATAGACATGGTTAATAAAATGACAAGTTAATTTGATTTAAAGGAACTGAATTATATAACGAACATATCTGTCACGTGTTTCCATTTTAGTTTTGGTGATAATATTTGTAGCTATGTTCATTTATAGTTATTAGTCACTTACATGTTCTATTTTGCTGGGGACAATAACATATTTACACATAAAGTACACGAGCAGCTAGTATTTCAAACATATCAACAATATTTTAACTAATCGGTAGAACAAGAACTGTTTTGATCGACAGCAAAGCTTGGCAAGTTGAAGAACATTCGAAAAACAAGTCAAATTTAAAACAGGTGAGAAAGAAATTTAAAAAAGTGTGAAACAAATTTGTTTTGAATGCCAAACAGCAATGTTTGAACCCTCGGGAACCTCTATGTTAAACTTCAAAATCCTGATATTATTAAATGATATAATTTTACTTTCCTCTTAACTTACGATGGAGTATGTTAGGTCTAAAATTAAATAAAAAGATAAAGACTTATGAAATAGATTATTTTCAGTTCTATTCATCAATGTTCGAACCCTTATATCAGCACACTTACAAATATACTGGGGGTAATATCAAAATCATTATATCATTGATAGATTACTTGTATATGAGGATATGCTAAATGAGGATAACAGGTAAATCCAAAAACAGGTGCAAACAGAGGTTTTTAGCGATCTAGACATCTGTTTCTACTTTTTTTACAAGCCTTGAAGGGCACTATGTAAATATAAACACTTACGCTAACGCCAAAATGACAATATGTATAACTATGCATGTATATTACAATATCTGTGTTCTTATTTGTCGAATCAGCAAGTAGTTATTTCTCATATTAACATTTAATAAGGTGAGTCATGTTTTTTGTAGTCTAAAATATAAATATACATATTTAACTACCATTTACACAAATTCAAAATAAATAACGATCAAACAAATCCAGGGTATTATTACTTTAACAAGTAACCAGAGGTTAATATTCAAATTTCAAAATGAGTATCTAATCAGATATCGAAGCAAATATGAGTTCTATTAACATGTTCAACATCAAAAGTTTTACATATCAATGTGTTTTTATGTTATATCTGTATGAAAGCGTCAATCAAATGCATACAAAATCGATTTTATTTTTTCTAGATAAGATATATATGTCCTAAATTGTATATAATTTACCATGTTAATTCATTTCTTTCTAAAACTTTTAATTTTGCTCAATTTTAGTCCGTTTTTGAAATGGAATTCAAATGTGTGCACTTTTGTTTATTTATATGACATTGCATTCTTTTAGTGTATAAAATGTGTATTTTCAATATTATGTTTCAACAACAAGGTTATTGAAAAGGTAAAACTTTCAAAACTTAAACCCTTGCCTCCCATTGGTTAAATTACAATATGTATGGTAAAAGGGTGCTACTTCAGCAATAATCGCAAAGAAGGGTTCTACCTTAAACGATTTTACCTGAAGTATTCCTCTCTCTATAAAAAAGCGGAAGCAACGAAAAAGTATTTTTAAGTGTTTTTGTTTTTTGTTTTTGGCTTTGAGTTATTTCTCTAATCAAGTGATGTATTTTATAAATGTGCATTGTTTTTGTTTTCATAGGTGTTTCGGCCCATACATTGGAACTCTCATTTTGTTGCTGATCTTCTATCATTCCTGGAAGGAAGAATTAGTAACACATGTCTGTTTAGTGTCATACATTGTCGGTATTCACAACAAGTTTGTCCAGCGTAAAATTCAGAACAATAAGCACGGTTGATTGCATATACAGCATTCCAAAATATACAGTTCATTCATAAATAACATTCCGAAACATCCCGGGAAAAGAAGATCTACGAATGATGTTTATGCAATGGTCTGTGCTAATTGTTCTGAATAAAATGTGCTATTACAGCTGTGCTTAAGCAAGCAACTGTGTTTACTCTTGGTACGGTATTTCAACTGATGTTCTATTTTGTATTCATATTTATTAAACAAATAAAAAAAATTGTAATAAGAAGAGTATTTTTTCTCACCTTATTTAATAAACATTGTTGAAACACTGTATTCAAAAACTATAATTTTTCCCATGTACCGATAACAATACTACATAAAAAAAAATAGAAATGCTTAAAATTCCTTACCGTTACGGAGAATATAAAAACACAAAACAACTTTTTTCCATATCATACTCAATTTCAACCGGATACTCAAAAAAGTCCGATGCCTTCTGTTCAATTAGGGTTTATACTTAGTGTCACGTTGGGAGATGTGTGACCTATTCTATTTATAACATACTTACTAATATAATAATTAATAATTTAAAAAATGAAAACTGGGAACTACAATATGTACGCTTTAATTCACTAAGTGTATTGAGCGATTTAATCACTTTCACAATAAAGTTAACAAAAACATAATTCAGATGAGATTATCATGTTCACTCTTGGCAACAAGGAAAATCATATTTCCAGTGATATTGGCCTAAGGCAATCATTTTACCTAAGATTGGCAACAGTATTCCGTTTTTATCTATACTGTTTTCGTACGACACATCTTCAAACGTTTTCCTGTGAATATTGTCATAAGTTTTCTCAGATATAATCAATGTAAAGGTTTTCTCCTTTTTGAGAACTATGCCCATTATTTTAGGATGATGATGCTACATTGTCATTGTCTAGTATACAGAGATTTTGCTGCTGAAGTGCGATACGCAGGGATAGGATGCAGGATTTTGGGTGCTACACAGAAAGATAGA